CAGCAGCAGCAGCAGCAGCAGCAGCAGCAGCAGCAACAGCAACAGCAACACACACTAACGACGCACCACCCCGCCGCCGCCAACATGATGATGGACCCTTCTCACATGGGGCACCACCACCCTCATACCCATCCGCACGCACACCATGCCCCCCCTCCTCCCCAGGGCCACTACGGTCCCTCCATCATGGCCCCCCTCTACCAGCCCATGCCCACGCCCACAACCCAACCGGGGCCGCCCCATCACCACCACCACCTCTCGGCGGGCTCCAAGCGTCCGCGACCAGACGACCTAGACTTACACGCGCCACCCGGCCTCCACCACAACACCCTGGATCATCACCTCGCTGGCATGCACACCGCGGCAGCAGCGCACACGCCCATGTCGGCGACGTACGCGCAGGCCGTTCCCGCGCACACGCAGCATCACCACCACCACCACCGACTACCCGACTCGGAACCGGCGGCCAAGATGATGCGGCGCAGCGACGACATGGACGTCGGCGGCCTGATGGCCGGACCGTCGTCCACCAGCGTCGTGGGGCAAGAGGGCATGCCGGAGCCGGCAAGGAGGCCCAAGGGTCCTAAGCTCAAGTTCACCAGCGACGACGACCAGCTGCTCATCGAACTCAAGGAGAAGAAGAATCTCACCTGGAAGCAGATTGCCGACTTCTTCCCGGGAAGGTCATCCGGCACTCTGCAGGTGCGGTATTGTACCAAGCTCAAGGCTAAGACGAAGCAGTGGAATAGGGATATGGTAAGCATCTCTTGTTTCTTCCTCCCCCCCGGTCTCGTTACTCCATTCTTCCCTCTTCGGGTAGTCCCCATCAGGTCATCGGCTGCTGACACTCTTGCTCCCCTAGGACGTCAAACTGCGATCCGCTCTAGACGACTACGAAAACGACAAGTGGCGCATCGTATCGTCCAAGCTAGGAACGGGATTCACGCCTGCCGCCTGCCGCGAGAGGGCAAACGACCTGTGGGGTAACGAGCCGCCAACAGACCTGGAGGGTATATCGTCACCTCAGGGGGAGGAGTCGTCACCGCACACTCATCAGAGCGAGGACATGTATTCGAGGCCCCTCGAGTGATCTCTCCCCCCTTTATCTCCATCTTCACATCCCTCTCACAACTCTATACACCCTCTCTCTATATATCTCCCACCCTCCCTCACCGCACGCATCCTCCCCATCTTCTCCTCCCAAAGTTCTTTTGTCCATGCATTTAGCCTCCCTCCTCCCTCCACCCTCCCCCTGTCCATCGCCAAGAGAATCCATTTTCAGCTGGCGCGCGGTTTCCCCCCTTCTGTCCTCTGTCTTCTCTTTGTCTGAACGACCTTGACGAACAGAAAGAAAGTATAATTACGCAGGAAGACGATTCTCGAAGGAAGAGCAAGAGGATTTTCAAACGAAGAAAAAGAAGAAAAGTTACAGTACACCTTCCCCCCCTCCCCCCCCCCTGAAACGGCAGAACCTCCCCCTCCCCCCTTTACTCTTGGATGTAATCAAACGATATATCATGGGCTATCTTTCTGTTTCGTTCTTTTTTTTCTTTTTGGTTTCTATCGTTTTTTTTCTTTGGATGGATGGATATATACTTGGCGCGGTTTATGTGTCCCCCCCCTCTCAAATTTTTGTGTTATATAGCTTTTTCCGTTTTGTGATAATTTCATACATCTGTTTTCTTTCCCGTTATGCTCCCTCTATGATAGTCTAACACGATTATATGCTCTCTTCATGCAATATCACTTCTCGTACTGGCCACGCATAAAACTGATATAATAGTAGTTTCGGCTGATCTAGTCATGCATCCGAACCTAATACGCCGAAGTATTATGTTCCCAACAGTTCTGGTGTGTGCAGAGAAAGAAAAGCATAATACTGGTCTTATGATCCAAGCATTTATTATAATCCAAGCTCTATTTGCATCCAGAGGAGACCCTCACTGAAAAGATGCATAATACCGGTGATATGATCAGCTGCAGTCCGTACTATTGAAGAGCTCGCACACAAAAGCATAGATACTGTTGATTATTGAATCTGCAATGCATACATCTTTCATCTATTTATTGCAGAGACCGTCCGAGGATTGACAGCACAGCTGTAGTAAGATGTGTACGGAATATCCAAGTATGCACAGCAGTGGCGACACCGGTCCTACCCGAGCAACGCCCTCCCCAGCCCTTCCTGGTCCAGCACCTTTGCCCCCTCAACCAGGTTGACCAGACGCTGGTTGGCCGACACAGTGAGCGTCGTGCCAGACGGGTCTAGGAAACGCGCCATGTCGATGATGCACCCGTTGAGCTCGGCGATCTCGGTCCTCTTCCCCGCCGCGACGTCCTGCAGCATGGAGCTCTTGTTATCGCCGGTGCGGACGCCGACCTGCCAGACCAAGCGTCTCAGGGCGTGGAAAGAGAAGCGCTCGGCGAGTCGGCGCCTGTCCATGCCCTCGGCGAGCACAACGCCGTCCGCGCCGGGGTGGTTGATCAGGGCGACGTAGATGTCGCTTATCTCGCGTAGGAGGCGGTCCATGACGCGCGAGATGACGGCAGAGCCGGAGCCGGAGTTGGAGTCTGAGTGACCGTGCGCGAACAGCCGGCCGTTCCGGCACCGCAGCACCGCCGTCAGCGGATTCACCACCGAGTTGACCGCCAGCTTCTCCAGCTGCAGGGTCCACAGGTCCCCACGGGATGCGCGGTGGGCGGAGAGTCCCGGGGCCGAGGCGATGGTGTCGACGAGATAGTTGCCGCCGCTGCCGCTGGGCAGGACGAGGCCGGTCCTGACGTCGGCCACGGAGGCGTGCTCGCTGCGGAAGGGACCGTGCGAGAAGACGCCGTGGGTGGTTATGCAGGCAGCGAAGCTGGGTGCGTTGTCGCCGTACCGATGCGATACGTACGCGGGCCCGTGAGGAGGCCACATGCGTGACATGCCGTTCTGGGCAAAGGCCACGGTGCTGGACCTGTCCAGGTACCTGCGGAGACGGTCTACCTGATCCAGGGCGGCGTCAGCCTTGGTGGCCACGATTAGGTTGGAGATGGTAGCGATCTCTCCTCCCGGTTGCTGCTGGTCATGACTACGACTGCCGGTGGTGGCGGTGGTGGAGAAGGAGGAGGAAATGTCCCAGCACTCGACGTCCAGACCGTCACGGGTGACCTCGACGGTGCCTGCGCGGGTGATTTCGATGCCTGGCCTGGCTGTCCACTGGTCTAGGAGCTCGCGGCGGTGGAGGACGAGCGTGATGGGTGGAGGGTTGGGGCGGATCTTGGAGAGCTGCACGGCGAATAGACGGCCTATGTTGCCGATGCCGAGGATGTGGATGCGTCGAGGGTCAGGAGTGGGAAGGGAGGTCAAAGAAGAGGGGGAGGAGCAGGAGGATGGGGATGTCCAGCGTAGGATGCGTGGTGGTGGCAGAGTGTCGTTGAGATGGGCTGTGAGCCATGCTGGGCGGCTTGGCTGAGTTGGCTGAGTTGAGTAGGGTCTGGTATGTGTCACCACGAGACAGCTTCTTCTCAGGATGGACGACATTGTATGTGGCATTCTGACAGGGTCCCCATCCTTAATAGAGATAGGATAGAAGCGTATTTATATTATATCGAGATTTTCGTGAGTTTTATTAACTATCACTTACAGTAGTTGGGGGCATAAATGTTGAAGATATGTTATAAATACTTCGCCGTTGTGAATGTTCTTCATGGGAAGAGGTGCAGCTGCTTACCCTATATGAGAGATCTGACCAATCACAGCCTACAGGGCCAACGCTCATGATGCACGCTAGATCTTTCCGAATTCCGAGTGCGTCATTGCCATCATCCTTTCTGCAAGTTCACGCTCGAGTTCCATCGATAGTCCTTTGCTCCTTCTCTCATCTGCATCACACGCAACTCTGGAGCTCCCGTGAATCATCTCATGTCATCAAACAAGGGTGGGCTGCGTATCTTCTTGACGCCCTTTCTTGACGAATTGCGATAACCTCTCCCGAGTTTGCCATGCGATGAGCTGCGATTCACGCATGGTTAGAGTGCTGAAGTGAGCACGCGGGGCACAAGACGCGCCTATTCCTCACTCCGAGATACAAGAGGGGAGCGACTGTGATTGCTCCTCAGCGCTTAGTCAACAGCGGAATACTAAGAGCCGTCCAAGAGTGGTCACGTTCGCGCTCTCTCAACATCATGTCTTCAGAACAGCCAGAGGCACCTGAGAATGGTGGCGAGTCCCGACAGGACCTGGTGGACAGGATGGTCGCCGCAGCCAATGACGAGTCCGACGATGCTCAGGACGCTATGGATGACTTTGTACTGCAGGGGATGAGCGAGGAGGATGCCCTTAAGGACCTTGCTGGAACTGTACGGGATCAGAATGACCTTGAGCGGGACATCACCATCCAGGCCAATGCGGCTCTGGTGGAGGCCGAGGACAAGAGGGACCAGACCCGTATTGATAGGCTCGAAGCGTCGAGGCAGCGCCTCCAGCAGCAGTTGGACAAGGAGAAGAGGCAGCTGGAACATTTCGCCAACAACCCTTACAAGTCACGTAATATCCAAAAGGCCATCGACAAGCTGGAGTCGGAGATTCGCCAGATCAGCAACGACATATCCGACTTCCGGTCGCGCATGAAAAAGCGCAACGAGGAGAATCCGTTGGAGGACCAGGGCAATAAATCTAAGCGAAACCCCGGTGAGAGCCAGTACGATTTTCTCGTTCGGACAGGCAAGATCACGCCTTTTTCCAAGATTGGTGGGCCCCGCCCGGCGGGTCTCGAAGGCAATCTTGCTCAGACCATGCTCGACGCGGAGGAAGATGCTGCCGCAAAAGGTTTGGAGGTCCAAGAGGAGGGGCCGGTGTCCCACCAGCAGTTACGCCGGCCTGGTTTCTCCGAGGACGTGGAGAGGGAACTCACGCCCCCTCCCCCGTCTGCATCAAGGAAAGAAGCAGCAGCAGCAGGGAGCGAGTTCTCCTTGCGTCCGAAAAAGAAGCAAAAGACACAGAGGGAACGCAGTCCGTCTGGAGACTTCAAGCCTTCTGACGAGGATGACTCGGACTCCGATGCCGACCGTGGTGTCTGGCAGCAGAGCACTGAGGATGACCTGGTGCGCGAGCAGAAGCGCAATGCGAAATCAAAGGGAAGGAAGGGAAAGGAAGCTAGACAGGGCGCCATCGACCTCGAGAAGATCGACGATGGATATGAGGCCATGTACAGGAAACGACTCGCAGACTGGGTCGCCCGCCGGAGTAGAGCCAGGAGGGCTCGGAGACAGAGCGGCACCGCTAGTTCGGAGGCACAGGGGTACACCAGCGACCCGGAAGAGAAGGAGTGGCACAAACCCGCCCCAGACAAGCCGGACCATGTCATAGATGAGGACATTAAACTCCCCGGTGACATTTATTCGACGCTCTTCGGATACCAGAGGACCGGTGTACAGTGGCTGGTTGAGCTCTACAAGCAGCAGGTTGGAGGCATCGTCGGCGACGAGATGGGCCTTGGCAAGACTGTCCAGCTCATCGCACTCATTGCTGCACTCCACTACAGCAAAAAACTCAGACGACCTGTTCTCATCGTTGCTCCTGCAACCCTTCTCCGCCAATGGGTTGCCGAGTTCCATCGATGGTGGCCACCGCTGCGGGTCTCCATCCTGCACTCCTCGGGCAGCGGCATGCTGGACCCGGAACGCGAAGACGCATACGATCTAGATACCATGAAACGAGGGTCCAAGGTGACTGGGAGGGCTGGCAGGGCGGTTCAGAGAATCGTCGATGGCGTGGTCAACAATGGCCACGTCCTAGTCACGACCTACACGGGCCTGCAGGCATATGCCGACGTTCTGCAGCCGATCGAGTGGGAGTACGCAGTTCTGGACGAGGGCCACAAGATCCGCAACCCAAACGCCGAGATAACTGTGACCTGCAAAGAGCTGTACACGAGAAACCGAATCATTCTATCGGGGACACCGGTCCAGAACAACCTGACCGAGTTGTGGTCCTTGTTCGACTTCATCTCTCCGATGCGTCTCGGAAACCTGATGGAGTTCAGGGAGCAGTTTGAGATTCCCATCAAGCAAGGTGGATATGCCAACGCCTCCAACTTTCAGGTTGTGCAGGCGGAGCAGCGCGCTGAGATTCTCAAAAACTCCATCAGCAAGTATCTTCTGCAGCGACTCAAGGTGGATGTGGCTGCCGATCTTCCCGAGAAGACGGAGCAGGTGCTCTTCTGCAAGCTCACTGATGGACAGCGGAGGGCGTATGAAACGTTTCTCAAGTCAGACGAAGTGTCAGCCATCCTCGACAAGAGGCGCCAGGCCTTGTACGGCGTCGACATACTGCGCAAGATCTGCAACCACCCGGACCTTCTAGACAAGAGTCTGAGCTCCAAGGCTGGCCACCAGTATGGCAGCCCTCGTCTTTCAGCCAAGCTGCAGCTCACCAAAGACCTGCTGCAAAAGGTCATGATACCAAACGGCCACAAGGCGCTTCTATTCTCCCAGGGAAAGCTCATGTTAGAAATTATCGAGAAGTGCATCAAGGAATGTGGCATCCGGTACCTACGCATGGATGGAGACACCCCGATCGACCAACGACAGCCCATGATTGACCAGTTCAACGGCAATTCTGATATTCACGTCTTCCTCATGACGACACGAACCGGAGGTCTGGGGACAAATCTGACGGGCGCGGATCGCATCATCATATTCGACCCCGATTGGAACCCCTCGACCGATTTGCAGGCCCGCGAGCGTGCTTGGAGATTGGGACAGGTCAGACCTGTCAAGATCTATCGTCTCATGACGGAAGGAACAATCGAGGAGAAGATCTACCACCGCCAGATCTTCAAGCAGTTCATGACCAACAAGGTTCTCAAGGATCCCAAGCAGCGCAGTTCATACGATCTGTCGGATCTGTATGATCTGTTTAGCTTCACGCCAGGTGACGCGGCTGGTGGACAGCGGAGCGCTCTCTTCAAAGGAGCAGAAGTCGACATCGACAAGGCCGGGCAACAACAAGAAGACAATGTAAACCAGGATAATGAGCAGAACGAGCTCCAGAAGATGGGCGGCGTCACATCGATGGAGGAATTCAAAGAGGATAAGTCGGCGCACGAAGAGAAGCGTATGCTCCAAGGCATCTTTGCACGGTCCGTCGGCAGCGCCTACGATCACGAGCAGATTGTCAACGGGCCCAAGACAGCCGAGCCCGACGTCGATGCCCTGCGGAGGGCGGCCAAGGAAGACAGCCGCTCAGCCGCAGCACACCTCCAGCGCGCCGGCCAGGAAGCCGACCGTGTCCCCATCGGCACCTTGACCTGGACAGGCGAGGTGGGTCGACGTCCCGGAGTTGGAGGCCGACGTCGCGGAGCACCCAGCTCGGCGGGCGTCATGAACAGGCTTGCCGATCGTCAGGGGCTGAACAACGCCACAGGAGGCGCAGCAGGCTCCAGTGGCAGCAGGAACATGAAGGCCGAGGACTTTATGCCCATGATCCGGACCTTTATCACTCGGCAAGGCGGCAAGGCAGTGACCAAGATGCTGGTTGATCACTTTGGACCTTACTGTCAGGGCGAGAAGCAAAATGACGAGTTCCGCAAGGCGCTTGAGACGGTGGCCGAGATTACCCAGCGCGGAAGTTATGGGAGATCCATGTGGTCGTTAAAGAAGAAGATGATGAAAGCGACGACAACATGATGACATCTTTCTTTTTCTCTTTTTCTTTTTCTATGAGTAGGCTAAGTGATGGGATGTAGATGTGGTTGTTCAAGGAGAAGAAGACGGCGACGGCATGATCATGTTCTTACTATTTCTTCTTTATGAGTGATTGAAGTTACTATTACCACTATCTAGTATACCAAAGGATCTTCTGGATGGGGAAATCGGTTGGCTGGCGCTACGGACAAGGGAAAACATGGATTTGTGCTGTATAATAGACGACAAGGGACTAGCCAAAAGGCAAGAGTCTTCGTCAACTCGTTTTTTACTCAACGGCTCGTTAATTCATCATTTAATACGTCTTGAGCACAGTAGTCCCCAACCTGACACAGGAGTGACAATAGAAAACAAGGACATTTGAAAGGGACTTGTTTCGTTTTCATAGGCCTTCTTCGGGCGAATTCATAAACAGTGCTACATCAATGCCGTAACCGCCCCCAAACCTGATTCCCACTATGCTACGAGTAGACTAGAAGAGAACCTTGGAGTGAAGAGGGAAGGGGCAGAAGTAGATTGGAGACCAGGCGAAAAGAGCCGTTCTCCGCGTTTTTGTTGCCAACGCCACAAGAGAAACCAGATAGTGATAAAGTCCTCCCCACGAGAGGATGGAAAAGAAAAGAGAAGAAGTAAGATTGAACCATAAAATCCCAGTCGCCTCTTCTTTCCCTCCCCATGTTCTCTCGTTTGTTCCATGTTTTTTTTTTTCCGTTGTCCATCCATTTTTGCTTGATTTCGTATATATGCCTCTTGGCATTCGCCGTTTAGAGACGACGACCACGGCGACCACCCTTGCGGCGGGTAGAGTCAGAGGGCGTAGGGGTGACGTCCTCGATGCGGCCAATCTTCATGCCGGCACGGGCCAGGGCACGGAGAGCGGACTGGGCACCAGGGCCGGGGGTCTTGGTACCATTACCTGAGATTAGGACAGTTAACATTTGTGTACGATTTTTGGAGAGGGGGGATAGAAGAGAGGGGGAAAGGAAAGTTATATAGAGAGAAAAAGAGGAAAGAAAAAAACATACCACCAGTGGCACGGATCTTGATGTGGAGAGCGTTAACGCCAACCTCCTTGCAACGGGCGGCGACGTCCTGGGCAGCAAGCATGGCAGCGTAAGGGGAGGACTCGTCACGGTCAGCCTTGACCTTCATGCCACCAGTGACACGGGTGATGGTCTCGCGGCCGGAGAGATCGGTGACGTGGACGAAGGTGTCGTTAAACGAGGCGAAGATACGGGCAACGCCGAAGACGAGCTCGCCTGCCAAAAATAACGATTGTTAGTTTTCCCATGTTGTCTCTCTCGCTAGCATTTTAAAATGGTACGCAGGATTTCTTTTTTATCAGAAAAAAAAAAACATACCCTCACGGACGGAAGGGCCCAGGGAGATGTTCTCCTGGGGGGCACGGGTCTTGGGAGGCATTTTGGCGGGGGATTGACGACGGTCTGGTTTCTCGGGTGTTGGCGACTTGATGTGAAGATCCAAAGAGAGAAAAGAGTCCCTCCAAAATATCACGACAAACCAATTTGGCGGTGGGTGGAGAGGGGAGTGAGCGTGGGCTGCGGGCTTCGTGGGCGGTGGGGTGTGGCAGAAAACATCGCTAGTAGGCACACACAATCTTCAGGTGCGCACAGCCAGCTACTGTGTTTGGCGGGAAAGAAAGAAAAAGCCCTACCCTAAGAAATTGTGAGGGTTTTTTTTTCTGGCACTCTGGCGCTTTTCTGGCCGCTCACCGCCCACACAACCGACAGGAGGAGTTTCAGTGGATCCACCCAGAAAAAAAAATCAAATCACCTTTTGGTGGAACCTCTCCTCTCCATTTCTTTTCTTCCCCTTCTCTTCTCACGCTCGACAACTTCACTAACCCAACACCCAACCCTTCGACAACAGCCGAACGTCAAAATGGCCTCTACGTATGTCATGCCTCCTTGAATCAAATCGTGCGACATGGGCATCCTGCCCGGTCATCGAGCTCCTTGTACATTTGTCGTGGTTCACTCGCTGGGCTCGTCTTGAGAAAAATTGCATCTTGGACGACGAGCCAGCTCGATCACTCCCGGGACTCTTCCGCTCTTCATTTGATCAGCCTACTTATATGGTGTGACAATGAAGAAGTCGGGTCTGGGGTCGTTGGGGATGAAGAGTCTCGTGTACGCTCCTGTACCAGTTCTTCGCCCTGAAATCTATTGCAATGTGCTGGGACGAACAAGACTGCCGTGGGATACGACTGGGCGAAATCCCATTTCCTCCGGCTAGTCGCTTCGCCCACCATTTGCTCACTTCCTGAACGATTCCAATCGATTCGGGGTATTGTTGGATGAGGATGACGGAGTGCGATGGGTGGTTGCTAGGTGCCTAGATTATGGAACCAGGCCCAGCTCAACGCTCCTGAGATCTCACCGATGAAATTCATCTCTCGAGTCAGCCAAGGCGGAGAATGCCGCGCTCAAGCTGCAGTTCTCGCACCGGCGCTCTATTCCCATACCTGCTCGCACAGGTATGCTGAACCGCGTACTAATCATCATCTGTTCTGTATAGGACCGTTCCCACCCAAGACCAGGTCTTGATTCCTGAGACTCTGCTCAAGAAGCGCAAGAGCCAGGAGAAGGCCCGCGCTGAGCGCACCGCCGCCATTGAGAAGCGCAAGGCTGTACGTATTGACTCTCACCCTCTCTCCTTCGACCCGCGGCACACACACAATGATGCATAACAACACATCTTCGACTAGACTACGGTCAATGCTGTTGATAATTAACCTTCTTTCGGGTCTGAAAAGATTGCCTGGATTGAACTTTGTCACTCTTCACAAAACATGATGATACATAGAATAAAGAGACTAACAACTTCTTACAGGGCAGCAAGGAGAAGCGCCAGGTCATTTTCAAGCGTGCCGAGAAGTACGTCAAGGAGTACCGTGACGCCGAGCGTGAGAAGATCCGTCTTAGCCGCGCCGCCCGCTCTGACGACTCTGCGTACGTCCCCGCTGAGTCGCGCCTGATCTTCGTTGTCCGCATCAAGGGTATCAACAAGATCGCCCCCAAGCCGCGCAAGATCCTTCAGCTCCTCCGTCTTCTTCAGATCAACAACGGTGTCTTCATCAAGGTCACCAAGGCCACTACGGAGATGCTGAAGGTTGTCGAGCCCTGGATCGCCTACGGCTACCCCAACCTCAAGTCCGTCAAGGAGCTCATCTACAAGCGCGGATACGGAAAGGTCAACAAGCAGCGCACTGCCCTGACTGATAACCTGATCATTGAGGAGAACCTCGGCCAGTACGGCATCGTCTGCATGGAGGACCTCATTCACGAGATCTACACTGTCGGCCCCAACTTCAAGCAGGCCTCCAACTTCCTCTGGCCCTTCAAGCTGTCCTCCCCCAACGGCGGCTTCCGTCCCCGCAAGTTCAGGCACTTCATCGAGGGTGGTGACCTTGGCAACCGTGAGGAGGCTATCAACGCCCTCATCCGCCAGATGAACTAAGACTGTCGCTCCTCCCCAGTGCGTCAGTCAATGACAAACGAGTTAAAAAAAATAGTCGTCGGGATGGGTATAGGGTTTTTTACTGGTCTGGACTTATAAAAAAAGAATCACATCTTTTTGTGGCATGGTTGCTCGGCGTTGTTTATGGACAAGATTTTTACATGTGGAAATTGATTCCTTGATGAATGACACAGGTGCTTCCATTATAATTCCTTCGTGACGTGCCTTTTAGTTTCTTGCAACGCCATACATTGTTTCTTGACAGCCTAGTAATTCTCTGATCTGAGTGTCCTACCGTGCAGTTCCCCTTGTGTGTGATGTCTTGTCTGCACTCCGCGCATGCCAGGAGTATGTGTATCAATGTTATATAATGCTATTAATAATGCAAAGAATACAGTGGTGATGAACGCAATTGACGATGCCTTTCTCCGTCCAGTGGGGGCTCGCTACATCTTGATATCGAAGCTGGTGCCGCAGCCACAGCTGCTGGATGCATAAGGGTTGTCGGTGATCTTGAACTGCGACCCAATCAGTTCCATGGTGAAGTCAACCTTGCTGCCCTTCAGCAACTCCAGCGAAGGCTCGTCGAGGACAACTTTTGGCGAGTGGAGAAGTGGCGACTGGCCGTCCGCCTCATCAGGGGCAAACTGGAAGATGGTATCGTCTTCTTTGATGATTTTGGAAAATTCCGCCGAGTCCTTGTCGGGAATGGTGATGAGGCTCATGAGGTACTGGAAGCCGTGGCAGCCGCCGCTCTCGACCTGAATGCGCAGGGCCAGGTTGGGGTTTTTATCCTTGGCCATGATGTCGGCCAGACGCTGCATTTCTCATTAGCCTTGCTAGTTTCTTCTACGTCTCTCGGGGAAGACACTCTCTGCATGCCTCCGGAGGGTATGAACAGGTGTACCTTGGCGGCGCGGGGAGTTATCTCCATCATCATGGTATTTCCATCCTCATCTTCGACGGGATGCTGGACGCAGACAGTCGCCCGGCGGGATGATGAGGCCGTGAAGGCGCGCCTCGGCGCCCTTTGTATTGTCACGCCGGACCGCCGGGACATGTCAGCAGGACGGCAGAGATTGTTCCTCCATGCGAAGGACGAGTTGGTGGTTCGAAGGGCATGTCTGGGGACGAGGAATTCGAGGGGAGTCGCCGAAGCTTGCGGTGCTGCTGCGGTAGCCGACGTGGAACAGGACCGACTGGCGATGCGAAGGAACGAGCCTGCCATGGAAGGCGCGTTTGCACAACGTAGAGGTGTCATGGTTTAGCCGAAAGAAACCGTATCGTCGTTTTGGTATGGACCGAGGAGAGGGGGGACGTATGTAAGGTTGTTGAACTGTTACCGAGAAATATGTTTACCGAAGCGTTCGTGTCAGGCCAGTCCGTCATTATTATTCATCAGCCTATTCCCTCCGAATCTCGGTGGCTGTTCGGGTGATGACATAATCCTGGAGGGTTTCCATTTCCTTCGGAGGTGGAAAAAATTAGGGACACAAAAATTGCAAAAGGCAGCCTGGTAATAAGGGAGAGCACAAAGGGTACGTACCTTATCGCTTAGCCCCAAGGCGCACGCCCCCACTTTGCCCACCAAAAATCAGTAATTTTCGAGTTTCTCGTGACTCAACCCCGCGCAACCTCTTTACCTGGTTCAAGGACAAGACGGCCGTTTGCAGCCTCAAACACAGGGAAAAGAAGGAAAAAAGAGAGCAGAAGCAAGTCAGTCTCCCAAAAGAATTCTCTTGCAACAACTTGCCCACAATGTCTCGTTTCTTCCGTGGCGGAGACGACAGCTCCAGCGACAGCTCCAGCGAGGAGGAGGATCTCCTCTCCTCAGAGGAGGAAGAGGAGGAGGAGAAGCTGCAGCAGCAGAAGCAGAAGAAGACGAGCAACGATGACTCTTCTGATGAGGACTCGGACGATATGGACTCGGATGAAGACAGCGACGATAGCGACAGCGACGGCTCGGATGCCGGCAAGGGGGGGGCCAACTGGTTCCTCAAGGACGCCAGCTCCGAGAGCGAGGACAGCGACGACGAGAAGAGGGCGAAGGTCAAGAGCGCCAAGGACAAGAGGCACGATGAGCTCGATGCTTGCATCAAGCAGATTGAGAACGGTCAGAAGAACGGTGACTGGACTCTGATATCAGCCGGTATGGAACATCTGTCGAATTTGGTCTATCTTCTCCCCCATATCGGCCCCTCTCTCCGAACATGGGAAACGTAGGGGGAAATGGACCAATTACATCCTGGTTTTTTTCTCTCTTTTTTTGACCAAATACTCTAACATGTATGCGCAGAGTACGACAAACTCAACCGTCAGGTCGCACGTCTGATGGTGGGCGGCAAGGCCCCCAAGCCCTATATCCGCATCATGGCCGACCTCGAGGACTTCATGAATGAAGCCCTCGCCAAGGTCAAGGTTACCCCCAAGAAGATGAACGCCAGCCAGGCTCGCGCTCTCAACGCCGTCAAACAGAAGATCAAGAAGACAAACAAGGACCACCAGGCCCAGATTGATGCCTACCGTGCGGACAAGGAGGACTTCATGGAGTCGTCTGAGGAGGAAGCCCCCGCCACTGCCCCCTCCAAGAAGTCCGCCACCACTAAGGTCAAGTTTGACGCCGCTTCCGCCTCGCAAGAGGAGGCCGACGAGCAGGGCTTCTCGACAGTCGGAAAGGGTGGCCGCACTCTGCAGTACACCTCCGACAGCATCTTCAAGCATCTGAGGACTATCCTTGAGTCCCGCGGAAAGAAGAACACGGATCGTAGCGAGCAAATTGACATTATGGAGAAGCTGTTCGAGATTGCCAGCACGCCCTACCAGCAGATCCGTGTTCTCCTGACCTTGGTGTCGGCCCGTTTCGACATTGCCTCTGGATCCACGGGCGCCATGCCCCTGGAGCACTGGAAGGCCGCCCACAAGGAGCTGTCGTCCCTGCTCGAGATCCTCGAGAAGAACAAGGAGTACATTGTCATCGAGAGCGCCGAGGAGTGGGAGGATGACGAGAAGCCCCCCACGCTCCAGCCCGGTGAGAAGTACATCAAGGTCGCTGGCAGCGTTGTCTCTTATATCGAGAGGCTTGACGATGAGCTCAACCGCTCTCTCCAGAACATCGACCCCCACACATCTGAGTACATTGAGCGTCTCCAGGACGAGGGCGCCCTTTATGACATCATCTTCCGCGGCCTCCTGTACTACGAGTACCTGCAAAAGGATGACTCTCTCTCGATCCCTCAGGAGGGCGTCAACCGCATCGTCGTGAGGCGGTTGGAGCATGTCTACTTCAAGGTAAGCCATCTCATACCACCCTACAATCCACTCTCCTCTACCATTGTGTCATTTTCCAGCGACTGACAATAGTGTGATGTCCAGCCTGCTCAGGTCATCGAAACTTTCGAGGAGAACAGCTGGAAGTCAGTCGGCGCCGATGTCGAGTCGGCCATCACTCCCCGCGAGGAGGTCAAGGAGGCCAGCAAACTGGTGCACGTTCTCTGCAACTACCTGTTCAGCAAGGCTGACGGTATCATTCGTGGTCGTGCCATGCTGTGCCAGGTGTACTTCCTTGCCCTGCACAACGAGTACTACAAGGCCCGTGACATGATGTTGATGTCGCATCTTCAGGAGAACATCCCCAACTTTGACGTCCAGACGCAGATCCTCTACAACCGCACCCTGGTGCAGGTCGGCCTCTGCGCCTTTCGCATGGGTCTCGTCTATGAGGCGCAGAACACGCTGCAGGAGATCTGCGGTAGCGGCCGCCAGAAGGAGCTGCTCGCCCAGGGCGTCATGATGCAGCGCTACAGCCAGGTCTCTCCCGAGCAGGAGAGGCTCGAGAAGCAGCGCCAGCTACCCTTTCATATGCACATCAACCTCGAGCTGCTGGAGTGCGTGTATCTGACGTGCAGCATGCTGCTCGAGATCCCCCTACTGGCTCAGACGGGTTCGTCACCCGACGTCAAGAAGCGCATCATCAGCAAGACGTACCGCCGCATGCTCGAGTACCACGAGCGCCAGATCTTCACGGGCCCTCCCGAGAACACGCGTGACCACGTGATGCAGGCTTCCAAGGCTCTGGCTGCGGGCGAGTGGAAGAAGGCTACGGACTTCATCCACAACATCAAGATCTGGGACCTGATGGCCAACACGGACGACATCAAGGCCATGCTGTCCAAGCAGATCCAGGAGGAGGGCCTTCGCACGTACCTCTTCACCTACGCCCCCTTCTACGACACACTTGCCGTTGAGACTCTCAGCGGCATGTTTGAACTCGACACGGCCAAGGTGTCGGCGGTTGTCAGCAGGATGATCAGCCACGAGGAGCTGGCGGCCTCGCTGGACCAGGTGACGTCGACTATCATCTTCCGCAAGGGTGTCGAGCTTAGCCGCCTGCAGTCGCTGGCCCTAACGCTGTCGGACAAGGCAAGCGCCCTGATCGAGACCAACGAGCGTACGCTGGAGCAGCGCACGCAGGGCTCGTCCAACGCCTTCGAGCGCACCGGCGGCCGCGGTCGCGGCGGACACAGGACAGGACAGCGTCCCGGCCGTGGAGGGCCCCGCGGCGGCGGTGGCCACACTCAGCGTCAGGCCGGTGGTACGCAATTCACTGGCGGAGCTCTCGGGGCTGCCGTCAGGGGTTAAAGGGAAGTAACATAGAGCAGGAAGGGGAAAAAAGGAAACAGGAGAAAAGAAAGGAAAGGGTTGTCTTGTTCACACAAAAAACGTCATGTCATGCCACGGATGAATGCAAAGGGGAGAGGGGAAAAAAAGAGGTAGGAGATGTGTCCATCTTTCACTCTCCCTCAAGGCGGAGGCGTCCTCTTCATACAAAGTTATTATTATTATTATATTCGGCCGGGAGTGTTTATTTGTCTTGTCATTTATCCCAAACGAATGAAGCATGGAAAATGGTTTTCTTTTTTTTAATGAATCCAAGAAAAAAGAAGTTCAAGAAGAAGGAATCTACATGGCATATTATACTGCCACTTGTGTGTGTATGAGTATGTATGTTCGGTAAATGTGGTTCTGATGCAATATGTTACTACTGTACTAATGCCCCCTCATTTACTCCTATCAACAGACTGTTGGGGTTATCAGATCATGGATAAGATCCAATGGACAACCATGATGATGTGATGCGCAGAACAAACAGGCATCGATCATACGAGTACCGTGCAGGAACCTGCGTCGGATATCCGCGAGCGGAGAAGAGGAAAAGAGGAGACGAGGAAAAGAAATAAAACGAATATATGACCTCATCTTATTACTCCTCCCTTGGCGGAGTTTGGGGTCTTGCGGGGCTGTCAATGCCGTTGAATCAGAGATATGGAAAAGAAACAGGGCAGCAGAACACGGATGAGGATGGACTTAGGGAACCAAAAGAAGTTGCGCCGGTAGTAATGGAGTTAAACGTCCGGACGTGTTCGTGTGGAAATCAGGAACAGCTTCACAACTCCCCGCTTCTGGTGTTGAGAGCTTAATAAGATGTGGTGACTGGTAGTTCAACTGGCTTGATAAGCAATGGAAGCCTGTGCTTTTCTCTTCTGAAAGCAGGATTATATAGAGGCAAGGGAGCCTTTTTTTGCGTGTAGTTGTTTTGGTTCTCTTTTCGCATCATCATCATCCTCATCTCCTCAATCGCCTCAACACCTCTCTTCTGTATCCCCAAGTTAGAAACAGGTCTAACGCCAACAGCGCAACTTATTTCATCAGAGACTTCATATAATAAGACACGATGGCTGCCAAGACAGATTCCCCTTCCAGCGTCGTGGCCGCCCCTCATCTTCAGATCCCCCCCGGTCTGCGTCAGTCGTTGGAAGACACCAAGGTCAAGTATCGCCAGCTTGGCAAGTCTGGTCTGCGCGTGTCGGTGCCAGTATTTGGCACCATGGGCCTCGGCTCCAAGAAGTCTATTCCCTGGGCATTGGAGGCCGATGAGGTATGTTTTCACATCTTCCAGACCTTTACCTTTTTATCTCTTATTCTCAATCTCTCATTTTTAATTTCTATTATTCTGCCCTTTGTGCGGCACCACGATATCGAACATAGGGTGATACTGATCGGCCGAAAACAGGCCCTCCCCCTTCTCAAGGCAGCGTACGACCGCGGTCTCAACACGTGGGATACGGCCAACGTCTACTCCTGCGGTATATCGGAGGAGATCATCGGAAAGACGCTGAAGGAGTACAGCATCCCTCGCGAAAAGGTCGTCATCATGACCAAGTGCGCCTTCGCGGTGGGCGAGGAGCCGGAGATAATCCCGTACTTTGTGGGCGACGCCCTGACCAGGTCCAAGGACTACCAGAACCTGGCGGGGCTCTCGCGAACGGCCATCTTCAACCAAGTCGAGGCTTCGCTCAGGAGGCTGGGCACGCCGTACATCGACCTCCTCCAGATCCACCGCTTCGACCCGACCGTCCCGGTGGAGGAGACGATGAAGGCGCTGCACGACCTCGTCCAGGCCGGCAAGGTCCGGTATCTGGGGGCCAGCAGCATGCGGTCGGTGCAATTCGCTAGGATGCAGTTCGTCGCCGAGCGCAACGGTTGGACGCCCTTTGTCAGCATGCAGAACCATCACAACCTGCTGTACCGCGAGGAGGAGCGTGAGATGAACCCCTTCTGCGACGAGACGGGCGTCGGCCTGATCCCCTGGTCCCCGCTGGCCCAGGGCGCCCTCGCCCGCCCCGTCGACCAGCAGAAGGCCACCCAGCGCGGCGCGTTGCCATTCCTCGTCCTGGGCCAGTCCCCGGCCGATCAGGAGATCATCAAGCGCGTCAAGGAGACGGCCGACAAGCACGGACGGACCATGGCAGAGATCGCCCTGGCCTGGTCCTGCGGCCGCAACACCAGCCCCATCGTCGGCTTCAGCAGTGTCAAGCGTATCGATGAGGCCATCGAGGCCAGCTACCTCGAGCTGACCGCCGACGAGGTCAAGTACCTCGAGGAGCCCTACCAGGCCAGGCCCATCATCGGTCACAACTAGACATGTCTGGAGGGAGATTGAGAGCCAGACAGTATCATCATGGGAATACGGAAATTTGGGGGAAGGATACATCCTGGCAACCTGCATGTACTGCTCATCCGATAACCCCCCTCTCCGGCCGTTTCCGTGCCTGTTATGCCGTGAGATTTTAGCCTTGTCACGTCTCTTCTATTCAGCCAAGCGACTGTCGTATTGTAACGTCATGTCAGCTCAATCAAGCGCAACAGCAAACACACTCGTACCCGTAGATTAGATGGATGATCTTGGCTGCATGCACGCCCAAATATTGGTATTTATGTGGGCCGTAATATCTCGTATGAGGGACAGCTCAGGAAATAAGTTCGGTGCGGTGAGATATTAGAACACCAAAAAACAAAAACAAGAAGAAAAAAAAACACAGAAGAACAGAGCAAAGGGGTAATGCCGTACAAACCTACGACGGGTGAAACATAGGAAAAAAACCCTCTCCTAGAAGGCGGAGGGGAAAGAGAGACATACGGAGTCTTCTGAAATCCGGAGCGTCGTGATCTAGAGGTGCACCCCGCCGCCGCGATGGGCTGCTTCACCATCAACATGGAGACGGGAGTGACGTTGGCGGCGCTCATAACGTCGTATTTCATCATATTCACGACGACAGTGGTACTCGCGCCGCGCAGCGCCACCGCGCAGCGTCTGGTGGTGGCGGCGGCCATGATCGGGCTGAACTACCTATTCTGCCAGACGCTGGACACAGTGGTGCTGTTGCCGTCGCCGCGGGTCAACGTGGTGACGCTGTCGTGGATCGCGTGCGCCAGCGGCACCGAGGCGGTCTTCGTGTCCCGCATCGACGCCTCGCAGCTCATACTGGACGGTAAGGGGGGCGGGACGGGTAGGGGTGTGGGGGGCTGGACGCTCGCGTGGAGGGCGCTGTGCGTCTTCTTCAACCTGCGCCGCGTGGGGACGCGGTGGGAGCCGGCCAACGTGCGGCCGCCGCCCGGGTCGGCGCGGCTGCGGGGCAGGCTCCGCTTCGTCATGGCCATGACGGCCCGGTGCGTCGCGTGTTACCTCCTCGTCGACCTGATGAGCCTGCTGCCCCGGCCGGAGGAGCGGCTCTTCACCCGCGAGAAGCAGACGCTGTGGCGACTGTGGGACCTGTCGACCGAGGACGTCGTCTTCCGACTCTCGGCCTGCTGCGGCCTCTGGATCACCTCCTATCTGTTCCAGATGTTCAACGTCAGCCTCGCCGGCCTGTTGGCCGTTGTCGCCGGGCTCAGTCGGCCCGAGCTGTGGCCGCCCGTGTTCGGTCCCCTGTGGACGATGTATTCCATCCGAGATTTCTGGGGGTGAGTTCTCCCCTCCCCGTCCACGTTCCGATGCAGAGGAGATGAGCGAGAGGGGTTGGGGGTTGGGGGTTGGGGGTTTGAGGGAGAGACAGAGACTAATAAGACATTCATGTAGCACATTTTGGCATCAGTCCCTGCGCAAGGCCATCACCGGATGGGCTGACTACATCTCCGACGACGTCATGCGCCTTACCCGCGGCACCCTAGTCTCGCGCTACACGCGCCTCCTGCTGGCCTTCTTCATCTCTGGCACCCTGCATCTCGGCCAGGATCGCATCTACGTCACCCCCGGGGAGAGATACTCGTCTCCCACCTTCTTCTGCGTCCAGGCTCTGGCCATCATGGTCGAGGACGGGCTGCGCGCTCTCACAGCCCCATTGCCCATCCCGCAACCTGTCAGGCGCGTCGTCGGGTACGCCTGGACTGTCGCCTGGCTCTGGTGGATCACGCCAATCTGGATGTATCCGATTCTACGAAAGGGCGATGTGGGTAGTAACGTGCCGTTTTCCCTAGTCCACTGGGCCTTGGACTGAGTTGGACTGGGCAGCTCATGCTATATGTTCCATTCTTCAACGATTTCTTCCAACAGTCTCTTTTCTCCCCAGACATTCAAGAATGTGTATGATGTCCTATAATATAGAATGAGATTTGATAGACAAGTTTCTGATATTGGATGCCAGAGGATTTGACATTCAATCAATAACATTTTGCCAATGGCAAGTCTAGGTAGGCTAAGCAGATTCTACTTGGTGCATTCACACAACGTAGAAGGGGTTGTTTTTTTATTTTATTATATATCTTTTTCTTTTTCTTTTTTGCGTTTCAGTCACGTGAACAAGTGGGATGAACCATCGCGGGGCATCGCGGGGCATTTCTTTTCTCGAATTCCCATGTGAGATTACGGGAGTGTAAGACTTGAATCTTGTATAAAGATATATTTGTCTTATTTGTGTTAAAGCTTTTTTAGATATCGAATTCCCGAAAACCGGTTCAACATGACCTCCCAAGATGCGTGTCGCATCCTCATCATGGCCTCAGGCTTCGGCTCCAACTTCCAAGAGCTGATCGACGGCGTGGCCGACGGACGCATCCCCAACAGCCGCATCATCCGTCTGATTGTCAACCGTAAGAGCGCATATGCAGTCAAGCGCGCAGAAAACGGAGGTCAGTGCCCTCTCTATCTCTATCTATTCCTCTCCTTCTCATCTCCACGCAGTCTAACTCGCTGACGTCTCAGGTATCCCGTGGGACTACTTCAACCTGATCAGCGACGGGTTCCTCCCCAAGGGCGAGAAGGACGAGGCCAAGGTGTCGGAGGCGCGTTACAAGTACGACGCTGCTCTGGCGGAGAAGGTCTTGTCAGCCTCCGAGGATCAGAAGCCTGAGCTCATCGTCCTGGCTGGTTGGATGCACGTCTTTTCCGCTGGATTCCTGCAGCCCATTCAGAAGGCTGGCATCAAGGTCATCAACCTTCACCCGGCGCTGCCTGGCATGTCCCTCCTTCTCTTCCCTCGGGAAGCTTTCTTTTGGTGTAGTATTGTCTATAAATCTCGTATTTCATGCTAATGATGAGCTTCACAGGCGAGTTTGAGGGCGCCAACGCCATCGAAAGGGCATACGACCAGTTCAAGGCCGGCAAGCTGACGCGCACCGGCATCATGGCCCACTACGTCATCCTCGAAGTGGACCGTGGAGAGCCCATCATGACGCAGGAGATTCCCTGGGAGGGCGAAGGGCTCGAGGACTTCACCAACAAGGTGCATTCGTACGAGCACAAGCTCATTGTGAATGCTACGGCCAAGGTGGTGCAAGATGTGCTTGCAAGCAGGAAATGAGCAAAAGAAAGAGAAAGAAAAAATAAAAAACTACAACGAACGAAACTTCAAAAAAAAAAAAAATCAACGCAGAGCATCAAGATGGGGGGGGGGGGGGGGGGGGGGGGGGGGAACATGGATATGAATTGTCTACGAGAAGGGCACCCAAAGGGGGGCCCGACCGCAAACAGAAGACCCTGGCTTTCCCCTGCAAGGATATTATCTTATAGATCATCCATTTACTACTACATCTCCGCCCAGCCCCCGGTATATTCCCTCGTCAAGGAACGCCTCATATCCATCGTGGCACAGTCGCAGGCACGAACAGATGGCAGGATATTCGACCCTGTGCTCTCAGCTGGATCCACCACACAGCACGTCCTGCCTTGCGATATTGCCACAGGTGCAGCAGCAAGAGCGCAACGGGATCCCTATTCCTTATCGATGCCTCAAAGACCCCCTTTATACTCTGCACAAACAGCTCTGTTAGACTGACAGACTGCGACCTGCTCTCAGGAGAAACGCCACGGAATGAGCAGCATTGAAACAAGAATTTTCCTCGGCTGTAGGGGAGGCGATATTCACGGCTCACCTTGACCCCTCGCAGGCTAATAATCTTCTACCGGACATGCAGGCTTCACACTAATATCCGGTCGGATGCAGAGTCACCCGATCGGCCGGCGTGTTAACGCATCCTCGCCGGGTGCGGACTGCGTATCGGGCTATAATGATGCTCTAGTTGTGTGGATTCAATCGTATCTGCTGCAGAAGAGGACGGGTTGGTGATACGGCATCGCTTCTTTGCAGCGGGGATGCTGGCGGCGTGCCAGGATGGGCTCAAGGCCTCTGCCGTTGTAGACGTATTGCCGGGGAAGGGGAGTTTTACTTGGTGAACCTATCTCATCCCAACATTTTGTCGTGAAATCTTCGGACACCCTGAAGTTTATATATTGACTTTACCTGGTAGACCAAGTCTTGTGAGATGTTATGAGAAGAGTGTGTTGCACCATATTGATCTGCAGTTATCGAGGACTTCGATATGTGAAGAACTCGCCCTCCAAGATGGGGCCCACTTCTTCGTATTCAATAATACTGTCTATCATTAGTGGCATTTCTATGAACGTATCCGTACATGCAATTAAGCATTGATACTGGTTAGCGCTTGCAGGTGCCGGGGGGGGGCTCATCAATCCCCCTTCTGGTTGCAACAAGGCTAAACGACCATGGAGTTCATCTACTATTATTACTTGACATTGTGCCTCAAGCTCTTTGACTGGTAACAGTACTTACTGGTGGCTAATACGTATCATGACTACTATTTTCGGTGCCACGATTGCCAACGATGCTCTCACATTGTAGCTACTCGTTCTACCAGGCGTGAAATGACCCCATCACCTCCACCCTCCCTCTCGCGGCCTCCTCCCATGACACTTCATTCCTGGAGCAGTTCATCTATGATGTCGTTGGGCGTGCGCTTCGGCGCGTAGATGGCCGGCACCTCCTTGCTAGCGGTCGAGGCGGCGAGCTTGCCTTCCCAAGCGGGACCGATAGAATGCTTCACGGTGCTGATGTACGGCCGGATCTTTTCCGGAGAGTAGGCAGCCATGTTATCGAAGAAGGACGTGTCCCTGAAGACGACGTTGCCAACCTTGGCACCGATATGCTTCTCGACGATATCGACCACGTCCCGGCCGTTGACGTCGACGGGGCCGGTGACAACGTAGTGAGACTTGGTGCTGGAAGGGTCTTCGGACACGAGGAGGTGCGCGCCAAAGGCTCCCACCTCTGCCGGATCGATGATGGCGTGGGGCGCATGCTCGTCAATGGCGAGCCTCAGCTCAGCGGGCTGCTTACCCGTCTTGCGGGTCTCCTTGATGTATTCGGCGGCCGAGGCGAGGTACATGTTCCCGAAGGCAGGCGGGTGGATGGATGAGCTAGGTAGGCTCTCGAACTCGGGGGACTCGAGCACTCTCTCGATGGCCCAGTGGTTCCGGGGGTAGAATGCCAGGCTATCCGGGCGCACCATGGGCCGGCCCGTCGACACGCGCACCACGTACTCCACACCGGCGGCCAGGGCGGACGCGTACATGCCCGACTCGTCGACGAAATGGGTCGCGGTCACGCTGGACGCCAGATAGATGCGCTTGACGTTGTGCTCGCGCAGCCACTCTGGCGTCGTGCCGATCCAGTCCTTCTCGATGACCGTCACACCGGGGAGCTTGGCGATTTCCTTGGCTACCGCGCCCGAGGCGGACCGGGTCACCGCGATGATCTTGTGGCCTGGAAGCGGGGACTTGTCGGCCGTGAGTAGGGCGGAGATGGTCTTGATGGCGCCACGGCCCGTGCTGCCCGTGGCACCGACGATCAGGACGGTTGAGGACATGATGAAGATGGGTTTTTTTTTCTTTTTTTTTCTTCTAATTTGTATGTTTTCTCGTTTATATTCTAAGGCCAAGCAATAATCTTGCTGTAGTAGTGGTAGTAGCAGTGGAAACAGAAGATATAATAGATCGAGACATAGTCTGATGAAGGCCAGAACCGTCCCTTTATAATTTCCAAGCTGCTTCTAAAGCACGCAATCATCTCCGCAATCGTCTCCGCAAACACTGCGGAGTTTCCTCTACACGTTCATCTCCTACTGTTGTGAGAGGTATCACATATAAACAAACACTAGTATCTGTAATGCGTGGATCAGTCTGGCACTGGACTTCCACATTGGGTAGTCTAGACTCCAGCTCCATACTCCGGTCCCCCTGGTGGAGTATCATTACCAAGAAACTCCTACACCATATCATCACGGTGTGGTAGGCGTTTATGCCAAGAATATATTTGTAACCCACGATATCGTAGATATGTGGCCGCATATTATGGTGCAGGAGTTTCTTGGTAACGATACTCCATCAGGAGGACCGGAGTATGGAGCTGGAGTCTGGACTACCTAATGTGGAAGTCTAGTGCCAGACTGATCCACGCATTACAGATACTGGTGTTTGTTTATATGTGATACCTCTCACAACAATAGGAGGTGAATGGGTAGAGGAGAGAAGATTCATCAGGGGCTTATCATCATGACTTTGCAGATGATCTGCTAGCCTTCAAACGTCACCATTGCTGGTGTACTGAATCTTCCTCAGTTCCGAGGCTATCTTATTGCAAGTCAGGTTTGGCCGCTGAAGCTCAACATTGGCCTGGGTTACTATCTGGTCCGGGACGGTGGGGATGTAATATGATGTGTCATGAGTTGGCGGCTAGGAGCATGTGCACGTCCCTGGTTTCATGCAGCCGATGCTTAGTTCGAATTCAAGGCTTCTAAGGTTGAGAACTTTCCCTTTATTTTTATCTCTCATCTTGCTGCCCTCAATGGATCTCATCTTCCCGCAAAGCGCATTCGAAGCGGCCTAGGATCGATGGTATCTAGGATGGATATATCAACCCGGGGGAGAGGAACTAGAACATGTCATTGAATAAGGACGAGAACATGTACGCAATTGAGGTGATCATTTTTCTTACATGTCTCGCCAAAAAAAAAAAAAAAACCGCCATGTTTATTTTCCGTCCAGTAATGATAAATATATACTTTGAATCCACCTAACAAGATTGATAAACCCCCAACGTCGCGCACCAGGCGCAACCCGAACAGCTCATATGCATCAGCTTTTACCTGTAACAGTCAGTCTTGAATGACTTGATGCCAGCAACGTCCTGGCAAGTGCCGACGAGATCGGCATAAGGCTCAAGTTCGTCGACGCAAGCCGTGTCGCTGTACAGGGAGATGTGGCAATATCCACGGGGCTGTGTATCTGATCAGCGACAGTTTACGACGAGGATAGTGGCAATCTGAGGGCAGAAAGCGTCATCATACCCTGTTCTCGTAGGCACTCAGGGAGTTGGCCGTCTCGTTGAGGATGGTACAGTCGGTGTGGGCGGCGCCCTTGACAAAGTGGGGAGCTGAAAGGGGACGGGTCAGTATTGATATTTCTACATCTCGGACAAAATGATGGGCGTTTATATAGGTGGTGTCAAGACGCCAAAGAGGAAGAGTGATTGGAAGAGAGAGAGAGAGAGAGAGAGAGAGAGGTGGAAGAAAACGTACTGGTGTCATGGCAGCCGGTGGTGGAGTGAAAGGTACCGGCGTACTCGTCAAAGGCGGCCACCAGGGCAGCAGGGAAGATGGCGACGGAAGCGATAGAGAAACGCATGGTGGGTAGATCGAACCGGTGATGAGAGCTGAGGTATGCGAAGAAGGAAGAGAGGAAGGATAGTGAATATTCGAATCGTTAATACTCCAAGACTGAGCAGGCTGACGGGCCATCGGGGGGAGGGGGCTCCTTTTATGAACGAGTGATGAGACCACCTCCAACCCCGAGGTAATACAAGAAGGGAATAAGAAAAGAGCAAGAGGAAAAAAATCGGTGGGACTGGAAAGAGACGATCGTCGGTCGGGTGCGCAAACTAACAAGGCTACGATTGAATACAGTCGCGTTGGGAACTAGAACGAAGTGTGAAATGTGTGGAGAAAGACGATGGTGTTCTTACGGAAAAGAGGAAGGTGACTGATGATCATGACCAGAGAAAAAAAGGACCGAGTGTCGTGTGAGACGGAGACCAGGTACGTTTTCTCCGTCCTAGGGACCCTGACATTGACGGGAAAGCATGTGTCTTGTTTTGCCACGGCCCACGAGCGACCGGGATATGGGCCCTAGTCATGTTCAAAGATCATCTGCGTTCTGATACTGTATTCCTGGTAGGTAACTAGAGTCATGTCTAACTGCTAGTCAGAGGCACCGTGCTGCTCGCGAATGGTAACAGTCGTCTTTCTCGAGAGAATAATACATCGCGTGCAAGTGGATACATTCTTAGCATCGACATGACTCTCTCGTCTTTTGCTGACTCCCCCCTGGACCGGTGATATTACTATAAGCGGGGTCTCTGATCCTCTACCCGTATAGGGAGGTTTTGTTGAGCTTCATATTTATGAAAGAAGAATATATGCATCTAAATGAACCAACCACTATTCACGTATCGTGCCATATCATGCTCTACCCTTTCACAGAAATATCTCCGGTCAATACTTGCACACCCCACTCTGAACTTCTCTCCACGTTTTCTCCATAATAATCTTCCTGCTAAAGCATTACGGGCCTTCGTTACATACTACGTACTACCCTGACTCATCTGCCATCCACCCTGTCTATCCGGCCCGTGTGTATCGGATCGAGGAATACAGAGAGATGGGGCAAGTCCGGTCGTCGTCCTCTGGATGAGTTACTACTGCACGGTAATATTCTACAAAGCAGGACAAGTTCATCGCATCGGTACGCCCATCTCCGAGCGGGGCAGTGAATCATGCTGGCGGCATGCGAGCAAGGACAAATCACCTCCAAGGCATTGATATGTTCAAGTCTATTGTCGGCTCAGAGTCTCTTTCCTTCCACCCGGCTTCTCTCCAGCTGCCGTGTGTGGCCCTCCCTGTTCTCGTCTCTTCCCGTGAGAAGGAGCTGACTTGCTCACATACAATTCTGGCCAACGGCTGAATGTCTAGTCAGTGATTCCGTCAATCTCTCGAGTCAACCGTGTCGCCTACCGTCCTAGTCTCTCTACCGCCCGAGAAGTCCGTACTGACGTCGTCATCGAGGTCAACCAACCAATCTGTGTGGTGACCCGACGGCGCTCCTAGATATGGGGGAGACACGTCGATCAGTGACGGTGCCCGGGCAGCCCCCAGACTGGGACTCTCCGATGTTGACCCCTCTACTTGTATGTCTCAGTGTCACCCGGCTACGAAATGCCTCGGTAATTTCGCTGGCCCACCGCCCGCCTTGATCCTCCCCCCCTCCCCCCTGTCCCCTCAGCATTGCCGATAGGTCCAGCTGATCTCGAGAGTTACCTCGGAGGACGGGGGCTGATATATCAAGAAACGCGGCATCTCACCGGCGGAGCCTTGGCACCGGCGTCCTCGGCCCCGCTCCGGATGCTACCTCGACATGTGCGCGTCTTGGGCGGAAGTTGAAGGTGCATGCATCTGTAGTCGTCGTAGATGGCCGAGCTTGATGGCCAACAGTGCTACGATATGTACTACCGTTCTTGTGCCTGGAAGGCTGTGCTGTAGGTTTGGCAGGTCAGAGTGCCAATGAGCCAGGAGAGGAAGGCAACTGCCAGCGTAGATCACATGAAGCGATCGCCGTATCTGTACGAGCAGAGCCTTGGTCGACATGAGAAGAGACCCCTCCAGCAGGGCGTAGCCCAAGGGAGGGTACGACCCGGCAGAACGTGGCATTTGCCACAGCCGAGACACCCCCAAGTCGAGACTGTGTATCGTAGATGTCGAAATCCTCCTGGTTATACGGAAATTAAAACTCAAGACTCGCAACTGTCAACTCAGCTCCAATGTTGAATGATCTCTGGCAGCTTGTACCTAGCGCGAAGGCCTCTCGTACCAATTGTGCCGAGAGCCTTTCCAGACTTGGTGCGCTGGCGCAATGGTAGCGCGTAGTCCTCCTACTTTGCCATGTGCGAGGTGGAGATAAGACTAAGGCTCAGGGTTCGAGTCCCTGGTGTATCGGATTTTTTTAGTGCTCATCTCTCGAGTAGTCAGCTTTTGTTATTCGGCAAAGTATATACCTATGTTATATCTTTATGAGATTAGGCTAGACTTGGTTGCTGGATAGGCCAACCCCCCCCTTTTTTTTTAAAATCGATTTCTCTTCTCTCTACATCGAAATCCTCCTACGTTCTCTCCCCCCCCCACTCCCCTTATCCATTTCTTACCTTCTTCTGTTGGACTCTCTTGATCGTCGCCAACATCCCTCTTCTTCCCAATGACTCTCCAGACAGCATACGAGAGAGCTTGCATGATTGACTATGAGTAACGGTTAGAAACACAACGCCTCCCGTATCTCGTATCACTCTGGGGAGGCACAAGTGAATGTCAGAGGTGTTAGAGAAAAAAAGCCCTCTATATCATTCGCAACTTCGCCAAGAATCGATAAAACTTCCATCAGCTACTGACATCTCGCTTAAAGTCACCGAAGGTGGGCTGCATCATGCTTGGGCGCCTCCCAGCTACGTAAAACGGCAGTGACGCGCTGCCATCGACATGCCTCTTGTGACGAATGCAGACTCCATCTGGTGGGGAGTTTTTCATATAAATACACTGCCACCGCCCCGTTGAGCTGACACTCTCATGCCTGGCATCTTGAGCCATATCGCCTGTTACATGCCATAATAGGCGATATCCATCCTGGGAAGGAGAAGGAGGAAAAGAGGAAGAAGGAAAAAGTTGCATCATGTCCTCCAGCAGCCAGACGGCCATCGACGGCTACCACTGGCTGTGCTCGGAAATCTTACAATATCACTTGCGGACCGGCGGCAAAAGGGACCTGGCTCTTGATGTGCTATGCGGACAGGGTCTGACGATCGAGGCTCTCCTATCATACTTTCGCCGTTGCGTTGGCATAGATACGCACGAAAACATTCTCGAGTACAGATTGCTGCCGGTGTACGCAAATGACCTGGTAACTCTGGCCCAGTCAACACCCGAGCTTCTCGGGACCGACCAGTCGGAGTACGCGCCGCAGAGTACGGTCAAAGAGGGCACCGTCGACCTGATAACGCTCATGAGGGACACCAGGGAGATCAACATGGACCAGTTCTGGCACCGCGCCGCCGAGGTCCTCAGACCGGGCGGCACCGTCGCCTTCCTGACGCTGAGCCACCCGGTCGTCTCCATCGAGGGGGAGGGGGGTTATCCCGCTGCCATAGGTATCAACACGGCCTTGGAACGGCTATTCGAGGGCCAACACCTGCGCCAGTACGTCGAGTTCTCCCACGCTCACACGTTTCTATACACGGATACGGAGATGCCGTGGGGCCTGTATGCGCCCGAACATGCCTTTGAGCGGCAATGCTACTTCAAACAGACCGACGTCGCTCCGGATAACCCCCCGAACGTGGACCATCCGGGGGGCGAACTGACAGTCCGACAGTTCATGAATCTTGTCGAGGACATGATTGCCGTGCGGAGATGGAGGAGGGACAACATACTCAAGTGTGCGACTGAACGTGACGTCATCTGGCAATTCAAGTCCCTCCTCACGACCATCATGAACCGATGCGGTCGCTCTACCATGACAGTAACCAGGAAGAAGGTTCTTGTGATGGTCAAGAAGAAGCATCGATAGAGCTCATGACGTATCACGATGTCGATGACACTTTGCGGGCGTGCCTTTCCTCCTGGAATTTGTTCCCGGAACATCATGACGCGTAGCCTGCTATATGACGTGTGTCTCTTACACAAGTAGAAGGTGGCTAGTATATATATATATATATATATATATATATTATACTAGCTTGGTCTCAAAGAAACAGTTCATCAATGTCTGCTTTTCAGCCTTCCCTTTTTTTTTCATTCATATGACACGACCGACATGACTGCTGCTGCAACCGTGGGGCCTTGTCGCCAGTACGTGCATACGACCGGTGAGAGGCAACCAGTAGGCAGCTGACTATATACTGAATATATGCATCACTAACCCCGATAGTCTCTCGACTAAAGTTATTGATGCTGTTCTCTTTCTCCATTCTCCTGCCTTGTTAGATTCCCCTCTGCAAGGGACGGAGGTTGTGTGCTATGTATGTAGAAACAAAGCCGAAAATATGTACATGTAATCATTATAATCCTGGGAACTCGTCAAGGAAAGAAGAGTGAGTAGGGGCAGGACACTCTAGGCAAAGTACTTTCCAGTGAAACCGGGAAGGATCTCCTTTCCCTCCGTCTCCTGGTATGTCTTGGCCTTGCTGCTCTGCTGCCACGTCTGCTTGAGGGTGGTGAACTCCCCCATTGTGGGGACGTGGTGGCCGCCGGCCTCGAACTCATTCTGGGTGTAGCCCTCACGCTTCAGGAGGGGAGAGTCAACCGTCTTGAGGACGAGGTCGTTCTGGGGGCGGGAAAAGTACAGGAGACCGAGACGGTCGACGTGGCGCTGATCCTTGGGAGGGAGGGAGACCTGAACAGTTGGTCAGCCGGTGAGCAAGCAGATATATAGGAAAAGGAGAGGTGCAAGAGAAGGAAAAAAAAAGGAAACATACTCGGTGGACGGTAGACTTGATGTAGCCGCCTGTGAGGAAGCTGAGGGCGTCACAGGTGTTGACAGTCAGGCTGCCGTCGAGGGGCTTGGCCCACTTCCACTTACCGGACTCGTGGTCGCGGATCTGGAGGGCGGCGACGGGCTGGCGGAAGAGGAGGGTGATGGTGCCCAGGTCTGTGTGTCCGCGCGACCAGAGCCCGTCCTCGAGCTTGGCCACCTCCTCCTCGCTGAACTTGGAGTACTTCATGTACCGTAGGTGGGACTCATCGTGGACCTCCCACCTGTGCAGGCGGGTGAAGAAGTCCTCGGGGAGCTCGAGGGCCAGGGCGATGAGGTGGTTCAGGGGGTCGAGCACCTTGTCGTGGAGGTCCTTGGCGAACGACTCAATCTCGGCCTTGTTCTTCTCCAGGAGCTCGGGGAGAGGCTGGGTGATGTGACCGTCGTTGGCTGAATGCTGTTAGCGGGAATGTCTGCCGAGAAGATGGATAGATTAAGAGATCAAGCGATTGATATATTGAGCGACCAAGGGAGAGAGAGAGAGAGAGAGAGTTGAGAGAGAAAGAGATGAGAAACATACTGGCCATGTTCCAGACTTCAGTCTTGTCCTTGAGTCCACCGCTGAGCTCTCGCCTACCGGCGGGACGGTAGCCGTTGTAGTCGCCCGCGTCGAGGTTGGGAATGTACTTGTTCTTCTCCTCCAGGGGAAGCTCGTAGAACTTCTGGCCAAAGGCGAACTGACGATCCACGGCCTCCTGGGAGATGCCGTAGTTGGTTACGTAGAAGAAGCCTTTTGTGCGGACAGCCTCGATGAGGAGATCTGCCAGCTCCTTGTTGCCCTCGGGGGTTCCATACTTGGAGAGGTCAACATTAGGCACTGTCAAGAGCTCTTGTTAGCCGTCTTTTCCACTCGCACACTCCTCCCCTATCCGAAATCTGATATATACGCGTGAAACTTACAATCAGCCCAGTCCAAGTTCTCCTTCGTCTCGGAGACGTGGGTGTACTGGTAGAGTTGGGGCACGGCAGAAGGCATCTTTGTGAACTGGTGCAGGTTGTTATATTGTATCGTCTGGGGTTGACCTTATATAATGTACACTGATGGTATTAAAAGGAACAGGAATGAGAGCAGAAGACAGAGACGACAACGACAAACGACACGTTCGATATTCGACGCGTCCCTGCCTTTGCATTTATCAATCAACCTACCCCTCAGTGACTAGCCCCCCATCCCTTACCCCTCATTGCTCTTTCACAATGCTCTCAGACGGAAACACGACGTTTGTCATCGACCAGTTCTGTGCGTCAAACGCAAGTGATGCCATCAAGCACGCAAGATGCTGCTTTCCCTGTCTTATGGGTCCGGGTGTAACTTCTATCTCGCTTCAGTGACATGTGTGTATTTATCCGGAGGCTACCCTTCTCTATCGCACTCTCCGTAGATAACTTCTTTGCAGACAGGGTAGCATTTGATTGTGCAAGTTCAAGACTCAGGGTATCATAACCATGCATCGTGGTGTGTAATGCCGTCATCGCGGTTGAGATCACGTCAACGACAAACCCCGTCCTCTATGAGATGCTGACAGTCGACCTACCCCCCCCTCGCATCTCCCCCCATTTATATCCTGCTATCTCTCCCAATGGATATGGAATCTACCGGATATTGCATGTTATTTCCCGACGGCAGTTGGTACCGAATTACCGCGTCGTTGGCTTTAGCTGTCAACTTGCTCCACCTTAGCAGGGCAATATTCCTTCAATGGGCCATGAAGTAACAACCTCTACACGCTGATGGGCCCACGGGGGCAGATATCGTCATTCTCTGTAGAATTGCGCTTTGTGCTATTTCGCGCGCTCAGGCTCTTACTTGTCAAGAGTATCCGAGTAATAGTGCTAGTAACTCTCTGCCATTCCGGATGTTGCCTGCATGTTGGTGGAGTCCCAATGCTTGGCCCATGGGATAGCCATCACCGTCGATATATTATTACCAGTAAAACCAGCAGCTCTGTTTCAATCTCTTCGTTCCTCAAGACATTTGGCTTCTTCCCTCTTTCTCTTCCTCCTCGGCTCCCCATCAGGAGAAAGCATCAGCCAGCATGGGCTTCCTCACGCGGGCCAAGAAAAATCCCGTGTTGGCCGTCGTTATATCCGTCTTTGACTGGTATCGTATGTTCAACCTCAACTCTTATTCGCACAGACATCAGCGGTTTGCGACTGGACATCTGACAAGATCAAACTGCCCACAGCGTCACATTATTCTGCCCAAGAGAGGAAGATTCTTCGGAAGCTTGACCTGTCCATCCTTATCTTTGGCTCTCTCAGCTGTAAGTAGCATGCATACACACGCATATATGCCCGCCGGACATGACCTCGAAGCTGACGAAGGATATCTCGTATAGTTTTCTGCCGTGTATGTCGCGTCTTGATCAGTGGCACACCCATTCACTAGCATATACACATGTACATGTTGCCATCCTCCATGAAACCCCGGCTAACAGACAGTGCCGTTCAGTTCCTCGGGCAGCAAAACATTACCAATGCATACGTGTCGGGGATGAAGGAGTCCCTTCATGCCAATGGCAATGAACTCAACTATTTTGAAGTCTCTTGTAAGCACGAGATGCCGACAAGAGAATCGTCTGCCAAGTGCACATGGTTGACTGACGCTGTTAGATAACACGGCCTATGTCGCCGGACAGATCCCGCTTATGGCACTCCAGACGAAGCCCAAGATGTACGTTGCATGCAGCCCCCTCACCCGGAGGCTTTTTGCGTGTTGGAAACTGACATCCCGCTCCAAGTGCCCCCCATCTGCTGCCTTGTTTGCAAATCGTCTGGGCCGTCATCGCCTTTTGCCAGTCACTAGTCACGAAGAGCTGGCATCTGTACCTCTGCCGCGTAATCACAGGTTTCCTCGAAGCCTCATCATTCGGCGGAACCCATCTCATCAGTGAATTTTACCCTCCCCTCACCATCGGCCTTGTTCCCAGGGAAGCTAACATCGCTCCAGTCGGGTCGTGGTTCAAGAATGAGGAAGTCTTCAAGAGGGCTGGTGTCTGGTTCATGGGGAACTCTCTGGGCTCCATGTTCTCGGGATACCTCCAAGCCGCCATCTACGACAACCTCAACGGCGTTGGTGGCCGAACAGGGTGGCAGTGGCTCTTCGTAGTCCAGGGAATCATCACTCTGCCTATCGCATTCATCGGCTTCGTATCCTGGCCCGGCCTGCCATCCTCGCCTAAGCCGTGGTTCTTCACCGAGGAAGAGTTCCGGATCGCGTCGACGCGCATCAGGACCGTCGAACAGAAGGGTATCACCTGGAGCACATTCAAGTACACGCTCAGCCGGCCCATGTGGTGGATTTGCGTCCCCTGCTACGTGTATGTTCTCAATGACGCTGACCTTCTTTGCCCTGCAATCGGAGAAATGAAACCAATGCTAATCCGCGAGTCGCAGCTGTATGATCCAGGCGCACTACTGGACAGGCTACATGGCCCTCTGGCTCCGCTCATCCGGCTACACGGTGACCCTGGTCAACATCCTACCCACCTTCATCGACCTCCTCCGCGCAATCTGCTCGTGGCTGGGTACCACGCTCGCCGGCTCTCTCAGCCTCCGTGGCCTCTGGACGTTCCAGTCCGTCCCTGCCACATTCGCCATGATTGTCCTGGCGGTGTGGACCGTGCCCGACGGCATGAAGTTCGTGGCCTTTTACTGTGGCGGCTTCACCGGCATGGCCTCGCCCATTCTGTACTCGTGGGTCAACTTGACTCTGAAGGAGAGCTACGGAGAGCGCGGGCTCGTCATCTCGTCCATGATGACTTTCGGCTACGCCTTCAGGATCTGGGTTCCCCTCTTTACTTTCCCTACCGTCGAGGCACCTCGGTACCCTCATGGGTATCCCGCCACGGTCGCCTTCCAGGTCGCCATGTACGGTCTGCTCATGTTTGGCGTGTGGTACATGAAACGGTGGAAGCTTATGCACGATGACCTCGAGGCTAGAATTGTTGACGTGGAAGAGGAGGTGCAGCAGGAAGGCTCTAGCGGCGAGAGTGAGCGTGGTGGGAAAGACGTTGGCCAGGTGAAGAACGTGAGCGTCGTGCAGACGACATAGCAGCTAGTTATACCTTCTGCGGGATTGTGCTCAAGCTAGCACCTTGTTCGACGGGATCGCGATAGGCTAAAAGACCAAGCGGCATACATATCATATGGTACAGAATTCAAGCTAAGCTTTGACACATTCAAACCCTTCCATAGTGTCCAGGGCGTCCCGAATAATCCTGGCATACTGGGGAATTCCTCCGGGGAAACAAACCGGCTCAAACACCTTGTCAGGGATACTGCCCCCCATGTACGTCGACTTGGTAGTCGGGAACAGGGTAGCGTTGTTGATGGCCACCAGCCTGTCCTTCCACTGGGAAGCAGCATCCTTCTTGGGGTTGATGTATCGGATATTCTGCCTCTCCATCTTCCGGATCATGTCGACGATCCACCGACCCTGCACCTCGACCGTGGTGGGGCCGTTGCTGAGCAAGGTTGGGCCCTGCGGACCGTATATGTGGAACATGTTGGGGTACCCTGGGACCGTGGTGCCGAGGAAAGTCGAGGCTCCCGTGGACCACTGTTCGTCCAGTTTATCGTTGTTGATGCTCTCGAGGCCGAGCTGGGTCATGACTCCGGTGACGACATCCTGCATTTCGTCACGTATTAGAGAAGAAGAAGAAAAGGAGGAAGAAAGCAAAGACTCACGAATCCCGTGGCAACGGCGATGACATCAAATTCATGGTGCGTCCCGTCTTGGAGGGTGATGCCCGTCTCGTCAAACTCCTTGATGGGATTCGACTTGATATCCACCAAGTCGACGGTCTCGCGGTTGAACTGCTCAAAGTAGTCGTGCTCCAGGCAGGGACGCTTGATGCCAAAGTAGTGCGGCATTTCGTTGGGTGCGAGCAGATCCCTGAGCTTCGGGTCGCCAATGCGCGCCCGCGTCTTTTCCACCCAGAACCGGTACGACTCCTTGTTGGCCTCGGGATTCATCAGGTTGTCCTTGTACAGGGCGACCCAGTAGCGGAAACCGCCGTCCGCCCAGACCTTCTCGTAGAATGCCCTGCGTTCCTCGGGCGAGTCGTCAAACGTGTTCTTCTCGCTCCAGTCGTATAGGAATCCCGCGAAGCTGTCCTCGCGGAACTTGAAGAGCTCGGGGTAGAACTTCTTGGCCGCCTCCTGCTCCTCTACCGTCAGGGTCTTCCTGCGCATGGGAACGGCCAGATTTGGTGTCCGCTGGAAGACCTTGACGGAACCGGCCTCGGGTCCCCACGCCTGGACGATTTGCACGCCCGAGGCTCCCGTTCCGATGACGGCACAGCGCTTACCCTTGACCTCGACCTTCTCGTCCGGCCAGAACGATGAGTGGTGTACTACGCCCTTGAACTTTTCCATGCCAGGCCAGTCGGGTATGTATCGACGAGCAGCCTGTTGATGTTGGGATCAGCACACATGTATACGTGGCCGATTGGAAGTGCAAGGCGGAGGTGTACGACGTACGAATCCAGTCCCGAGGACCAGGTACTTGGCTTTGGTCACCCGACCGTCCTCGGTGCGGATGTTCCACCTGCCAGTGGAGGTATCGAAATGTGCACCCACGACGACGGTGTGGAAGGCGCAGTCCTTCTTGATACCCACCACGTTGTCGACGTGGTCAAAGTATCGCCGTAGGTCCTTGTAGTTGGGGTAGTTGTTGGGCCAGTTCCACGTCTTCCAAACCTCGGGCCAGGAGAACTCGTATTCGGGCACCTCAGAATCGACGCCGGCACCTGGGTAGCAGTTCCAGCGCCAAGTACCGCCAATGTCGTTTCCGGCTTCAAAGATGTAGGTCTTCAGACCACGGTCACGCAAGGACTTCAGCATGAAAATGCCGGCTGAGGTCGCATGTTAGCCCAAGCAAAGGGCGAATAGGTTTCTGTCTCTTCTCTCTCTCAGTCCCTTACCAAATCCTGCACCAACTATGAGAGCATCTACTTCAAGGTCCTTGGCGTAGGGACCTGCCGTCTCCTGATGAGATTCGGAAAAGTCCGTGAGTTCGGTTTTGAACTTCTTGGGATGCAGGGGGATTTGGTCGCCCATGGTGATAGTGGTTATGCTAAGAGCTGAAAAGGGGGGGGAGTATGCAATGAGAGAACAAAGTATGGACACTGAGAAGTGCTGGGATATCGAAAGACTGTGAATCTGAAAGCAGAGTCGAGTCTGTTGGAGGAGAGCTCTTATATATCCAGAATGAGCATCACCCGAGGCATCTAGCTTGGGTTTACAGACTTTACCGTGGTATTGGAATTTCCTTTGCCGATGGAATGATACTAGCTTGTAAAATTCCCACAACGATGATATCACCCATAACCTAGTCCTCGCAGTATACCAAGAGAGACGGTAAGGAGACAAGAGCACAAAAGAGACATACTCTTCGGCATCTCAATCGGCACCGAGATATGGAATTCCACTCGGGACCGCACTCAGTCATGAGGGCTCACCTCGAACCCTGATGTCTTTTACTCTTATCCGGCCATAAAACGACCCTAGACGAAAGTTAGTTATAGCGTTTCAACCCCGCAACCAGACCGAACCAATGCAGAAGAAGATCATGCGAAGCCACGTCTCACCTCAGCCTTCATGATCTGGGGTAGTCTGGGGTAGATCCAGTAGATCCACTTTTCTGCGGATCCCATTTGGGAAAGTTCACTGTCTGGAGATGCGGAACCGCAGATGGGAGGAGGCGTGTGCCATGCCAGGTCGTGATATAGGCTTCATTCAGAGCCTGTAGAATCTGTGAGACGTCCGTTGCAAAGTCGAGGAGACCGTGGAGGGTCTCATCGTACGGGGGTGGGGGGAGCCAATCCGGCAATTCTTCACCCCGCATTGTTGTGGACATAACCTTGTCATGAGGTCCGACTCTTATTTGTCCACGATCCTAGTGGAGCCAAACGAAGCAGTATATAGCTGGGGGTACTGAGACGTGGCCGTTCCCCGTTCCATCCGTCCACGGGAAAACAGAATCCGACTCATTCATTCATCGGCACATCCTCTCGATACTATCCACAACAGCCATTTACACACCATGTCACTCGACGCTCAGACTATCTCCAATCTTAGGAGCACCATCGATTCGGCGTGTACTGACGAGAAAACGGATATTCCTGGGGTGACTGTTGTGGTTGTTGGAAAGGATGGTAAAGAACTGTTTGCCCACTCCTCGGGCAAGCAGGGCATCACATCTAATGCGCCCATGACACTCGACAACATTTTTTGGATTGCGTCGTGCACAAAGATGCTCGTGGGGGTGGCTTGTATGCAGCTCGTCGAGAAGGGTGTCCTGACTCTTGACGATGGCGACCAGGTGGAGAGCCTCTGCCCGGAGCTGCGTGATATCAAAGTGCTCCAAGAGGATGGCACGCTTGAGGAAAAGAAGACGAAGATTACTCTTCGTATGCTCCTCACGCATACGGCGGGATTTGGATATAGTTTCTTCAACGAGCGTATCCGTGACTGGTCCATGCCGGCTGGATTGAATGAGTTTTCAGGTCGCTTCGAAGATATCAAGATGCCACTTCTGTTCCAACCTGGGACAGGGTGGGAGTACGGCGTAAGTTTGCTTTCCCTCTGATCAGCCTAGCGATCTACGGTGTACTGAACGAATACTAGGTGGGAGTCGACTGGGCTGGAGTAGTTCTTGAGAGAGCAACTAGTGCCACTCTCAACGACTACCTCCAGAAGAATATCTTCCAGCCGCTCGGAATCAGGAATATGTCCATGATTCCGAGTAAGGAGATGAAACAGAAGATGGCTCATATGCATGCGAGGGAGAAGGATGGTGTCTTGAGGCCCAGGGATCACCTCCATCGCCGGGCCCTCGTCATCGACCCAGACAACGAGTCCGAGGTGAAGCAGTTGTTCAACAGTGGCGGCGCCGGCATGTTTGCTAAGCCCCAGGAGTATACTCGTAAGTCATATGACCTTCATCGCATTGATTTTTCCGTTTCGGTTGGCCAGGTCTAAACGCACCAATACGGGAGCAGAGATCTTGTCTGTGCTGCTGAACAATGGCACGTGCCCTCGCACGGGGGTCCAGCTCCTACGCAAGGAGACGGTGGATGAGATGTTCACGAACCAGATCCCCAAATTTCCCAACTTTGGGCGCCAGGGAATCCCTCCATCCAAGCCAGACCAGACCAACGCGATTCCAGAGATATACCCCGTCCCTGGGGATCCGCCACAGGGCTGGGGCCTGACCTTTATGCTGACCAACGGCGGAGTGACTGGAAGATCGACTGGGGCAGCCATGTGGGCAGGTCTGGCCAATCTCTGGTGGTGGTGTGACCGGGAAAACGGAGTGGCGGGCATGGTCTGCACCCAGATTCTCCCGTTTGGCGATGCCAAGGTGCTGGGACTGTGGGTCGATATCGAGGCGCAGGTGTACAAAGCACTGGCTCTAGCCAAGTAAAAATTTTCTAGGAAGGATGCAATGCTAGTTTCGGCGTTGGTTTTATCCTGCAGGAAACTGGATTCGTAATGTGAGCCACATGCGTGAAACGAGGCACATACGCAGAGAGAGGGATATTTGTTGCTGATAGACAGAGGGCAAAAACGAGCCGGTAGCTTCAACGAGGCGATACCGACAGGAGAAAACGACTGTCTGTTCTGTGACAACGTATCGGAAGCATCACCTTTCTTTCCGACCCATAGCCCGGGAGTAAGACACGAGTACGAGAAATGTCTCGAAGGCAACCCTCACGACCGGCGTCTGTCCACTCATAGCTCACGTGGAGAGCGGGGGATTCACTGGAGAGCATCCAGTCTTCCATCAAAAGACCAAAGACCCACTATAGTGGTAGTAGACGGTCAATCAGAAGGTGTCCCAGAAAGAGGGAAATTTCGCTCAAAACCAATGGACGATGATTGCCTTCTACGCCTCATCAACTTTCGGTTTAGTCGAGATCGAAGCGTCATGTTAATATATTTCTCAATGAGAGGGAAAAAACCGGGGGATTGAATACAGTTGGGAGTCTAGGCATTTAAGAAGCGGGGTTATGGAAAAACCGGGGCAAAACAAGTCTGGGGTAACAGGGAAAGCGCAGGGGTGGGTGCCTCTTTCTCTCTTGCGACCGCGACTAGTTGGCCCTTTGACCCCCTCAGACGATGGACACAGCCTCCAGTGCTTCCTGTCCGACTCTCTGACGTTGGCATCCAACTTGCCTCATCGTCCTATAACCCTAGCATCACTCATAATGGGCACGCGACGTCAAAATCATTCCTGCGACCAGTGCAGGAAGTCGAAAAGAGCCTGCGACGCGCCCAGCTTCAATCGCGACCGGTCCGCAGCCGGTCCCCCTCATGGTCCCGGTGAGTATGCGCGACATGACAGACAGACGTCTCTTTCCCCCCCTTAAGACATGTGCTTCACGATGCTAACTGCTGGCTTCTTCTTTTCTTTCTTCCTTTTTATCGCACCCAGGCATTACAAATATCGTCGCCCCCGAACCGTGTTCCTACTGTCTCAAGACGCGAAAAACCTGCACCCTCGACTGGGCTATCCGGCTGCACCGGCAAACACACTCGCGCTTCTCTCGGGTCCAACCCAAAAACGCCCCCAAGGATTCGAACGCGAGGAGTAACGATACAAAGAATGGAGCAGAAACTGCGTCACGAGGTGCTGTTCATCTTCCCCACGATGGTTTCGTACTCAACGCACCCATCCATCAGCGCGGCATATTCCATGATGCTCCCGTCCCCGACGCAGGAAACTTCGTGACATGGCCCGAAAGCAACCTGCCGGACCCCCCGGCCTTTGATCACTCCTTTAGTCTACCGCCAGACCAACATACCGCCTTGGTAAGCAGCCTGTCCTCGGACGCGCTGGCTGAACCCTCGGCCGACCTGAGTCGACTGTCCCAAGGTCTGTCAAATGCGTCAAACAATACAACCGGCGAAGACAGCGTTAGCGATGTCTACGATATCACCTGGGACTCACGGCACACTTCTGTCACTGGACATGGCGCCAGGTCCATCACATCGTCCACCAGATCAGACCGGACTCCACCCCGGAGTGATGGCTCAGGATGGTCTGGCTACCGACGTGGCTCAAACAATTGGAGCTGTCATAGCCAGTCTCTCTCACCGTACTCTCCCAACCAAGCCATTCCCGCCCAATCCATCAACCATTTCATATCTACCGGCCTCCTCAAGATATACCACGACGTTCTTGAGAACAACCTCACATGCTGGGTTACAGAGACCACATGTCCTTACAAGACGCGCGACCTGACAGTCTACGCTCCGAGTCCCTCGGATGCTACCAACGAATGGGGCCCCAGCTGGTCCAACCGCATCTATGCCAGGACGTTACAACTGGATAAGGTGGCCTTGACGAATCGCATGATTCACCTGACACATTCCGAGAATCAAGCTGTCACGAGGGCACTCAACCTCTGCATTGCCGCCTTTGCCTCTCAATGGGCCCAAGGCAGTCGGCGGCAGTCAGAGACGTATCATGTCGGCAGCGACTTTGGTGAATCGCCCGGTCCTACGCCAACGGAGGAGTTTGATCGAAACATCCAACGGCAGTTGTGGGAACAGGCCCGCGAGTCGCTCCAGAGGCTCTCTGACGTCGAGTGCTTCAGGATGGCGGCTGCTGAGTTCATCTTTGGGTTGACTCAAAAGCCATTTGATTCTCATGACCAGCCTTTGGAACCAGCAATTCCCGACGTGTTTGCTGGTGTCACCGGCGCTCAAGGGCTCAAGTCTCTGGTTATGCACAACCTCGATGATCTGATATCTACTGAAGGCCCACCCATCTACATGGAGAGAGCGGCGCGGAAAATGCAGGCCCTGAAATCACGAGTCGACACAATGCGTTACAAGTCGAGGCGATCAGACAACAAGCCGATGCTCAGTTACGAAGATCATGCAACCATTGATCTTCTCTACTGGCTTGCCGTCATGTTTGACACAATTTCTTCGTCAATCAACGATCGGCCAGTAGTTGTCAATGATGAGGAAAGCCAACACCACGCCTTCCCCGAGTCCAATCGTTCGGTGGTATCTCAGCTCAACGAAGGTACGACTATTGGGAGATGGGATATCGAGCTGTTCATACAAGACAATATCCACGAACCAAAGAAGATCCCACAGTGGCCATGCTCCCACAACGAAGCAGCGGATTCGATAATACGGTCTGCACCCATCAAAGTGCTTTTCTTCCGACAGGTGTCCTATCTGCAGAGCATGGTTCGGAACAACACGAGGGGAAAGCCCCTCGATGATCTGATCCACACCACCACCTGTGTCTACAGGTACTGGGAGATGACATACGGCCGATTCTTCCGGGCAATGGTCGACGATATCAACTTTGTGCCGATCCGTATCCAAGGCTGGTTCCTCTGCATCTGGGCCCACTTCCTTCTCGCCTCGCTCATTCTGGGTGACCTGATCGAATACGTGGATACCAACAAGCTAGGCACTCCCTCGGGCACGCAGAGCCGTCTGGCGATGAACACTGTCTCTACTATCCGCAATGACAGTGTTAGACATCTCGCCGATCTGGCGAGAATCTCCACCCCGCACCCCGAAGACTCAAGCAGGATGGCTCAGGTCGATTTTCACCATGCTGTCAATGAGTCAGTGATACTGACTGAACCATGGACCATAATTCTCATCAAAGCATTCAGCTCGGCCGCAACCATCCTTCTAGGCGTGGCGGAGGAGGCTATCACCAAAGGTAGCGGCTTGGGGACCGGTGGTGAGGAGCTCGTGGCCGGGCTCCGGATGGAAGAGGAGTGTATCAAGGCACTCTGGAATTTGGGAAAGAAGTCTGATCTATCACGAAAGACGGCCGAGGTTCTATCCATGGCATTGAGCAGATTGCACGCGTCTCTTGGCACAGGGTTCTAGCTCTTCACCTTTATGACGGCGTTATTGTTTACTGGATTTAGGATTGATTGTTTATGTGTGGAACGTGAACGTGAACCTAATTGGTTTTTTTTTTCTTATTTACTTTGCAATTTTTTTCCCCTTGGACATTAGAGATGGGCGCGAAAACACGGATTTTGTTTATCAGGTGTGTATGGGGTTATACCTTCACGCGGCACAGAGTATTATTACATAGCGGCAGCAGAAGAAAAAATAGCGAACATATTCAACATTTTGAGAGTCTACTACGACTGCAAACCACCCCCCCCCCCCCCAAGAAATTATTAATGTCTTCATTCCCCCTTTGATTTGATTGCTTCTGCGACGCGAGTCTGGTGTGCAATCGTCTTGGCCAGATCGAGCATGCTACTGTTGCCAAGGAGCTGCAAGACAGGCACCGTCACTTCAAACGTCGCTCGCGATCCAGTTCCGTATTTCCTACACAATCATGGCGTTGGCTATTACGCAACCTTAAACACTGACGGTGAAGAAAGGCTTACCACAGCAATGTGCGAGTCCAGTCCATAATGGCTCATGGAGTTCTCCATGTCAATGTCATTGGTGGACACCATGAGCAAGCTGCACATCTTGGCCAGCAGCGAATCGGCGACATGTCTCTCGACTTCCTCGACGGTCGCCGCCTTTTTAGGCAGATCACACACCCTCGGAGTGCTATTGACACCGTCACTGGAAGCCTCTGCATCAGCATATCTACTAGCAGTCGTTCGTGCAGCCAGCAGTCGAACGAGGGACATGGTAGCCGACTTATTCATCGGAGAGTAGCCCCCAAACGGATCGTCGAGGCTAATGATGACGTTTCCGCTCTCCCCAGCGCGCGACGGCTGCATCATGGCCGCCTCGATGGTGGACATGCACTCTTCCTCCGAGATCTCGGCGTGCCCTTGCCCCTGGAGGCTGCGCCACACATCAGCATGCTCCGCTACGTGGTCCACCCCCGCAACCATGTCCGGATCTATCGACACGGCGGGCAGGCCCAGGGTGTTGTTGTGATGGTCGGAAAACGCACCCTGGAAGGTCGGTGCGGCACTGTGGGCGCTCTGGCTCGTGTTGCCTACGATGCTGGTGGCCGATGATAGCAGGACGAAGCAGTCCAGGCTATCGTGCGGAAGGATCTCGTGCAGGTTCCATGTCGACTGCACCTTGGGACGCAAGGTGGCCATGCACACCTCCAGACTTGTGTTGCGGAACAGTGAGCTGGCGAAGTTGCTGGCGCACTGGAAGACGCCGCGTATGAGAGGGAGGGATGTCGTCTGGCCGAGGGCGGCGGCGAGCTGGTCACGATCGCTAACGCCGCACGTGAGTACGTGAGCCGCCTCCAGATTTCGTTGCATCTCCTCCAGGGCAGCCTTGGCTTGCGGTTTCTGCGCGCCGCTGGGTGACATAAAAATCAGGTGTTTGGCGCCCAGGTGAATCGTGCGCTTTGCCCATGCGTGACCGATGCCGCCGAGGCCGTCGAGGCCGCCGATGAGGAGGTAGCTTGCGTTGGGTAGGAACGATGCCCTCTCTTGTCTTCTTGGCAGGACCTGCTCTTTTAGAATCAATATCACTCTTCTTTTCGCCGTGGCTTGGTTCGGACTTGATCTTACCCGCACAACATCATCAACTGTTGGTCGGACCATGAATTTTCCCATGTGCCGACCCGTCTGCATTCTTCTCAGCGCTGTTTCCAGATTCTCCATCGAATAAACCGAGACCGGCCGCCGGGTGTGCACCGCACCATCCATCAACATGGACATCGCTTCCCGCTGCGCAGCTGCTGCCTCTTCCGGCCGCTCCTGGATGACGCCTGCCCGGTCGACGGCCGCAAATGTGACATTGCGCGCAAACTTGGTCATGTCCAGTCTTGAATTGAAAGCGAAGTTACGTTTCCCCAGCTCTGTAAATCTGCCGAAGGGAGCGATACACTCCCACGTGGCACGCAACAGGTCTGACGACAGCAAGTTGAAGATAACGTTGACCCCGACCCCGCCAGTGGCCTGCAGAACGCCTTTCTGGAAGCTGCCGTCGCGGCTAGTGAATATACGATCCTCGCGGATTCCATACTCACCCATCATGAATTCCTTTTTGGCGACGGTGCCAACCGTGATGTACACATTTGCGCCGCGTATCTTGCAAAGCACCACCAGGGCTTGGCCTAGGCCACCGGCCGCGCAGCGGACAAGAACTGTATCTCCCGCGGACAATCTGGCCACCTTGACGGCGTATACGGCTATTGTGAGGACAATTGGCAGCGTGGTTGCTTCCTCCATGGTCACATCTGGGAAAATCGTCGTGAATATCTCTCTGGTCTGGGCAAACGTCGAAAAGGTTCCAAAGGCCTGTTGTACGACGTGATCTCCCACTCGGAGTGACTTGACGTCAGGACCGACCCGAGCGATGATTCCGCTGAATTCTGCGCCCAAGTCGTACGTCTCTATATGTCCCATGACCTGCTATTTGTTAGATCATGTACATTGTGTGATGATGGAGTAGTACTGACCATCATGATATCTCGAAAATTGAGGGCGGTAGCTTGTACTTTGATATCTACCTCATCGCCCCTGGGCGGAGTGGACATGCCTTTATCATCATCGAAGTAAAGACTGTCAAGGAGCCCTGGTGTCTTCATCTTGAGTTTCAAGGCCCGCCCGGGCTGGAAAAAAGGCTGCGTCTCTGACCAACTGCCCCATTGTTGAGCACAGGGCTTGACTGAAGTTGAGTCCCTTCTCGCATCGACGAATCATGATAACGCCTTATCGTTCTACAGAATCTGAATCACTCTCCTCGTTAAGTTTTCTCTCCGGATGTGCTGGTATACTCGAAAGTCGGTATCTCCTACTGCCTGGTGATCCAAGGCCCGCGAAGAATCCAAATCAAAATGCACCAGCAAGCCTCCAAGCTCAGCTCCTAGGGTTGCAAAGAGTCCGCTAACAAGATTCAGATCTGGATTTGTTGAGCTAAACGCGGCGCCCTGGGTCACCCAAAGGACTTGGTCTCTGCCCATCAAGACATGTTGAACCATCTTGAGCTCTGCTTCCGTGAGATTCTTGAGCAAAGAACCTGAGAGCTCTGCAACGATAATCGCCGGGCGGCCGTCGTCCTTCAGACTCTTTGTGGTACCTGGGTCTTGTTCAATGTTCAACTTACCAAAGTTGACGAGGCCAGACCACGGGTCTGCTGCCTTCTGCTTGAGCTTCTCGAAGAACCCAGTCGTGGTGTCTGTGACATCGTACGAGTGGAACCTCGGAACATCGTTGGCAGATGATAAGCCTGCCTCTCCACAGCCGCCAATAGTTTTGAGGATCGAATAGTAGCACCGCCCGTGCCAGCACCGACCTCGAGCTCTCATTAGCATCAGTACCGTCGATAACAGACGTGGTCCCGTTTGGATGATGGCGGCCACCATTGCTACCTGGAGCAACGATGTCCAGACCGCCTTGTCTGAGGTAGCCCTTTGCTCGCTCGACGATGACATGGGCATTTGTACCGGCATAACCAAAGTTGTTGATAGATGCCCTGAGAACATTGGCTGACTTCCACGGTCGCAGCTGCGTTGGGACCTAGTCGGCAGTTAGCACCCACGACCAGCTTCCCATTCCCCGATGAGATCAGAAGAACGACGTACCTCCATCAAGTCGTGATTGAGGAGAGAATTGACGCCACCCACCAGTGCGGACGTGCACCCGCCGCTGTGCAGAGCCGAGCATGCACTGTGTAGGGCCACAAAGCTGGCGGAGCACGCCGTGTTAACCGTCATAGATGGACCCCTCAGGTTGTAAGAGTACAACATGCGGCCCGCCAGCATTGAGTGTCCACTCCCCGTAAGCTGGTAGATGGTCAGGGCATCCGGATCGCGCCGGGTCATCTTCCCCCAGTCGCTCATGAAGATGCCGACGTAGACGCCCATCTCGCTACCCAAGGTGTCCTTCAGCTTGGTACCGGCATTTTCAAGTGTCTCATAGGCACATTCGAGGGGGAGACGCCGCTCCGGGTCGAGAGATGCTGCTTCAGCCTTGGTGAGGCCGAAAAAGGGAGCGTCGAATCGCGCGAGGTCCTCGGTTAGAAAGAAGCCCCCCTTGACGTTGTTCTGACCTCGTGCTAGTATGCAGACACATATCCTTGATAATCAGAACGATGATGATGATGGTAACAGTAAGCACCAAGAGGAAAATTGAAGAGAGAAAAAAAGGGAGGGGGGGTTGTACTTACAGCACCGTTGCGCATAGAATCTGGATGATAGAAAGCCGAATAGTTGAACCGCGAGGCGGGGATGGGTGACCATGCGTCCTTACCCTAAGCACACATGTCCCACAGTCTGGACGGGCTGGAGGCGTCTCCAGGGAACTTGCTGCTTGATCCTACAATGGCAATTGGGGGAAAGGCAGTGCCGGGGTCAGGATTCGGGGGCGCCATCATGTAGAGGTAAACTGGTCGGAACATGATATTATAGATGTGGATTTTCAGTCAATATGACATGTCCAGTTTGATAAACTGCGTCGCGTATAGTTTGATGTAGGTGAACGTATATATATATATATACCGGTCTACACTACAAGATGGAGGATAACCAATCGTTATATTATACCAATGTAGCCATACGCACAATTTCTCGAGGATACAATGTGGACTTTGGCGAACACATGAAGGGGTTGTGAGATATCCCCTCCATGAAGTGGTTGGGTGTGAACCAACGTTACATGCGATGGGAATCGTCGATGTCCTCTCCAATTTCACATGTGTCCCGTCACATGGCTAAGACCGACTATATGTGTAAGAAAGATACAATCCTCACGAGCCCTTCTTAAGGGAGGGCAACCTATCACGTTTGGTGTGGATCTTGATATTGCGGCACGGATATCACACACGTCTTACATGCTTCTGTAGATGGTTGGCGGGGTACATTTATGTACTGGGCTTGAGTCACGGACTTGGGCAGCATTCTTCAATAGTCCACGAGGATATTCACATGCATGCACAAGGTAGCTCGGTGTTCAGTAACCTGCCTCTCTGACGCTGTCACCATCCCAGATTAGCAGGAAGATGAAGGGCGGATATGGATCTGCATCCCCTGCCTGTGCTACTGCATATCGAAGAAGACTTGGTGGGGGGGGGGGGACAGTCTAGAATGTAACCGAATTCCGGTTATGCATGCGTCAATCGGCCTCTTCGAGGAGATGAGTGCTGCTTGATTGGCAATGGAGCCCTGGATGGAGAGTAACATTCAACAATGTACCACGTATTGTAACACACACACGCCACGCAGTACCGATGCACAGTACCCCGTCATATAGCACTTCGAATCATGACGTTGGCAGCGGCAGCTACTCTCCCGACAGATGACGCGTCATTCGGGATGCTATGGAGGCCCGCCGAGGTGTCCAAGGTGTCCAAGGTTGCCTTCCCGGGCTCCCAAAACCGCGTCAAATCCGTGGTCGGGCTCTTCGTCTCGTCCATGTCACCGATTGCATGCAGAGAAGGGATGCTCAGAATCTGTCGTGCCACCCTCCCCTCCTTGGCAAGCGGGCTCAACACCGGTGAAGTGCGCAGGTTGAGGTACCCATCCGTCACGTTGCCGCTGGCGATGAGCACGGCGAAGCGTAGCGGGTGGCACGAACCACGCCGATCGGACAGGCGCATTAGGTAGATGCAGACGACACTGCCACCTTGGGACAAGCCCATGATTCATTCCGTCAAGGAGGCCCCTGTTCTCGATGATGCCATCCAGATACTCGAATACCGCGGCGACTGTCAGGAGGAAGTCATCATTCAGGGTGTCCGTGTTGTCAGGAGTTTCGTCCGGGCTTGGCATCCTAACCCACTCGTAGAAGGGGCCGTCGAATATCCCCTCCATGGAGCGGTTGGGCGCGGTCCCTATAAGGCCGTCGATGCAGACTAGATCTATGTCAAGCTTGGCCTCCAGGGACCCTCAGAGCATGCGGGTCAGTCCTGAAGAGGTCGGAACCTCGGTAGAGTAGATAGAGTTGACTGCCCTTCAACTGAACTGATTGGATCACATACGGAGTTGCCATTGGGATATCTGGCCACATGTCAGCCCTGGAGCCTAGTGGTCATCATCATGGCTCTGGGGGATGCTCTACATCACCGCAAGATTCACGACCATGGAGGCACAGAACTCTCAACCGTGACATGGCTCTCACAGACGGGTGGGAAGCTCAGATCCAGTTGCCGTAGCTCCCCTGTTCGCAAGTGACTGCGCAGTGCCCATGAATACGAACAGCTGGTTCGACTGTGGGGCAACCTCGAGGATATACAGAAAGGTGGCAGTTTTCAGCTCTCAGCATGGCACGGTCGGGCAACACGACAGGGACATGGCGGGGAGCCTGATATCAGCTCCTAGTTGAGGTTGCAATGTAGTGACCGTCCGTCTTGCCTAGGCAACATATGCCGCCAGCAGCCAGATATCACCTCATCTACGCTTCTGTCATGTTAAATCTCATCTCTGAATATGCAACCAAATGTTGTCGGATACATGTATTGGCGACTGAGCTGTAGGGCGTGCATGCATGCAAGCTCGAGTCTCCAATGAGGGGGCTGGCTGTTCAGTTCCATGTCGTGACGCGAAGATGGCTCTTGGGATGAACATCACCATGCAATCTATCAGAGTTGCTGAGGCCTCTGAACGTAGGGACAGTGGGTGTCGAGGGACCTCAACTCCATGCAGGTGACCGGCACTTTCTCTGCGCGGTTCACCCAGCAGAGCTCCGCGAGACAGCCAGTGACCCTGACGATCAATGCCTCCTGCTGCCCCGGCGGGTATACCACGAACGCCGACTGATGTTATTTGCATCGAACAGCTGGCCGTCAGTGTTCTGGAGAGAGGCCATCGGGCTGCCAGGCTACCTGGAGAATCATCACCAGGGCACATGCCCTCTCCGTACCTGAAATCCTACCCACAAAAGCCTCCTCCACCCCCCTGTCCCCTCTTCATCTCCCTCCTCCTCTCCCCATTCCTCTCCCCATGCTCCCAGATCACTCGTCCTCATCAACACCACTCTACATCATCCTGTCACCTGACACCTTCTCCCAGGCCATCCCATACCTCACTCCAAGAAAAAGGTCATGGTTAGGGTTATGACTTACTCTTGAAGATACGTCAACTCACGGGGATGCCATTTCCCCTCGTGTTGCTGCGGAAGGAAGGAAGGGAGGAAGGGAGGAAGAAGGCAGGAGCTATGGGAAGGAGCTACGCACAACACCAAGGTGGGAGATAGAGGAACGAAGACCTTTCGACATCACTTTCGTACCCCGTTTGGTATTTCGTGACGCTGGTCCCCTTATCTTCGTGATGCCCGTCGCCGAGAGAGGCTACACGTGTAGGTCGAGACAAGTCGCCCCTCTCTCCCCATCCTCACTCCACACTGAACATGAAAACTAAGAACGACCGACAGATTCACCGGGGCGCTGCCAATCCGCCCAGCCACGGGGCCCCGGCGGCGGCGGACCATCAGAATCACATGAGGTCTGCCACAGTCCCCCTGCGAGCGCCCTTTACGTATCAGAGAGGCCCGAGGGGTGGGACACAATACGGCCAGAGATTGGCCGGGATGCTGAGGGTATTGAGCGGCTATCGAGCGGCTATGAGTTCATGGCACAGCCAAGGACTCCAGACTTAACTCGGCAATACTGGACGCCATGATGGGAACAGGCGCGGACCCTCTATCGTGACCGCCGAGCACAGGCATATCCCTCAAGGGTTCGGCGAGCCCGAATGCGTGGACATCCAGCAAGGGTGTCTACACCAGTGCGGGTTACCCCAGGGTTGGAGGGGGGGGGAATCGAAGCGGGAGACGTGAGTGCCAAAAGGTAGGGAGGGGGAGGAGGAGGAAGACGGCTCAGCCTCAGCAGTTCGTAACGACAAGGGTCGCAGTCACGTACGTTGCAGCGATCAATACACATGCACTCTTCTTCTTCCCTTTCCAAGCATGCCTCTTTACTGTGTGCACCGTCCCACTGCTACGTCTCCGTCGCTTGTTCTCTTTACAGACCTTGTCACTCTGCATCTCAACCCCCTCTCTCATCAGAGTTGGCTGTTGGTCCCACAGCGGAAGACTCAGTCTCCCCATCTGGAGACGGCAGTAATACAATGTAGATGTAGAATTTGCACGCTGCGTGTGAAAGATGCGTGCGACAAATTGAAATCTCGAGGTTACTGCTGTCAAATAAGCGACCGTGGGTTGGGTTGGACCTAAGGCGACGAAGGCATCAATTCAATGAGGGATTTTTTTTATACGATTTCCTCCGCCACCCCGTCCCCCTTTCTCTCTCCCATTTCCTCTTGCTTCCATCAATGTATCAAGGTAGAATCTGTTTCTCAGGGTGAACTCACTTTCAGGATATCAAGGTGAACCGTATGATACTTGGAAACATGATAATCTGCCCATGTATGCCTATTGTCAGTTTCGCTCCTAGTCTATTCGTGACTTCTCCTCCGCAACCAGATCCCGACGCTTACCAGGGCCCCATAATATAAAATCATGCGCGACAGCTTCAACGCATCTCGTTCCGGGTATTACTTACTTGTACGTAATACTCCTTCTCGTACACTCGAGCGGATCCAAGATCCTGGGGTATTATGTAACTTAATGCTCACGAGCCGTGCGGGGGGGGTTGAGACTAGATTCATTCAAATAAGCACGGGCATTTACGGTATTCCGTCTCGAGATGATCGGTTGAAGTAGTATTCGATGAGAGAACGGGCGTCGCTTGTCGATATTACCTCGGAGATTGTGATGACGATGCTTGTGTTCGAAACGTGACAGCACTTCAATCCTCAACCTCACGTAGAAAGCCAGAAACGACGACGAGGACTTGCAAGGATACCTGATAGGCCAGATGTGGCCTGCGTTATCGTTGAACTCGTCGAGCTGTATCTGGGAAACCGTAAGTTTATTGCATCATGACGCTGGGGATCATACGATCAGAGTCCTCGGAGCGCGACGGTTAGTCCCGTACAAGATGCTTCTAGAAAAGGGACGGTGACGGCGTCGAGCTCTTCTGCTCACGCAAATGTCCAATAGGTATCGATCGAAACGCAATGTTGACAGTATTGGTGACTAACATCAGTTATCTCTGCCCCCCTGTTCCAGTCCAAGTGGTCTCGTTATCTTGACGTTTCGCCACCTAGACCCATACTTATACGTACTAGTAGCAATCTGTACATGTACCCAGGTCTCTCGGATCGGCGCACGCTTCCAAGTAATAGTAAATAATACCAACGTTCACAGTCCCAGGACGGGGACGTGGACAATGTTGGTGGGTCGAGATGCAGGCCATCCGCCAGGGTCCGGGAGGCATCATGACTCTTAGCTGTTAGTCAACAGGATCCATAGAATAAGAGGATATGGAGATGGAGACTCGGACAGTTTGGCAAGTTTATTCCTGGTACGAGTACAGAGTCATGTACGTATGTACGCGTACGCAGCAGTACGAGTACATGTATTCATCTTATCGCCGTACATGTAATGTACATGGGTCCCCTGGCCTGCGGGCGGCCTCGAAACTTCCGCAACCCTTCGGGCAACGCGAGATCCACCATGCACATGTACGGGTACTCATACATATGTACTCGTAGAACCTGCAGTGGGACCTGCTACGCATCCCTCGGGGTGGTTTGGAAATGTCTGCCATCGTCAGAAGGAACTGGTCAGAGAGCGGTTCAACAACTTCCGTAATATCTCAGGCCAAATCCGGGGAAATGGGTCGGCTTCTCCCCTTCCTCTATATACGTGACGATACACGACGGTGTTACGTACATTGACGTACCGACAATAGACAAAAGAAGCAACTGTCTACCCGACCGGTGGGGTCGTCAGCAACTCAAGGTGCTTCGTGCCACGGCAGTTCAATCGATTTGATAATTGATAATACCTACGACGACCCCCCCCCCGATTAGCCACTTCTTGGTTGGCACTTGGGGGCCAAGCTCTCCGGATAACAATGACCGCACCGTCCTCGTTTACCTGGCTGATAATTGGTCTATGAGTTCGTTAAGAGTAGAGTGCATGGGGGGGTCTAGACGGTTTCTGGAAGTCCCATCCGCTGTTTCAATGTTAAAAAGGTCCCACACGGACTCCACCCACATCGTGGTAGCCGTGCAGATAGTCGAGATAGAGAGTGCGAGTCGGGTGTCATTGGAATGAGAGGTGAAGGCCCCTCTCTTTCTTATCGGCATTCTAGATATCATCCGTGTAATACTTTCTAGCTGATAGTGGTTTCTTTTTCTTTTTAAAAAAAAAAAATATATATATATATATATATATAAAAAACAAGAAAAGGTTCTTATGCTCGCTACTCCCTCCTCTGTCCCTTGTTCTTCTTCTCTTCCCACCCTCTTCGATCCCACACCACTCTTCTTCCCCCCTCCCCCCCCAAATTGAAGACAAAAATGGGCGTTCAAGGCGACGTAGAGGCCAAGAATGGCGCTGTCTCAACCAGTGACACGGGGAACGGCGTGCTCATCGACGCAGACGACATCGCGAACCAGTATGGCCAGACCCATCGCGGCCTGTCCCCCCGCCACGTCCAGCTCATGGCTATCGGTGGCTCCATCGGGACAGGACTCTTCGTCGGCATCGGCAGCACCCTGTCCGAGGCCGGTCCCCTCTCCCTACTGCTGGGATACCTGCTCTGGGGTGTTCTCTTCATCTGGCCCTGCAACCTGTGTGTTGCCGAGCTGTGCAGCTACCTCCCCGTGCGCGGGTCCATCTTCGAGCTGGCCGGCCGCTTCGTCGACCCTGCCATGGGCTTCACCTTGGGCTGGACGTATTTCTACGCGGGCACCATGCTGGTGTGCGTCGAGTACAGCGCCGTCGCGACCGTCATGGAGTACTGGCTTCCCGACGTGAATGCTGCGGCGTGGATCGTCATGTCCATGGTGGTCTGCATTCTTCTCAATGTCGTTGCCGTCAAGTAAGTTTCATCAGCACACCACACGTGTCACACCACACGTGTCACACCACACGTGTAGAGAAGAAGAAGAAGAATGAGAAGAAGAACACGGGCAGGACCCGAACAATGCATGATACATACATGAATGTGGGTACTAATGGTCGGAATCAGATTCTACGGCGAAGCCGAATTCATCATGGCCTCGCTCAAGATCCTCCTCCTATTCGGCCTTGTCCTCATCACGCTCGTCACCATGTGCGGCGGCAACCCCAAGGACGACGCCTACGGCTTCCGCTACTGGAAAGACGGCAAGGCCATGCTGGAATACTACACGACGGGCGCCACCGGCCGCTTCTGCGGCGTGGCCAGCGTCATCTTCTATGCCGGCTTCACCATCGCCGGCCCGGACATGATCGCCGTGGCTGCGGGTGAGATCCAGAACCCGCGCCGCACCATCCCCCGCGTCGCCAAGCTCATCTTCTGGCGCCTGGTGGGCTTCTACGTCGTCGGCGTCTTCGCCGTGGGCATCATCTGCAGCAGCTCGGACCCGCGCCTGCTGGGCGCCATCGAGGACGGCTCGGCCGGCTCGGCCGCGTCCCCCTGGGTGATCGGCATCCAGAACCTGGGCATCAGCGGCCTGCCCGACCTGATCAACTTCCTCATCCTGACCTCGGGCCTGTCCTGCGGCAACGCCTACCTGTACGCCTCGTCGCGCACGCTGTACGGCCTTGCCCGCGACGGCCAGGCGCCCCGCTTCCTGCTCAAGTGCACGTCGGCGGGCGTGCCCATCTACTGCGTCGGCACCGTCAGCCTCATCGCCTGCATCACCTTCCTGACGGCCTCCAACAACGCCATCGAGGTCTTCTTCTGGTTCGTCGACCTGACCACCTCCGGCCTCATCGCCACCTATGTCATGATGATCATCACCTTCATCGGCTGGTACCGCGCCAAACGTGCCCAGGGCTTCGACGACTCCAAGCTCTACTACCTCGCCCCGCTCAACCCCTGGGCCGCCTACTTCGCCGTCGTGCTCGGATCCGCCGCGCTGCTATTCATCGGCTTCACCTCCTTCGTCCCCTTTGACACCCAGGGCTTCGTCACCAGCTACTTCTGCCTGCCCTACAGCTTCACCCTCTTCTTCGTCTGGAAGATCTTCAAGAGGACCAAGTGGGTCGACCCCAAGACCGCCGACCTCATCTCCGGCAAGGCAGAGGCCGATTACGAGTGTCGTAAATGGGAGGAGGGCGGCATCGAGGCTAACTGGAAGGCCGAGTTGGCCGGCATGTCGTTCTGGAGACGCGTCTGGGAACGCATCTGGTAGGCGTCATCGCCTGTACTAGTTGCTGAGTAGTCATGTATAAAGCGGAAATACCGTCGTCAACGCCCATACCCCATCATTCAATCTCCCAAGTATCCAGTTCCAGTACACCACAGTGCAAGTCTGCGCGAGATGATGAAAATTGGCCCGTACATGTATTGAAGCACAGGGACCCCCCTCTCCTAAATTTCCTCCAACGCTTGGTGCATAGCATGTATTGCTACACATCCATCAAGATGCTGTTCATGGCGAAGCACCTCTCGGACCGGGAATAGAGAATGGCAAGGGGAGTTACGAAACCCGCTAGCAGACGGAACGTGACGCAAGGCTGAAGCTTATCATGACGGATGACGATGATGACGGAGCCAACCAAGAGCCCGACATGCTTATTCGGGACGTATAGCAAACTTTGAGATAGCTCCCCTGAAAGGATCATGCAGGGCCATCCCCGTAGTAGAATGTATATGTACCTTTGCGACCGAGGCCGCAGCAGCTTGGCGCCGGGTCCCTTTTAGCTGACGCCACCGAGCTGTCACTATGTGGCTGCAGTCCCGGAACCTAGATATGACTTGGGTGCGTGTTGCAATCACCGTGTCTGTCCAGCCCCATGGTATATAGGGCTGGAGATCTGAAGCTTATCAATCAATCTCTATATCGCAAACCCTTTTCGCTCCATGCCCTGAATGAAACCTTCTCACGATAAGATGTAAATATGCATGCATACATGCATGTGCACGACGATTGGACCGAAGGCTTCTCACAACCTTACTGTCGGGATCATGCATGATGATATCTTCGAGCAACTTACTCAAATGATTGTGAGTCTCAACCCGTCGGTACTGCGATCCAAATCTTGTTTTGTTTTCATCCTCGGGTCTACGAAGAGTGATATCCGTGAACTGTTCGTCGCCGGAACGTACGCTAGGGTTAACATTGGTTAGACCAGATGTAATGAACGAGCTTCTGTCTTGGGCAAGTTGAGCTGCGCACGTGAGGGTTAACTCGCGATGATTGTCCAGCAACTACATTCGCCGCACATTGCAAGCTGGGAAAATCGGGAAAGACATCTCACCTGCTTGCGCCTTTCTACGCGGATCTATATTAAGTTACAGAGGCTCTATTGAGTTGCGAAGCATATTCTCGCATCGACATGAAAAGAGAGACGGCCGCCCACAATCATGATTTGGATAGATACCACATCGTTTCCTATTCCCCATCGTTCCATTCTCATCTTCCCATACCTGCCGTATTGCATAGGATCAGCAAGACTGGCCAGAGTCTTCGACGCTCCCCCGCAACATGAGATTCTTCAGCGTCCTTCCCTTCATCATCCCAGCCCTCGCCAGCCCCACCGTCTACTTCATCCGCCATGGGGAAAAGCCGGATGATGGCAACGGCTTGAGCATCACAGGAGTGGACAGAGCCCAGTGCTTGAGGAGCGTCTTCGGCGCCAGCTCAGGATACAACATTGGCCACATAATGGCGATGACGCCCAAGTCAAGTCGGTCATGTCCAGACCTTATCTGCGTGCGACGCGAACCCGGTACTGACACGAGATGCACAGGCGGTTCGAGGAAGAGGCCATACGAAACGGTTCTCCCGCTCGCACAGGATCTCGGCCTAGACGTTGACACATCATGCGACCGCGACGACGAGGACTGCGTAAAGGATGTTGTCGACGACTACTCTGGCTCGGGGAACATTCTGATATGGTATTTTCCTTCTCCTCTCTTCCTGCATGCAGATTTCAACTTCCGGTAAGCCGAGCTGAATGACCGACATGGATTACAGCTGGGAACATAAACGGCTGAGCAACCTCGCCGAGGCTCTTGGCGCCGAAGACGTGGACGAGTACCCACGCGACAGATATGACCTTATCTGGACCGACCCTCCGAAGTACACTGAAATCACGCATGTCACATCCGAGAGCTGTGCCGGACTGGACGACTGATGGGTCAATATCTCGGGATTGAAGTTACATGTATCAATGGTACTCAGAGCAGCGTCGGCAGATCCCCATTAATCAATAGCGTCAAAAGGGTAAAACGGATGAGATGAGAGCGTGGCTAGGCCATCGATAGTATGGCCTGATGGGAATCACGGCACAGATAACAAGGCAGATCTCGCTACATGGAAAACGAGGGAACGGAGAGTGAAGGAATTGGCAATGATGGGCTCTTCGTTGCTCTCGCAATGAGGAAGGCACCATGGTCTCCTCCTCACATTGTGCCTTCCCAGATCTACATAACGGGGTTTCTGAGAAGGAACATGTGAGGGGAGGGATATACCGTTGGACTAGGAAGGAACGGCATACGAGCACCTGCACTATCGCTTAGCACCCTCACAGGAAACATCACTCTACAATAGCGCTCGAACGTGAGAATGGCTGAACCAGGATGAACACGCGGTGTCGACGACATGTACCCGAGGCCCTATTTCTATGTGACCTCGTCGATCAATTCGGCTGGTTCTGATCTGTTCAGGCCACGATGGTTCCGGCAATGATGTAGAAATCCAGATGCTCCTGAGATGGAAGTCACCTAGAAACGTCTCGATACATCACATCTACCTACACATGGCCTCGGCTACTGCCTTGAATTGTCAAGTGGAACATCTTGATGGAAAATGGTATGAAGGACTACCTATCGCTTCGTAACCTTACACACTAAACAGCACGTAACGCGTCTATCCTTCCCAGAGAATACATCCTTCCCAAACCTAGATGTCGTCGCGAATGGACGAAAGCATGCCAGTGTTTGAATGACAGGAGACGTACTCGAAGAGCTGCTGGCTTGGCTCGAGGACCGATACCTCATGGTAGAGGCGCAGGCTGAGGTTGTTATCCATCTCCTTCACGTACGCCATGAAAACCGCAAATATGTTGACATGCGTACTATGAGACTTGCTCCACGCCTCCAGAGAAGCCAGACAATCAAAGTAGCCCAGGCCAAAGCTGCGATCTGTCCCGGTCTCACCCATGGGGCCGACGATATCCATGAACCTGTTGCTGTAGCACCCGACTTCGTCTCCGTGATCGTGTAGGAAGTCCATACCTGCCTGCAAGGCGGGATGCATCTTGCCGAGGTACAGTTCACGCTCTTTGGGGAGGGTGTCCTTCCAGTCCTGGCCTGAGCGGATGACGGCGAGGTTTCTCTTGCCGGGTACGCGGATCCTGGACGTGAGAGTCTCTGGACGTTTCGGGCCCCCGGCTTGCAGGAAGGCCTTCTCGCCATCGAGCTCGTCCACCTGTGCGGCCGGGAGACGATCACGCATACTCCCCCAATAACCATGCTCCAGGATGGGGCCGCTGACGCCGTTGCGCATGTAGGACGCACCCTCGTGCATGACGGTGTCGGTAAGGATGGTCTCGTAACGTTCCATGGTCGGGAAGAAGACCTCTAGGAACCAGCCGTTCGGCTGCGTTGTCGGGTCTAGCCCTGACCACCATCCCTTGAAGCCGGTTTCTTCAGACCACCGGTCCCACGTCTTCCGGTCCGGCCAATACGCCAGGGTAGCAATGTTGTAGTAGCCTCGATTATCCGTCACTGCGGCTATCTCCTTCAGCGTGGGTCGGAGCTCGGCGGGAACGGCAGTCGAGCTGGTGAAGGAGATGATCTTCTCCATGGCGGCACCGTCATTCAGAGAGGGAGACGAGTATTGGACGCCAATGATGGCAAAGACGAGCTCTTTCATCGAAGGAGGGTAGCGAGATGTGTAGACCTCAAACGGAGGCGTGAAGTCGGATGGCAGGTTCCCCGGAACGATCCTGTCTGTTCGCAGGTCGGGGGCGATGGCAGATTCGATGTTGGCCATGATGACGGTCGATGGAGACGTATAGGATGAAGGAGTTCACAGCTAGAGCGTGGTCGAGAGGGTGGAAGGTGCTGAGTACGCCATAATGTCGAGGCCCGACGAGTTGGAAACGGGCCACATATAGACGTTGCTCTACATCCCCTTCCTCTCGATATTTAGGCTTCGGCTTGTGCTCGCAAGCCTTGGAGCGGAATGGGCAAGAGACCGCATCCTTGGACGCGTAGGTGATGGGGATGATAGGATATTACCTTGCCGCTGTGGGTCTAGTAAGTTCTGGTGTGCGGGGGGATAGGATATTGCTTAACCGGCCAGCTCGAACGGAGATATGCAAACATCTTCTCGTTCAGCAACCCGCGACGTAGACAGACAAGATAGGACAGTGATGCTGAGCCAACAACCAATGGAAGATGTCCACGACGTGGAATGGCGGGCAATTGCTGACACTGGTCAGACTCGGTAGAAGGGGGAGGGGGGCATATAAGCTACTTCTACAGGCAAATTGTCGTCTATCCTGTTCTCATCTGTCCAGATCTTTTCTTTTCAATGCCTTGATCGATTTGGGGGGCTGGGCAGCCCGGTCTCCCGGTAGATACTAGAGAGGCGAAGTACACCGGGAATGACTCGTTCTCCGTTCTCGACTCGTCTGTCTGCTCATACCTTACCGAGAAAACAAGGGAAAACAACAGCCGATTCAAGGGATCGCGTCTAGTAGATGGAGATGTTCTACTCACGGCAGACGACGAAGCCGCTAAAATTTGACTCACGCACAGTACTCACTAACGGCCGTTGAAGAGAGTGCTCTTATGCGAAGAAGGAAGAAGAGGAAGTGATAGATCTTGGATGCAGGGCTAGTGGAGATTCTCTGACCCATCGCTGTACCATGGTAGGCCCGCCCCAATTCAAGATCTGCCGTGAATGGGGTCGATGCTTGAGGAGATAAACTCAGCCCGGCGGGCCATTCCTACAAGTGGAGAAATGCAATCTGTATTACTCGTATTTGATCTGTATTGGTCTATAGATAGATAACGGCATGGCCCCATTCATCTTGCAGTTTTTGGGGAGACGACGCGTGCCTCGGACCCACATCCATAGCTGGACTGCGACTCAAAGTGAGGCGGTTCGTCAGCAAGGGGACATCACCACACGACACCAGTTCTTTTTAAGATGCCCAATCTGAGCCGAAATAGAGGACGATTCGATTCGGATAGTAGCTTTGGGAAACAAGATCTGAAATGCCAGTGGTGATGATGAAGAAGTGCATAGCAATACGGCAAGATGAAATCACGCTCGATAAAGCAGCAAATGATGGACGATCTGCTCTGGGAGTCCGACTGTGAAGCAGGTCAGGGTCGGAGGGGGAGAATTCAGCTGAGCAACGATACGGACCCAAAAGTTGCGACCGGTACATGCCAACGTAGTGACGGTCCCCTGTTCCCTTGTCGAGAAGGAAGAAGTACAGGAAGCCCAGCAGAAGTAAAGACGGAGAGTTGACGGACGGAGCTCTGCACACCTGTCTACGCTGCAAGCAGGCAGGACAAATATGTGTGTCATGTCAGCAGAGAAATGAAGATGATGGCATGGGAGAAGTGTCGCCCGAGAAGGATGGGCTCCCGTGAGTCCGGGCTTGGGTGATGTATGAGCGGCGCGCCCCACGGCGGCGCCCGTCGACATCCACAGGCATCATCCCCTGCGTCAAGCCGGTCATAAGACCTCCAGCCATGACAGACCTGCATGTAGGCCAGAAGAACAGGCGGCAGCCCGGATACAAAAGACTCATAGCCATCCAACAATAGACCGATCCCGTGAAGTGCTACGCTGTTACCGCCTCTGGCAAACAGGTTGCTTCCTCGTATCTGCGATGACCCTCCTCACTCCAGATGTCATGGGGCGGATATGACTGACTCTAAAGTCGGACCGTCCGCGGCACAATAGCCGTACCCACGGAGTCGCCAACGCCAAGACGGACAAGGCAGCGGAGAGAGATCCGTAACGTAGCAAGGTTCTACTATACCGAGATGAATAGGTCTCGCCGATTGCCGGTTTGCTCCATCACTACGGCTACCTCCTACAAGACGATGACTATGAAAAGAGCTGTCATATGGATTCACGCCTTGGTGTGGCTTTCTATACCACCTTTTTTCTTTATATCTTTTGCCTTCTCAATTGATTGCTAATATATAATGGGACTTTACCAGATCGTCTGTTTCCAACCGATCGGCACAGTAACCTTCCTGCTTCTTGCGTACACACGGTCGCACGACTAGCGGAGCTTGTGGAACTATGGAGGGGGGGGGGGGGATGAATCAACGCCCTCGTCTCTTCTGTATAGGTCCGATCCTATCATGGTCGAGTTAGAGAGAGCCGCTCGCATTGAACTCGAGCGGCTGCATCGTACAGAGAAGCAGGCGTCGAAGCTGCCGTAGAATGCCGTTTCTTCGAGTATAGAACGTTCCCCTCCGAGGTGCATAGACACAGGATTGCCCATGGCTCCCTCGTCTACTCTGTCAACGAATTGGCGGATGGAGTCATCGACTTGCTCTTCTGTAGACGAGAAAACACTGACGGTCAGCTCGATATCAGCACCGGGAGCCCGCAAGATCGGAACCCGACAAGGCCACGAAGCCTCTCCGAAGTTCAATAAAGCTATCGGAGATGGAGCAGAACCACCACGATAGAGGAAATCCGGGCGGAGCCGCCATTCTCAAATACACATCTCGACGGGGAGTGAGTGGCTGGGATCGAGCCGATCTTCCTTGTGTGGCACGTGCCGGGTGTTGATGGATAAATACTGCCTGAGGCATACAGTATATCGTTACCCGAGTCCGACGGGTGCCCTCATCCTTTTGCTTCCTTTTTTTTTTTCCTCGTCCTCGTTCTCCATCATCATTTCAGACGTCTCTACTCCATCAGGCGAGAGCCCGTTCCGATGATGGCAGCCGTGTTGCCCGCATGAAGAATGGATTGATTCGTGGCCAATGTCGGACCGGTCATGTCCAACCGCACTGGAGCATATCCCATTCCATCTGCATCACATCCATCTTCTCGTCGCGCACTTGCTGTTCATGGTCGCTCTGTAGAGGCGGCAGAGGGATCAGTTGTCGCCGCTGAGGATGCCGTCGTTGCCGTTGCCGTCGCTGTCGCAGATAGCGCCTGGGGATGATGATGCCTTGGTGTCGTATACTCCCGTCCGCACCTCCTGTATCAGCATCAATCGATGTCAACATGTTCAATACCTTGTAAGCCACAGAGAAGAGACCATCCCTTTCACTCCACTGTACGGCGAGATGAAGAGATATACACCTTGCGCGGTGTTGGGAAGGGACGCCACCATCAATGACCGCCGACACTGTTGCTCACGACGCGTCCCGTCGTGGCGAATGGAGGATTTATAGAGTATCACGACGTCATGATCAATTTGACCGAATGGTCATGTTCTCAGTATTGTCGAACGACAGTGGTAGTTTGACTCATCGTGTGATTATATCGAGCTCATGATAGCCAGAACCGTGAGATGTATGCACCATCAAAAGTGTATATGCACTTCTTGGGAAGAGGGGGGAGGAAGGGGAAGGCGGGGGATGAGGGGGCGGGAGCTCGATACCGAGTGGACAGCATTGAGCGATATTGATGACGATCACAATGAGGGAAAAAAAAAAAAGTGAAAAGTAAAAAGAGGAAAGTGAAAACACTATTTTTATCAATCAGTTCATATTAATACCCCTTCACGCACGCACCGACGTCGGAGTCATACGGTGACAACCTCGCATCGGCATAGAATTGGTCGGCCTCGTGCATCTATAGCGGGAACCGAGGTCCATCGGGCGGCATTAGTGTCCAAGCCAAGGGCCCATACTACACCGTACGACTGGAGGGTTGAAGGGCGGCAGTAGCAGACAATAGTGGACGGGTACCGAGCGGAGGGGAAGAAGGGCCAAGGACGGCGCCATCTGATAAAAAGCGGCAGGGCCAGCAAACGTGGAATATTACCACCGACACACGCTCACGCATCCAATACCTTGGGGGACTTTGGCGACCACACACCTCGGGCCACCCACCACTGGAACCATCCGGACAGTATGGGCCGATCGGCCTTGTTATTTTCGTTCCCCATAAGTTTTATTCTCTCTGTTGCATAATAACGCCTTGAATCGCGATATTTTCTTCCACATCTTGTGTTTCTTTTTTTTTCGCTGTCTTCTGTTACAATACTCCCATATTCCCCTCATAAAGTGACACATCTCTTTTTTTTCGTTTCTTTTTTATTTTTTCCCTTTCCTCTTCTCCCTCCCCCCCCCTTCCCATCGACCAATCTCCTTGTTTTTATTTTCCAGAAAAACAATCATGGCTTCAACTACTTCTCCTACCACTACATCAGCTGGTGACGCGATTCCCTCTGAGAAGCAGCAACAACCCCTCGACTCGACCACACCTCCTCGTCCTCCTCCTCCTCCATCGAAGAAGACGACGACGACGAAGCTCGGAGCTCTGCTATCGACCATGGCCTCGTCACCGAACAGGCTAGATGCCGCGCTGACCCAGCTTCACCGCGTGATCAGGACCCGGTCAGGCACCAACACCGTCCTCCTATTCCTCGCCTACGCGACCAGCCTGTCTGGAAACCTGCTCGAGGCGACTAGCCGGGCGGCCCTGCGCAACACAGCGGCCAAGCTGATCGCCCTGGCGCTGCAGCTCCCCCCCTCGACCACGCTGTCCCTGTCCACCAGGGCGACGGGCGTGTCCCCCCTCGCCATACTCGCCCTGCGGCTGTCGGCCCGGCTCAAGGCCGCCGCTGACCTGATTAGCGAGGTGCGGACCTTCAACCGGATGTGGAACCTCCTAGAGATCTACTTTGCCACCAAGTCCTTCGTCCAGTCGCTCCGTGCCGCGCCGTCGTCACCGTCGTCGGACGAGAAGAATAATACCAGCAGCTCCAGCAGCAGCAGCAGCAGGGTCCAGAAGGTCTTCGATACGGCCCTGGCCTTTGCCATGCTCGCCTCCTTCGCCTCCTTCCAGATAACAGAGAGTACGGCCCTGCTCGGTTCCCGCAAGGTGCTGCCCATCAGTCCGGCCACGCAGGACCGCCTGGCCATGTGGAGCGTGCGCTCGTGGTTCGCCAGTACAGGTCTCGACATCGTGAGGCTGGTTGTCGAGCGCAGGAGAAAGCTGCGCGCTGCCGAGGAAGCCGCCGCCCAAGACGACGAGGCCACCGCCGCCAAGAGGAGGGACGAGCTCGAGACCTGGTCAGAGCAGTGGCAGGTCGAGTTCTGGCGCACGCTGGCCTGGTTCCCAATCACCGTGCACTACAGCATGGGCGGCGGTCTGCTGACCGAGCTGTCCATCGCCGCTCTGTCATTCTACCCTGGTATTTCGCAGCTGAGCGAGGTGTGGCTGTCTACTACTGCGTAGGAGGCTGGAGGGGATGGAAGAGGCGAGAAAGGGAAGAGTACAAGCGGTGAGAGGAAACACGAGTCATCTTTCCATGATTCTTTCTACTTATATATTCTCTATATTCCTCATGTCTATACAAAACATCTTTTAAAAGGGAAAGAAAAAAAAGAACCCAAACAAAAACACAACGTCGAAGATCCTGTAGCGCCAATGATGCTCTGTGGGGGAGGGGGGGACGGAAAAGAAGATGCAACATGGAAACAGACGCTCCGGATTCAAACATGTATGCAATAGTGAAGAATTTGCTCGAAAAAGAATGCCAGGACGATTAAAGAGGGGGGGGGAGAGGGAAGAGGGAAGTAACATCACATGGGCATCCTCTGCATATCCTCCTTAGACCAATACCGCCTCATGTTCTCGGCGCCCAACACCTTCACCTCGTCGTCCAGATGAGTCCAGAGGATATTGCTCCAGGACTTCATGTTCTCGTGGAGCGCGGATAGCTCAAAGTCCTTCCGGCCGGAGGTGCAATCGCGGAGGTAGGTCTCGAAGCCCACGAGTCCGCGGTGGATCTGGGCGTGTTGGCCCTGAAGGTCACCGCGGAACTCGGGCATGCGGAGGCCCAGGTGGGGGAAGACGTGCTGCTCCTCGATGTCGTGGTGCATGGTCAGGTGCTCGGCGAACCTGAGGCCCTCGTTGATGAACTGCTTGAGCGTCATGCCGCGCGGCCGTCGGTTGGCCTCGCACGCCGACCAGAGGAGGTTCCATGAGCGACGGAAGTTGTTGTGCTGTGGGTGAGATATTGTTAGCCGTGCATGCCCCTTCTGCTTCGTAATACGTGATCGTCACGTCTCTGGTTGGTTCGAGGTCCTCTGATGCACTCGCACCACACCTGTCGATCAGCATCTGGATGGTTGCTATGACGTACAAGTAGATCCATTTTCTCGGCCAATCGGTTATAGATACGGAAGTCGCGGTCAGACAAGGGAGGGAGGTCCTTGGTCGCGGCGGCGCCGTCAACCTTGGACGAAGCCGACACGCGCGGTGCTTCGCTGCTCGCCATTCTGCGTTGGGGTGGTGATAAAGTGGCGGTCGAGAGACGGTTGCTGCCGGTGTGAAGAGTTTCCCAACTCGATATTATCGCGGAGCGTTGTGGTAGTAGGTTTGATCTGGCGCAAAGAGCTGGCGCACAACGTGCAAAAGCCTTCATATAGTATGGTAAAGAAGAGGATTATCAAGTCTGTGAGAGTCATGTATCTTCTTTCTGACCAGGAGATGCGATGCAGAATCTGCTTTTGTATAGAATCAGGCTTCATCGTTTGCCGCCCTTCCGCCCCTTCCCAGACGTCCCACCCCTCCAATGGCCAGCTTAGGAATTGTCAGTATTCCGGCAGTTGCGGGTCGTCGGTAGCCCGAAGGTGACTGACTTGCCCCCCCCAAACTCGCTTAGGTCAGCGCGCATCCGCATTTTTTCGCCTTCTAAGTGGCCGAGGCCCACATCGTCGTCATTATTTTATAATTTGACGGTTCGAGAAGCGCTTATGAATATCTTAATCAGCATGATTGAGGCTTAAATAAGCCATTACCAGTCATCGTGGACACCGGCCCGACCGGGGGGGGGGGGGGAAGCAGAATTGATGCTGCTGGATGGAATCGAATCTGCCGTGGAACTTTTTTCTTTGTTCATAGGGAGATTTCTTGAGAAGCTGCGAGAAGCTGCGAGAATCATCAGTCCCACGATCACCTTCATTGGCACTCATACGCTTAGATACTTGCCTTCATCCATCACATGCGACTACAGCCAGTGGAAGATACAGAAGTCCAAGCTCCGTTATTCTATTTATTTCATGGTAGCCTTTTTTCAGCGTTCGCCACCGACAAAGGTGCTCGAGCCGCCATCATTGACGTCACAGAGGATTATGCATCATGTACTGATAAGCGATAAAATCAATATTCCCATACCGCCCAAAATCTGGCTTTAGGGGGCAGAGCGAAGACGCTACCTCCAACGACCTACCGGGGGCTGCCCTCGCTTCGCTCACACGTCCTCTGTGATAGTAGACATTAGAGAAGGGAAAGAAGAGAGGAGGGCTGGAGAGAGAGGTCTCGATATATATATATATATATGTGTGTGTGTGTGTGTGTATACCAACGGTACAGTAGGCGTAGTATTTTAGTAGCCTGACTCCCTAGTAATAGCAGATGCCACGAGTCACTGTGTACAGCAAGGATCCAGAAAGTGCGTTGCATTGTGATGATGATGTTTGAGATACTACAGCTAGGTTTGGTACAGAGATATTGTGCTGATTCTGGCGGAAAGAGCTCAGCAATACATGCCATGACCATGACTCGACATCCGAACGTGTTGTGTTGTATCATTGATATAGGTGAGTTAGGTATTACATCCGAGCGGTGTTATCCAGAATCGCCTGTAAGCTTCAGAGACCGTCGCTAGTTATCATAGTAAATCGGATCGTAGCTTAGGTAAGCGGGACTCGAACTATAAAACCGTCATGTCCAGCATCATAATGATAATAGAAGAACAAGAACCTTGATACTACTAAACACCTAACCTACCATTAAATATAAGTCCGTAGTGTCTATAGTGTTTATTCTTGAATATATTATTATTATTACTATTATTATCATTATTGCTATCAGTACCATTGCTATCATCATTATCATATGCCGCTGACCCTTCAGGGGGGTAGGCGGTACTGCTATGAAAGTGTACGAGGAGGGGAAAACCCTTGGTTTCCTTGGACGAGAACCACTCCTCTGATAAGGCTTCGGGGCTAGGACGGCCTTAAATATATTATTTTATCTAACCATATTTACATACCTGCCCACTATTACTTAAGCACTCTCCCGCCGCTCCTCTTATATAGTCTTGCTTATATATGCACATCTACGTAGCACAGGAGAGAGAGAATCTAGACTTTTTACCCTCACTTTCGTACCCTGCTACTAGTATTCGTGACGCTGGTCTCACCATCTCCGTGATCCCCGTCGCCGAGAGGACGCTACATTTCCTCTTCATTCATCTCCAGCAAGTCCTTTTCTTACCATTCAATCCTGGCTAGTCTTATACATCCGTCCCCGTCTCGTCGTAGCGTGTCTGAGCTTTATCAGCCAGTCCTCTTGTGAGACAGACGCGTCCGACTCAGAGTCAGACGTCCGCTTCCATGTCACAGAGGACGCAGAGCCTTTCTATAGTTACGGTCCTGACGGCTACTCTTCCGTGGATGTTGACGGTCGCCTCGCTGGTGATCGTTAGCAAGTCTTGCATAAGCTCGAGCACGGCAACTATCCCAGCATAAGTGTGTGTGATGCTGTCTTGGAGACCGTTCTTGGGTGCCAGAGACGACAGGTTTCGGCGCCCCGGAGCAAGTACACACTGCTAAGAGGGATATGTACTTCTCGAGAGGCGTAGATGTACTCTCCTTCTTTTCTGTACTTGCGATTATCCATAAGAACCAAGACAGAAGACGGGAAATTATCCATTATGGCACTCTCACTGTGTACACGAACAACCCAACCCCCCCCCCCCCCCCCCCCTCCTATACGCCCACAGCCAATGCCATCCAATGCAAACACAGCAGTCTTCCTCGCTGCTGCTTCTTGACCTAGGTTCCGGGAAATAAGGAGCACTGTGCTCCCGATAGTAGTAGTAGCTCATCACCGAGGCCTGTCTCCATGCCGACCGTATGGAGAGAATCCGTGGATCCCCACGTTCATTGCGGCCATGGCCCTTGCAAGTTCGGCAAAGGCAGGCAGTGAGAAGTAAGCAGGTGTCCGGTACCCTGTTCATTCCAATACGCTCTACTGCGATCCCCTTTTCAGTCTGGATGTGGAAGGCACAGTTTTTCTGGGTCGTCTCCGGAAGGTGCGTGTGTCTGGACTTCCGTAGAATCTGGCCTAGACCTTCCCCAAGAGCTCTCCGGTGTGGTGGACCTTCCCAATCTACCCAGTTGTATCAATGCGTTCGATTCCATGTCTAGAAGGAACACCGACTACTTCCATATGCGTCTGCATTATCCGGAGACACTTGGAAGTAGCGTTGCTGCCCATCTGGAAGGAACATCCCCCAGTCCCCAAAGATGTAAGATACAAAGAACTCCTCCCCCGGCCTCTACCAGCTCTGGTCCATCTTGTCCCCTTTTCTCTGTCGTGTTCATATCCGTCTTCTTAGTCTTCATTCATCCCCAGTCTCATTGTTGACCTGGTTTTCTGTCGTTCAAGCCTACCAGGCGTTCTGCTTCCTCTCTTTTTTTCTTGATCCCATGGCTGTCTTCGCCTTACTTCGTCTCGCGCCGAGCTTACATGCCCGTCCGTCGTCCAACTCCCACCCACCTTGGTCTGTCTTAAGCCTCTGGTTCCATCGTCGCCTCAGTATCTCACCTGTCTGCCCTTTCCTGGTCTCACAAAGTGCTCCATTCAACATTCGCATGGAATTGCAGTGCTCCACTTGGAGCCTGTCGTTTTGGAAGTGGACTCCCAATACTTCGGCACTGCATGTGGTGAACGAACGGCTCTAACATCGCCCGTACATGCATCTCCTTCATCTCAGAAAACCCAGAAGCCAGTTTGTTCTCGAAAGGTCCCGGCTCAGCGGTTGAATCATTCTCATCACGGATGTCGATGCTACCAATATCAAAAGGTGGGTTCCCCCTGTCTACGCTTGGTGACTATGTCAAAGGCTCTATGATGTTGGACCTAGTCCTTGGAGTGATTAGTTTAGCAGCGACGTCTGAGAGGACGGTATGGAGCGGTTCACTAGAGCATATCGTAAGCGTTCGCTAGATAAGCTAGAGGGTCCGAGGTTCTCCTCGAATGGCGGTGAGAGTGAGTACTACCGCCTCTCCGATTACTGGGATAGCGTAGACAGCTCTATAGACCTAAAGCTTCTATACCTGACGGAAAGGCCCAAGTTCCCAGTGCGGAGCGCTTGAGGTAGTGTCTTGGGAGAGAAATCAAGTATGCTGCCAAAAGGACACTAACAACACTCCATGTAGTAAAGTCTTCTATAAGATTCGAGGACCACATTGTGAAAATCGGTAGAAGAATGAGGCGGCTGGGAATAAGGCTTTAGTATAGAAGAGTTATGTTGATGGCCTTAGGCCACATTGGTCACGTGTTTCAGCCAGCCCACACACACACAGCTCACTTTCCTGTGCATTAGCTAGCTAGCTTATCATCATCATCACCTTGGTTCTCTCGGCTTCTTGTACCACATTCCTCGTGCCTCAACAAGTTATAACAAGCAACTCTCATCCGCCTCAATCGCGATGATATAGAAGGATAAAATTGGCGAAGACGAGTACATCGATCCAAACGACCCACAATTTAACCCAAAGCTCAAGGATCTGGGTCAAATTGTGGGTCGTCCGCATAAGGGGCCCGTTTTTCTAGGAAGCGGGGACCGTCCCCGCGTGTTATAGTGTCAAGTGCTGACTAAGGACAGAGGACAGTCAGGGAAGTGTTGAGGAAGAAGAAGCCATATCGAGTCACATCGAGCCACATTCGTGCTATTTCTGCCCAGGTCATTCATGCCGTTGCCTACCTGCATAGTGAGGGGATCATTGACGGAGATGAGTGCTGATGTGCATTCACACTCGATATCCTGCCACGCAGCTCACTTGATCAGATATAGATCTCCATCTCGACAATGTCTCTGAGATTTCCGGAAGAATCCTGCCTCTAGATCGAAGAAGAACTTCTAGAGAAGTACGGAGAGCCAGATCTAGAATTACCAGCCTAGACCTTTCACAATAAGCCAGCCCCGCCGAGCGTCTCCCACCACGCCACGCTGCCTGTCTGGTTTCCCACGGAGAGGTTCGACAACCTCAGCTTGGCCGATACGCACATATTCCTCTCGGAGTTTGGCGAGTCGTACCGCCCTGCGCAGAAGACGAGGCTCGGAGTTATCACAACCCCTCCTGTCCTTCATGCGAAATTCCTTCACTTCTTTCATCCACTCTCCAACGTGTCTGACAGAAGTACTGGTACATCATCCACCCTGTCGTCTCACTTCGTGGTATCTGTGGTGTGGGTGCTGGCAGCACTACTGTTGCGTCCCAAGAAGGAGGGAAGGACGGCGAAAGGTCAAGGAGGCCCCTAACCTCCTTCCCACACAACCATAGAAGAGACACCTGATATGGAGAGCGGGGGTGGAAAGAGCCGCCTTGTGTACGCCTACTGTTGGTGATCTGTCGATTCTGGGGAATGCCAATCTGGGACAGAGCGACGTACCTGGGTGAGGCCCTGGGCTCGTTCTGGGGAGGAACGAGCCTTCTTCGATAGAATCCCGTAACCACGAATGACCAAGTCTATGCTCTTCACCTCTTTTCCACTCGCTAGCAAACCGGATTTTCAACTCCAGAGGATCCCGTCAGGTCAAACCACTCCGCTCAGCCACCACCCCCAAGACTCCGTAAAGGTGTTTAGCCATGGACGAGCCAACCGCTGACCAAGATGCGGTGCCCGCCGCTACCCTACAAGAAGCAAGCGGTGGTCTGGACGATGATGGCACGCTTCATGCACAAGACCCTTTGCCCCAGAAGTTCTCATTTGATGGTCCTACCGACGAATATCCCAGAGCACCCCATGTGGAAACTGGCAGCGTGCCAAAGACTGATGCCTACCGTCGCTACCCCAGAATCTCTCGGCCAGTCGAGCTCATGCGTGAGTCTTACGATGTCGTCGTCATCGGCACAGGCTACGGTAGTTCCGTAGCCGCCAGTCGTATGGCCCGTGGCCGCCAAAACGTCTGCGTCTTAGAGCGTGGCAAGGAACGGTGGCCAGGAGAGTTCCCGGAGACGTTCCTCGACGCTATCGGCGAAGTCCGCCTCAGCGGTGAGTTTGCCCCGAGTGACCGGGGGGGTATGCCAAAAACCCTCGTCGGGTCTGGGAATCCCTCTGGCCTGTACCATTTCGCCTTGGGGAAAGGTCAGAATGTCTGCATGGCCAACGGCCTCGGCGGGACAAGTCTCATCAATGCCAATGTCTATCTGGAGGCGGCACCCGCTGTCTTGGACATGCCTATGTGGCCTACCGAGTTGAGAGGCATCGAGGCTTGGAGAAAATGTAGGTTTTCCGTCTTCTACGATGATGCGGAGTTACGTTGTGCATCCTCGGATATGCCTCCTTATCGGAGGCCCTCACCTTTTCCTCATTGCAAAGAACTGAGTATACGTAGACTACGATCGGGCCGGTGACGTTCTCGAGCCGGTGGAGTACCCTACGACGTTCCCGGAGCTTCGCAAGCTCAGGCTATTCGAGAGGCAAGCCGCGCTTGTCGGGCATGAAGACAAGTTCTACCGAGTGAAGCAAACGACCCGCTTTCACGATGGTCCCAACAGCACTGGTGTCTCCATGAGGGCATCGACCTTGTCAGGAATGGATGCCACCGGTATCAATGACGGGAGTAAGTCGACAACTCTTGTGAACTACCTGAGCGATGCCTGGAACTGGGGTGCCGAGATGTTTTGTGGCTGCGAAGTTCGCTATGTGACCGAAGCTCCTGGTCGGGAAGGATACATTGTCCATTTCGCATGGTACGGCGGTAATCGAAAACAATTCCCCAGCTTCTATGACGATTTGATGTGGGTTCATGCCAAGGAGCTTGTTTTCTTCGGCGCGGGCAGTATCGGAACAACCGAGATCCTGCTTCGGAGCAAGCAAGTCGGACTGGACATCAGTGACGAGGTGGGAACAGAGATGAGCGGCAATGGTGATATGATTGGATTCGGGTAAGGGTTATGCAATGCCGAAGTCGAATCCAACCGCATGATCCCGTAATGGATCCATACAGCTAACCTGCTTCCTATTCAGGTACAACACCGACTACGAAGCAAACTGCGTGGCGCGTCGTGTCAGCAAGAACTCGCCCAACCCAGTTGGCCCGTGCATTACGTCGGTCCTCGATATGCGCGATACCGAAAACCCATTCGAAGGGTTTGTAGTGGAGGATGCGTCAGTTCCTTATGCCCTCAGGTTCCTGCTTTCTCCCACCTTTGAGGCCTTGCCGGACCCCACGCAGCCCGTCTACAGTTTTGTCAGAGCAGCTCAGAAGTTTGCCTCCAGGGTCTCTGGTCTGATTCTTGGGCCGTACTTTTCGCAAGGGAGCATCGCCAAAACGGCTATTTACCTCGTCATGTCCCACGACAGTAAGTGCCGGCATATTTCATTTGGGTACGGCCTCTCATACTCCGCGCAGGTAGCCAAGGACGCCTCATTCTCAAGAGCGACCAGCCTGTTCTTACATACTCTGGTGTCGGACGATCGGCATCTGTTAGGCGCATCCACGAGTTCCTGGAAAGGCTGACTGCTGTGGTTGGCGGTAATTTCATTGCTAACCCGCTATGGACCTCTCTGGGCTCTCAAGAGATCACCGTTCACCCAATGTAAGGCCTTGGAAATCCTGCCTGATTATGGGCTAACGTTTGATGTAGCGGTGGTGCCCGCATCAGTCCTGATGGCACGGGACGAGGCGGGGTGGTGAACCACATCGGTGAGCTTTTTATCGGTAGTGGGGAGGAGACACACTCAGGCTTGGTGGTTTGCGACGGATCCATGGTTCCGGCTGCCTTGGGTGTCAATCCCTTTGCTACCATAGCAGCCCTTGCCGAACGCTCAGCTGAGCTGGTCGCGGAGAAGAACGGCATCGCCATAGACTATGCTACGCCCAACGGTAAGTAGCGTCTACCCTTGGCAAGTCTTCTCAATAGCTGATACCAGCAAGGCATATTGGACCTATATAAGCAACCTGCGTATACGGTTCCCAGAGATGCCGCCAGTGATGCTCTCGCAGTCAAGATCGCCGCATGTGCGGAAAGCAAGAGTGCTGGGATCTCCTTCTCTGAGATTATGACTGGGTTTATCCATATCGGACCGGACCTTGGAGACTTTGGGGCAGCTACTCAACTTGCACGTCGCCAAGAAGAGTCTGCACGCGTTGTCCTCACTATCCGGTCTTGGGATACGCTGAACCGTATGTCTTTCATGCAATCTTCACGACATGACCGAGAAAATCACCTGACATATCGTACCAGTCATCAACAGTCATCTTCACCAAGCCAACATTACAGGCACGTTTACTTCAGCCTCCCTTGGCGCAACATTCCTGGTCCATCGGGGGACATTTCAGCTGTTCAGCCAGGATCCACGCCAGCCGGAGACGACAAATCTACTGTACAGCTTCGACATGGTGTCTCCGAGCGGCCGAAAGATGCATTTTGATGGTTACAAGGCAGTCAATTCAGGAAGCTTCCTGAACCCGCTCCAAATATGGCGGCAGACGACCACCATGTATGTCACCCTGACTAAGGATGGGAAGCAGGTGGTTGGTCGAGGTACCATGTACTTGTCCGTGCCAGACTTTTTCAAGGAGATGCAGACATTGGTAGCAGATGGCCCTTCAACATGGTCAAGAATCGGCTCGCTGCTCAGGTTCTTCACTTACTTTTCCAAGAGACTGAAGGATCCCTTTCTGTCAACACTGGGCCGTACGCAATGGCCAGATGACGATGTCAACGCATCGTACAGGGTCACGACGCCTGCAGATGTGGTAAGCCTGGTTGCAACCGATGGTGTACCGACAACCATGGCTGTGTGGAATCCTCTCCTGGGAGGGAAGGAGGTGCAGGAAGCCGCGCCCCAGATTCTCTTTGTACCTGGGGCAGCAGTCGACCACAACATATACTGTCTTCCTACGATTGAGAAGAATGCAATCAACTTCTTCCGCGAAGCCGGCTACCGAGTGTACTGCATCACACACCGAGTCGGCCGTACGCCAGTAGCGAAGAATGGATACACGCCGTTCGACGTGCGTCTGGACATCTTGGCTGCGTTGACGTATATCCGCAAGGCGGGGAATGCCTGCTCCTCGGGAGAGGCGCGGAAGATTTATGTCGTCGCACACTGCGTGGGATCCCTTGGCCTGGCGTGTGGACTTCTGGATGGCACGATCCCGGGGCTCTGGATACGAGGTGTCACGTCGTCGGCCGTCTTCATGAACCCGAGATTTGGCAAGATGAATCATCTGATGTCTCTGATTCCGGATTGTCTTTCTCAAATCCTGCTCAGGCCATGGTGGGATTGTACGAGCAGCCCAAACGACACGACTATACAAAGGATCGCGAACCAGGTTCTCCGGTTCTACCCAGTGGCCAGGGCCCGCGAAACTTGCCGGTCAAATGTCTGTCACCGGTCGGACCTTGTTTACGGACAGTGAGTGCCTACTGCAACGTGGTCTAGATGCTACACGCGGCGATTCACGCAGCGATTGATGAAGAAAAAAAGAAGGAAGCAGAGCTGACAAGGATGTCTTGTAGCCTCTGGATCCACGCGAACATTAATGAGGAGACACACAGACACCTGGATCTCATCATGGGAGGGACGACACTGGATACGATTGCCTGGCTCGCTAAGGCAGGTCATGCCGAGCAGGTCCAGACCAACGCGCCAGACTCTACCAACCTCGTGACGCCTAATAATCTGCGGCGACTGGCGGGGATTCCCATGCTGTTTGTGGCGGGATCCAAGAACACTGTTTTCCTCCCCGAAAATACCGACACGACTTACACGATGCTCTGCAGTGTCCATGGAAAACAATGGTATCAACGCGAGATATTCAATGGAAGGGGTCATCTCGACGTTTGGATGGGGGCTACGTCGTATATAGATGTGTATCCGAGGGTACTGCAACATGTCGAGTCGATGGCGAAGGATGAGTGCTGATGGCTTTGATGTTATCCTTATTTCCTCATCACTTGAGGCGTCTTATACAATGGCAGTCTTTCCTATTGGCTTTCCTTGTTATCTTTACATGTCTACATCTCTATGACGCAAGGGGGGGTATTTTTTTTCTTTCTTTTCTTTCTTTTCTTCCTGTATGGTTATCTACGTTGACGGGGGGTATCAGAGGGGCGACGATTGCTGTCTCACATGGTCATGGCCTGCACATGTGTGTATATATGCATGTATCAATGAAACAAGTTGTCGGAATTTGTGTGTGTGTGTGTGTGTAAGATGATTTAATACTCAGGAGTATGAGAGATTACAAGCGGAGAAATAAGCCATCGGTTCCATTGATGGGATAATCATTTACCCCGACATGGGGTGGGCGGGCTCACCAACTGATATGCTCGCACATTAGACGCCACGGTCAGCCATGCATGAGATTTGCATCTCTCTTTCGAGTAGCAATCACGGTATCAAAGCGAAACCGAGCTTTCCTCGAGTATCAGATGGGGCTGCGGTGATGCCGACTCCAGTTTCCACGTCAGGTCGTCTCACCCCCGGACAATCCCCATATTGCTCCACCATCACGTAGGCGGCTTGTCCACTTCCCCGCAGCCGAGTGGGGTTTTTGAATGTGGTCCTCCCTCTCCTCAGGCGGGTATGAGGTTGGGGATAGTCTGGGGTGATGTGATGGGTCGGCGATACATGCGACGGGGACTTGCGGCGGGACACATTGAACGACTTGTTTGGAGGGTCAGATGACGCTGTCAGAAAGTGGCATTCTATTGCAATGAATGTGACGAGTAATGTGCGCTTGATAGATGATGATGATGACGATGATGATATTGAAGCCTTGAGAGATGGGAGAGAAGAAGGCTTATCGCCTAGGCCCCGAGTCCTTGTCCGCCGACAGGGACAGCATGAAGGCTCAACTTGTTTCTCGGGGCCGACCCAGATGAGGATAAGGGCTTCGATGATGTCTCCGGGCTAGCATTTGCGGAACGGGCCATTGGACCATCTCATTGAGGGGTCGGCAGTTTCACCGAAGCAAGGATATGCGAATGAGAGACAAGGTTCCGACGGACAAGGATGGGGGGTCATAAAAAAAATCCAATTGGATTTCCCCCGCCCTTCCGAATACGTCGTGAGTCTGGGATCTCCACGCTCCCCCACACTACACCGTGCTATGCCCGGACCCCACGGTGCAAGGGTTGCGGGGTGCACGGGGCACGGGGCACGGTGCACGGTGCACAGTCAAAGAGTGCGTGGGTCGGTGATGGAAGAGTGTAGGGGGAGCTACGTCGAGGCGGGAGGTTCGAAGGTGAAGAGGGACTGGACCGTGAGGAGGTTTTGACGAGGCGGCATGGCCGTGTGGGTTGTCGTCCCCCACGTGCAATTATAAAAAAGTAGTTGTAAGAAGCTGGCCGTCACATTCTTGACTTTCCCACTCTCTATTGATTCACAGACAGAGCTGTATCTTTAACATATATACATACATATATATATATATATATATATATATATATATATATATCAAACGTCATTCATCTCTCCCCCCTCCTTCCTCTTCTTCCCCTTCTTCTTTCCATCTATCAACCATGGCGAAGAAAGACACGACGACGGCGCCGGCCGAGCTCCCGTCAGACCTGATGAAGGCGACCCGACTCAAAGAAGAAGAGGAGGATGCGGGACGGGTGTCGACGACGGAGAAGGCAGAAGTCGTCATACCCGCCCCCACGACCGGCAAGGTCGACCCGGAAGCGTGGGCCAGCCACTTCGAGTCTATGGACGAGGACACGCGGCGGGGTGCGGAGCGTCGGCTCCTCCGCAAGGTCGACGGCCGCCTGCTCCCGATGCTGATCATCATGTACCTGCTCAACTTCCTGGACCGATCGAACCTGGCGCAGTCGCGGCAGGGCTCTCTGGAGGCGGACCTGGGGATGACGGGGACCGACTTCAACCTGGCCACGTCCATCTTCTTCGTGGGCTACCTTCTCATGCAGCTGCCTTCGAACCTGCTGCTGACCAAGGTGAGGCCGTCGCTCTACCTGAGCGCCACGTGCTGCCTGTGGGGGGTGGTGTCGACGTGCAACGCCGCCACCCGCAACTTCGGGCAGCTCATCGCTGTTCGCTTCTTCCTGGGCTTCGTGGAGGCCCCCTTCTTCCCGGGGGCCATCTTCCTCATGAGCTCGTGGTATAACCGCGCCGAGCTGACGAGGCGCATCGCCTGGCTCTACTCCGGGAACGCGCTGGCAAACATGTTTGGCGGGCTGCTGGGGGCTGCTATCCTCGGAAACCTGGATGGGGATATGGGCCTCGCTAGCTGGAGGTGGCTCTTTATCATCGTACGTCTCGTTTCTTATCTTTTGGGGGTTATTTTTTCTGGTTTTGTTGTCAAAAGTACAGCAACGCTATACGATAATGGAGAGACTGGGATTGAGAAAATGGGACTGAAAGGAGAGAGAGAGAGAGTGTGTGTGTGTGTGTAGCTGACCATTGTGTAGGAGGGTGTCGTCGCCATCGCCTTTGCCATGGTCACCGCCGTCGTCCTCCCCGACTACCCACACACGACGAGGTGGCTGAGCACGGAAGAAAAGGCCCTGGCCGCCTGGCGTCTGCTCCGAGACGTCAACGAGGTCGACGAGTACGACGGGAACCTGTCCGTCTGGCAAGGCACTCTGCTCGCCCTCAAGGACTACCGTCTCTACCTGTTTGTTCTACTGCAGCACGTCAGTCTGCTGTCCCAGAGCTTCCAGTACTTCTTTCCTAGTATCCTGGGAACTTTGGGGTACGGCAAGGTCAACACTCTCTGGCTCACGGCTCCAGTCTGGGTACGTTTTCTCATCCTCGCTCCGCTCGCCCGTCCTCCTCCTGCGATTCTTGTTTTTGTTTTTTTTTTTCGATTAAAAAAAATCCTCATTCGCTCGCATGTCCCCTTTGAATTGTCCGAGGCGCCCGTCCTGCTTCTCATATCGGCTCTCTGAGCCGTCTCCGATGTCGTCATCTGACACTCTACAGTTCTCCATGTTTCTCGTCTCCGTCGTCGTGACACTCACATCAGCCAAGACGGCAGACCGATCCCTCCACATAATAGGACTCATGATCCTGTCCGCCGTGGGCAATGCCATTTGCGCCGGCTCATCTTCGATCGGAGCTCGATTCTTTGCCATGTTTCTCATGCCGATGGGTGCAGTGTCAGCCTGTAAGTTATGTCCGCATCTTTGACATTCTCTCGTCATCCTTGCCATATCATATATCAATCCTCCTCCAAGATCGAACAGAGAGAAAGAGAGAGAAGAGGGAAAGAAGAGAAGGGGGAGAAAAAAAAAGAGGCTGACGCGGAGAATAGACCAAATCATCCTCTCCTGGGTGGCAAACTCCTTCCCACGTCCCCTGGCGAAACGCTCCGCGGCCATCGCCATCTGCAACATGGTGGGCAACACGGCCACCATCTACGGATCGTACATGTACGCCGAATCCACGGCCCCGCAGTACCGTCCGGGCGGCAGCGCCGACGCCGCCATCTGCGTGTGCGTTGCCGCCCTGGCCCTGGCCCTGCGATACCTGCACAAGTGGGAGAATAGGAAGCTCGAGAGGGCCGAGGACGAGCTGCGGGGGCAGACCGGTCCAGTGGGGGAGCCTGCCGTTGCTGCCGGGAAGGATAGGAGGGCTATCGGTTTCCGTTATGTCTATTAGCTTCCTTTTGCTTCCTCGCCTCTTTGGTCCTCTTTCATTCTTGCTCTCTTTTTCCTGTCCGAGTACCGGGTTTGAGGCTCCGGTCCCGGACCGGAATAACCATTGCACGGCGTTTGGTCGGTGTTTGTGCAGACAGAAAAAAAAATCGAAAGAGAAAAAAAAAGGAGAGAGAGCAGAGAATATTATATTGACGCCGAGGTATCATCAAAGAAGAGCTATGCTATTATATACTAGTACTTTGTAGCGCAGAAAGAAGCACTACTCTTCGTCGGAGTTGTACAGCGGTCTCATCTCATGCGGTCTGCCATTACGGGCACCGCCAGACCAGAGCGACAGGAAGATGGAGGTAGAGCTGCCCTTGATGGAGAGGGGGAGGGTGCCGCCGGCTGAGCCGAAGGATGCGCCGCCGCGAGTCTTGCTGGGTAGACAGCAGCAGATGAGGCGGTACAGGGCGGGGCGGAGGACCAGCCAGGACTTGACGGCGATGCGAGCTAGCCTCGAGCGCAGGGGGCGGCAGTGATCCCAGGCGAAGAGGGCGACGCAGGTGGCGCCCATGTTGGAGAGCCACCCGAGCCAGGAGAGGACCACGCCGAAGACGTCGGGTAGGGAGGGGTTGCCCCTGTCGCGGCTGATCCTGACGGTCTGGCCGAGGACGTTGCCGTCGGAATCGAGGGCCACGGCGCGCAGGTACTCGGGCATGGAGGAGGAGAGGTCGAACGAGACCTCGAAGCGGCCGTCGCGCGGCTCGACGGCCAGGTCGGCCCAGGGGCCGGACCCGACGCCCGCCCAGTCGGCGCCCTGGAGGGCCCAGCTGGCCACCTCGGTGGCGCCGTTCCAGCTGACATAGAGGCGGGCCTCGGAGGGGTCGAGCACGGCGTCTGGGCGCCTGACGGGGCGGCCGGTCCAGTGGCCCTTGGTGACGCGGTAGCTGCCCACCGACCCGAAGGGGAACATGATGCTCGGGGCCAGGCGGACGTCGCACAGCACCTCGCTCGAGTTGGTGTCGAACTCGGTGAAGGCAGGGATGAAGCCGAAGTCGACGACCATGGAACGGCCGCCGTCCCACATCTGCGCCGAGCCCTGCGAGTCGGCGTGCTTCGGGTGGCGGGGGTCGTGGACCTCGTGCAGCAGCTCGGCCGTCAGCCTCTCCTGGTCGAGCCGGATGACCAGGCCGCGGCTATAGCCGTGCGGGGGAGCGGGCCCGCTGCGCTCGGCCTTGGCGTTGTCGAACATGGAGAGCACGTCGTCGTCATCGATGCGGATGTGGTGCTGGTAGGCGAAGTCGGTGGCGCGGCCGCCCGACAGATCGGCGAACATGTTGCCGCGGCCGCCGAGGGTCCACAGCGTGGTGCCGTTTGGGTGGACGCAGTGCACCGTCTGGGTGTGGCGCCCCGAGACGAGGTAGTTGCCGCGGACGTCCTTGTCCATGCTGTTGATGTGGAAGTAGTCGAAGCCGAGCTCGGGGGCGAGGCCGGTGTCGCGGTTTGCGTAGTATCGGATCGTGTCCTCGAGGGGCACGTGCTGGCTGGCGCGCCACTCGAAGAGCAGCTCGCCCGTCTCGATGTCGACCTCTTGGAAGATGCTGTCCATGATCCAGCCCTGGGCTGGCCCGCCGATGGAGCTCAGGTCCCAGGGCCGCGGGGCGTAGGCCGTCAGCAGTACCGTGTCGTCGCGCGTGATGCGAAAGTCGTGCAGGTCGTCCATCATGCCCTCGCCCACCGCCGACACGGTGCGGAAGACGTTGTAGTTCTCGTCCAGCATGTAGTGCTCCCCGCGGCCGAAGCCCATGGTGATGCCCTCGATGTCCTTCCAGTACGTCAGATAGCGCTTCCCCCTGTACGTCTGTGACGCGAGGTCCGAGGCTGCGCCGATGCTCAGCGCCCCTGACCACACCAGGTTACCGCGCCCATCAACGACCAGCGGTCCCGGCGTGTCGACCAGTCGGCCCTTGGGCGTCATGAGGTAGTATCCGTCCATGCAACGCTCGTCCCACTGCAGGAAGTCGAGTCGCGGTACGGTGCCTCGGAAGGATCGAAACCCCTTGGTCGGGTACCAGCCGTACCAGCCCCAGTCGTATAGGTGCCGGGAGTTGAATGCGCTGACGATGTTGCTGCTGCTGCTGCTGCTGCTGCTGCTAGCGCTGGCGAGGTCGAGGACCGTGGCGGCCACGGCCACCGGCAGCGGCAACAGCCTCATTGTCGCTTTCGGTTTCTCTTGTCTGCGTCTTGCAGAAACCGGCCGCTATCGCTCAATCTCGTCGTCGTGATGGGAGGGGAGGGAGACACGCTGGTCATGTGTCGTCGATAAGAAGCGAGGCGATGCGAGGAGAAGGGAGTATTACTCATCCCACTGTGAGTATTCCTAATTTTATGTGGGAGTTGGAACTGGTCTGCTTGTGAGTTGGTAGTCCAAATTATCGTAATCGTGCCTGCAAAACAGGAAGGGGTGGGGGGGCAGATAGAGAGAGGGAGAGGGAGAGAGAGAGAGCAAGGAAGGAAAAGAAGAAGAAAAGAGCCAACTATTCAAAGAACTCGTGTACAAGCAGGGGAAAAGAAAGGCGAACATATAGAGACCCTTGATCGGGAATGTCGCGGGTCACTGTCGCGGGTATGATCGAGAGCATTACCATTACGTATGCTCTCCTTGGTGCATATAACAATAATAGTCTTAGGACTTGACCTCAACTTTGGAGAGGGGGGAGGAGGGGGTTCCTTTTTTATCTGTACCTGTACGGAGCAATACGGTAAGTTCTATTCCAGTCTCTCCTAGACTCTATTACAGGAGGCTGACGAGAATTTAAAAGAAAATTAAGAGAAAAGCGTGATGCTAACAGTAAGATTCTTCCGCTACAAGGGCATGTATTGAGGATGTACAAGTAGTGGATGTGGTCTCGTGCTTCTTGACGGGCAGTCCGCTATGGCCTCGTAGCACCACTGGCCCGCAGTGATGATGTGCGTGAAGCTATTCGTGATGACTGACTTGGTGTCTCGATGTCTAGCCGAGTACGGAGTAGCTGAGGTTTTGAGGTTTTCTCACTCGGTAATAACAACGCTTAGTGGCGTGTGTGCGGGTCCCGGAAGATTGAACCTCCGGGTCCCGGATACACAGTCCCACGTAAGTCCGATGCTTACGGGAAGCTGGATGCATTGTACAGATTACCGATAGCGGGTTTAGGTCATTATCCGGGTGTTCTTCCATGGACCAGGGGCTCTGCTAGTTCGTAATGTCTGAAGGGCGGAAGGCTTAGTGATGGATGAGAACCACTCCTCTCAACAGAGAGTTACGCCTACGCACATGCATATGATTGCGGCCACGTGTGAGTGTGTCCTCTACTCGTACGAGTACGTACGGTGACATGTGTTTGTGGAGTATACTTCTAGAGTAATACTTACAGGATCCTAGACCTGTGGCTATTCTTACTCGTATACAGATCTGTACGAGCATAGAGGGGAGAGTACTATATAGGTACCTGTGCCATGTGCCTGTCCAACCTCGTGACCTGTCTTGACAGTTGCCATGTGGAACAGCCTCTGAGTCTGAGCAGGGGAGATTTTGACGCTAAAAGTACCGGGGTATATCCGAATGATAGTGAGGGTCCGTAATCCCCCACGTCTTCTTCTCTGGTCCCCACCACCCCCCCCCCCCCCCCCCCCCGGCTCTCCGTTTTACTCGTACCTGTTACTCGTACAAGTCGCGCTCCTCGGAGTCCTCGCGCTTCTCGTACGTCCCGACGATACCGTAAGAACGCTCTGCATCTTACCTCCCCGGCCAATCGCCATTCTCCTTTAACATGTTGGGTCCTTTTCCTTTCCTTGCCTTTGCAAGCCGCTGAGTCAGACAGGACCGTGGATTTTTTTTTGGCAGGAGCGGGGCCCGGAGCATCACCTGCAGACAAGGGGGGCCAAGCGTTCTTCAACTGCTCGTACATGTGCTAGTACCATTATATCATTTCTATCTCGCTCTGTATGCGTAAAATGGATGCGGGTATCGTATAATGCCAAGTAGTTGTATAAAAGCAACAAAAAAAAGAGAGAAGAGAAAAAGAGAGATTGGGGCAGAGCACGAATCCAAACGGGCGAGGGAGTGGGAATGAAACATCACTTGATCCGCGGTCCCTTGACCCTGAGCCCATTGCCCGCACTAGCCCACACGCTCTCCGACACCTTTGTGGGAATCTTGCGGCCACGTAGTCTCTGATCGATCAGCCACATGCCCACGATGAACTCAGCCCGTCCCAGAGCCCCCTTACCCTCGTGGTCGACGAGGTTCCACACCTCCGCGAGCTCGTCCTCGGGCAGCCTGCACCGTCGCCAGATGTCCCGCACCACCACGTTCGCCACGTACTCGTCGTAGCTGTACGCGCCGCCCCTGACGAGCGACGGGAGGAGCAGGGCGCCGCGGTTCGACGCCCAGACAGCCTCGTAGCGTTTTCGCTGGCGGGGTCGTATCTCGTCGCGCCATCTGCTGCGGGATCCCTCGTGGTGGGCGTGCTTGTTGCTCCGGAGGATGGACCGCTTGTGGTGATGGTGGTGATGGTGACCATCATCATCGTCGTCTGCTGCCGTGGCGGATGTTGGGCCGCGCAGCGTCTGGCGCAGGTGCGGGGTCCTGGTGCGCGGCGGCGGGGAGGGCGGCTGCGATGACCCCGTGTCGGAGGGCGATAGGCGAGCTGCCAGGGACCCGGCAACGATGGCGCTCGTCATCGAGTTGAGGTCTAATCTCTTGCTCGACACGGCCGAAGGCTGCTGCAGAACGGCTGCCATGGCCCGACGGGGCGGTGAGGTTGTCCGTACGGAGCCGCGGGCGGGGGACGGGGAGGGCGGTGGTAGGTCCGGCTCTGGTGATGTAGGTGCCGAGACAAACACGTCGTTGCCCGTGTCGCTCTCCATCGTGGCCGTCCGCCGAGGTAGCGGCGGCGGTGCCGACGACGCTTCCGTGGGTGTGGGTTTCCTCTTGACTGCCCCTGATGTCGAGCCGGTCTGCCGTGGCTTTGGCGGCATCGGTGGCTGCTGCTGCTTCTGCTGCTGCTTCTGCTGCTGCTGCTGTACTGTACTTTGTTTGGGTGTGTCCTTCTTTTGCGGATCACCTCTGTCTTGGCCTGGTAGTTGGCTCGACGGCCGACTGACTGTTCGGATGTGCTGCGGAGGGAGGTGCGGTTTGTTCCGTCCAGGTGAAGGCGACGTCGCCGTCGGTGTTGCTGGTGCGGATTTAATGCTGCTCTGGCCTGTGGTAGAAGATCCCATCGGCCGGGGGCTGACAGGTTGCAGAGCCGACTTGTCTGCTGTGGCAGAAGGATCCTGCATCAGCCTTTGTAGAGGTGGAGGCCCGGGCTGCTCGTTTTTCTGCTTCTGATCGCCGGCTGCGGTTCTGGCCAACGCCTTTGGCGCAGACTGTTGACTTGGCGTTGCTCCAGCTTGAGTCGGGGTCGTCGGGGCCCGTCTCGGCGACTTCGGTGCGCAAGGTTCTTTGGCTTCCACGGTCTTGTTTTCTGGTTTCCTTGGGATGCTCTTTGGCTTCGGTTTCGGTTTCTGTTGCTGTTCCTGCTGCTGTTCCTGCTGCGTGTCCGGGACAGCAGCCGTAACAGCCGGTTTAGGGGGCTTGGCCGGCCTGGCCGCCGCAGGAGATACGCTCCTGTTCCCAGGCGACTGCGGCATTTCGCTCTTATTCGCACGGCCGTCCGTCTCCCACATGGAGATGAGCGACCCGGCCGATGGGGATGGCACCGCACGATTTGCAGAGTTATCTGCGGCGGCGCTCATGACGCTGGTAGCATCGGGGCTGCGCCTGTTGTTGTTCGTCGTCGCTCGGGCGTTCGGGCTGGCGCTCCGACTCGCGGCGAGCGTAGCAGCGATGAAGCTGGTACTCTTGGGGTCGACGGTGGTCGGTGCAGCGGTCGTCTGCTGATACTGCAGATGGCCCAGCTGCTGGAGGCGCGTGGCCACGAGGTCGCTACCGTTCCCGTCCACTGAGAGGGCAGCAGACGAGGAGCTGCGGCCTCCGGTACTGTCGGCGCTGAGGGGCTGCGCCGGCTGCGGGAGCCATCTGGCTGTATTACCCGTGCTCGTGTCGGTCGACGGTTGCTTCTTGTGGAAGGCCAGCGAGGCGCCTTGGAGGGCGGCGACGGACGATGCCGGAGACGATGGCTGTTGCTGTTGCTGTTGAAAGGGACGAGACGGGGATCTGGCACCGTGATGAAGATGCATCGTCATCGTTGGTGCTGGTGAACAGGCAGAGTCATTGCTTTAGGGAGGAAGAGGAAAGGTTGGAAGGGAAGAGAGAGGATGTCTGGGACGAGCAAGTCTAGTACGGGGTTGAGCTAACGAGAGGAAAGGAAACGGGAGCAAAGAGAAGAGACGGCAGTTCTGATGTCCTTTTTCTAGACGGATGTCACAAGTTCTTCAATGCTTTCGCATGAAATTAAATGAACCACGTCACGCTCTCTCGTCGGATTGAACGGCAAAATGTGGGAAAAGGAACGCGGGACCCGAACCGGGAAGCTGTTAGGGAAGTGGAGCAGCAAGCGATGGGACTGGAACTGAACTGGAACTGGGACCGGAACTTGTCAAACTTGTCAAACCCACGAGCCTCAAACTGGCGGAGCTAGCGAATTGGCATCTAGTCCCTGTAAGGTACTGCTCGTACTCGAGTAATTACATATGCGGGTAATGCACCATAGTACGATGTAGTGTTCGTATATTCGTATAACTTCTCTATTCTACCCAGTTCTTCAATTTGGTTCATTCAAGGTAAGCAGCTTACACATACTCGCATACGTGACTGCACATGATCTTCATCCCAGTTAGTCAGCGGTCACCAGTCAGCGGTCACTAGTAGGCGGTCACTAGTGGGCGGTCACTAGTGGGCGGTCACTGATCACTAGCGGTCATTCTACCACGGCGCTCCTCCCATCAGTCTGTGACGTGTGATGCCTCAGGCAGGCAGTCGCTCCAAGCCCCGGGGGCTGGTAGAAATCCGGGGTTCATATCTAAGCACGTGTCACGGACACCTCCATCCTCATGCATACAGGATCGAATAACTGTGAGCGGCTGACACCTCTCACAATCCTACGAGAGCTCCTCTATTAACCGGTCTCCTCCGCATAGAGAAATAGGCCACCGCTCTCCTTGTCTACCCAGAATGTAAAGTTAGCCACAGACACTTTCGTCCTTGGACGGCTCATTCGGATCATTCATCAACAACGTTGCGGAGCAGTCTACCCAGCTTCTTTCTCCACACTCCGGTGGCCGTCTTTTTTTTTCTTTTTTCTTCCCAGCGCTTCGCTGGTCTTTTCAAAGGATTCCTCGGTTACATGGCGCCATCGCTGACATGGGCTCCAGCAGTTTTGCAGGACCCCAGCAGGGGCTACAGCAGCGACGGTTCTGAGCAATTCGCCATCGTTTTCCCGCCCACGAAAGAGCGAAAGTCGATAGTTCCACCAATCAGTTCTTTTTCGATATAGATAACAAGGCTATCTGCGATCTGGTGTCTATGCATAGCGGGAGCGAACACTGCAATATCGCCGAAGAAGAGCCAAGCCAGGAGAGCAGTGTTCGGCCACGCGATCCCTGAGACCAGCCGATATATGCGGGCTTTACATGACGAGATTAGGCCAAGATGGTCCGTTTCGAGTGTCGAGTATCATGAGCAATGGCCCGAGGGGACAGGACCATCAGGGCGACCTGCTATATCTGTACTGCAGAGGGAAACAGATGCCGTGGAGCCAGGGAACTCATCGTCGTTCGGCGTATTTCGTAGACTAGAAAGCCACCACGGTTGCAAACCCCCCCCCCTCCCACGGTTACAGAACCCCTGCTCTCGATCGAGTGTTTTTCTGGGGCCTCCACAAGACTTCGATACAATCGCGGAGCCTCCGGGGTCAAGATGGTCCATAGAATGTAGAGCGTTGAACTATCGGAATTCTGCTCGGGATCTCTCTTGGGGAACCGTCTCGGAAGACTGACACTCTCGCTGTCACTGAAATATCGCGGTTCTTGGCACAAAGTCAAGGCCGGAGGCTTGTCCCATGTTTCTGAGAATACCAGTGGGGTCTTGGCTCTGGACGGTTCGCCGTTAGCATTCCGGTTCTATTGTGACGATCGCACAACGAGGTAAAGCGTTCGGGCCCAAGGTTGAAGGCTAGATCCTGCCCCTTGGCGGAGGTGGAGGGGGCTTATGTACGAATACTCGTAAATCTGGGGTCATGTTCAAAACAGGCACTTCGGTTTTCCCCCATTCCTAGAACACACGTACTGTCTTCACTTCCTAGCTGGCTGTCAATATACATTCAACGCACGGGGTAGTTAGTATGCATTGATCCAGTCCCCCAGGTACGCGGTTGCAACCATGGCACGCTGATTTTGCCTTGCCAACCTAAACCTGGCAGTGCACTCTGCCTGCCCTGTAGTCAGGCCTGAGCCGAACGCCAGCCGAGTTGTGGCCTTGAATGCAACGGCACAGAAGGTTGTTTCAGAATTGTATCTGCAACAAAGCAAACAATCCATATCGTAGGGTATCAGTTGATGCTGTGAGATCTCTTGACCCAGATTTGAACGTTTTCGCTGCTAAATTCCATAGCGTGACAGAATGAAATGGAGTTTGGCTTGGGAAAGGCACGTACTGGGTCGTGCTTTCCTGCTTGGAAAAAAACATGGTGCATGTTTATATTCCCTAATGGGTAAGACCCTTTTCAGTGAGGACGTGGATCCCTCTTCACTTCACTTGAAGCGCAGTCGCCCGATACTCGTGCAACGCAATGATGAAGAGCAGTTTATTTCTCTACGATCCCCTTCCATAATGACGTCCGAGACTCTAAAAGACAGCGCCGAAAATAATGACGCATCCTCCTCCAGAAGCAGTACTCGCCGCGTAGGCAAACGTGGTGGTAGGACAGCTTGCGACCAATGCAAGTTCCGTAAGATCAAGGTGCGAGCGAACCATGGGATCAACAACTGGCCTGCTCGACACTCGCAATTGACATATCCAACAGTGCAGCCTCTCCAATCCATGCACTAGCTGCGAACGCCAAGATCTGAGGTGCACGTACAACACGCCCAGGCGTAAGCGCGCCATAGGCAAGGGTGCCAGGATTCTCGAAATCAAGAAATCGCAGAAGCAGAGCGAGAGTGACGAGAGCCACATCTCGCCCGATAGCCGTGAACTCGCGAACTCCCGGAGCCCCGAACAGGGCCTTCACAGGCCGTTGCCCAGCTCGGCCTGCTCTGTCAGCGCTGGCAATCAGCTTCTCGAACCACCGGGTGGCTTCTCTCTCCAGGCCGGCACCGCCAACCCCCCTTCTGCAGCTATCTACATGCCCGGTGTGGTTCTAGAGAGCTCTACACACCGGCTGGCAGTGGACGACGAGTACTGGTTACCAAATATACCCCCAAACCAGCATCTCCCGTGTCCTGGAAATCATGATGATTTCGCATTCGGGGACGACGGCAGCACCGTGCCATGGGGGATGTACCCCGACAGCCTGCTTGAGCCTCCATGGCAGCCCCATACCGCTGAGCCGTACCAAGACTTCCCCGCTACTGACGAACATGACGAACAGTGGGAGCAGCGGCAGTCACGGCAATCGCCAGTTGGCGTCCCGGCGACTGATGCCCGGTTGATGGTTTCGGGAGCAGCCGGCGGCGAGCCCTCGATGCCGCCCTCGGTGTGGCCTTCATCCGTGACGGAGGAGAATCTCCTACCGTGGATAGACATCTTCTTCGCACGTCTCGGGTCAACTCTCCCAGTGCTGGATCAGCTATCCTGCTACCGGCGGATCATCCTCAAGGAGCACCGTTCCAATCCCCAGCTCGCCTCGCTGCTCCTCTCACTTTCTGCCGTGTCGTTGACACAGCCGGTCTGGATGCAGGAGCGTGAGTCGTCTTCGTCTCGGCGAAATCAGGCCAACCTGCTCATGATGGAAGCGGTCAGATTGCGGAGCACGCCCGACTTTGGAGAGAGTCCAACGCTGGACACTCTATTGACCAGCTTCTTCCTGTTCGCCTGTCTCTACGGTAGCAATCAACACAATGCCGCTTGGCTACGTTTGAAAGAGGCCGTGGACATTGCTGTAACCATGGGGCTCAACATAAGTGAGGGATATGATGGGCTCAGGGAGGACCAGAAGCTTCAGAGATTCAAAATCTACTTGATTCTAGTCATCACTGAAAGGTGCGTACATTTTCCCCAAAAGCACCGGATTTCACCATCCACTCCCCAATTCAGAGCTTCACCTTTCCTTCGGCCGTACATCGTCTGACAGCTTGCCATGTAGGAGCTACGCATTACAGCGGGACCACCCTATTGAGTTTGCCACGAGCCCATTATCCGCCCCGCGAGGCGTGGGTGCAGGATCATCAGCGGGTGTATCGCGAACAAGAAATCCAGCGGCGCGCAGGAAGCAGGCCTTGCCTATAAACGTGGAAACATTGCCCGATGAGGTGAAGGGGATAATGAAGATGTACACAATCTATGAATTAGTTGACGAGAATATCGCCGTCTGCTGGAGCCGCCAATGTGGTGTGTCAACGGGAACCTGCCACAAGTTCGACCGTCTGTGTGCAGTGTCGCGGCAGTCAAGTCTCCGCCATTACATGGAACTATCGAAAACTTGCGACGGAGTGCCAGACTCTCCTACAACCAGAAGGCATCGATTTTCGACGGGATATAACCGTCTCCAGGAAATCCAGCGGACAGATTACTTTGTATCGCATAGGTGGCTTGCCACCCGGCTATGGCTCATCAGCTTGTCTCACGGCCTGTTGGAGGCCGATTCCGAGTATCCGGAACTTAGCTTCGGCTACGCCATGAGTATAGCGGAAGACGCATTTGAGCTATGTCAAGGGTTCAGCCTAGACTCAATGGAAGCTCACGGTATCGGCTTAGTATGTTATGCTCTGTGCTGACGTTTCATAATGCCTACGCTAACTCGTGCTCGGAAATATCAAAAAAGATTGAAAAGATATACGACATTGGCTCTTCAGCAATCTGCGCGGCCAGACAGGATATTGAGGACAGAACGCAGCCAAATCCTTCCTTGGATGAGTCCCAAAAGCAGCGTTCTATCGACATTGCAAACAGATGCTTCTGTCTCTTGGCAGCGCTCAGGGGAGGCAGTCATCCGTATCTCGAGCGGTATGCTTCAGCATTTATCCAATTACCAGAATTGGGCCACGAGCTCGCTTCCATGCATCCCCGATTCGATCGTCTGTGGAAAATAGCTTTGGCGTCCTCCAGCTAGAAGCATGCATTTTACATACATACATCCATAGGATCATCTTTACAAGAGCACCTGATCATGCCCAACCTCTCTCTTCTTCTCAATCACAAAAGGCTACCTGGGTCTTCAGTCCATCCCATATTGATCCTTTTACCGTTGCCAATGTGCCCTCAGCCTCGTAGACGGGCCCTTGGGCAGGCATGGTGATGCCAAACCCACGGTCTGGTGCTGGGGGGTACAGCTTCGTCGAGGGGACGGTTCTTTCGTTGAGAAATACCTCCAGAACGCTCTGGTCATAGGACAAGCACAGTTGGGGGAGTTCCTCTTGAACCTCGTTGGTAGCAGGATCCGATATTGTGAAAGGGGTATGCGGCGCAGCATCTGCCACCCGGCTAGCAGTCTCCTCGTCGTCTGAGGTGGCGCTTGAAGTGCTCGTGACGCTTCGGTTGACGATGAACAGCTCGTCATCTGGGTAGTATTCCAGCGTGGTCTTATGCGCCGAGTCTGATTGCTACCATGAGCCAGTCAATGGCTCAAATATACAGAGCTTGGGAAGCCACATGGGAGGGTGATACGTATCAGAGAAACGGGGCTCACTGTGGGAGTGATGGGTTGTCAGATCAAGGCTCTCACAACCGCGGCCGACAGCGAAGGACAGGTCGGCCTCCCATTGAAGAATACGAACGTCGAGGAATGTCCCGTGAGCATCGCCATTCGAAAGAGCTGCGTCGACATCGATAGAACCTGTGCCCTTACGCAGACTGGAGAGGTTAGGGTGAGGCATCATGGCCAGAGTCTTGAGTGTCGCTGTGCCCGTGCCGGCGTCTCTGGGCTCAAGCTTGATGAGGCCTTTCTGGGCTAGATCGGACCTTCTCGCCTTGACAGCGTTGTGAATGACGATATTCTTCAGAAGACTCGGTAGGGAGAGGCAGCCACTCCAGCCCTGAGGGTGACGCATCTTGCCAGGCAGGTCTTCCTCAGCCAACCATCCCAGGACAGCTTGCTCCCTGATGGTCGGGTCCCAGAATGAATTGCCAGTATAGTAGGCGCCATAGTCCAGTGTCCCTCCGCAGGACCAGCCCAAGTCGGGCGCCCTTCCATCGACAGTCACGCCGAGATCCAGGGTCTGAAACTTGGAACTGCGTATGTCGCCCCTTGTGCCGGTCCTGCGCAAGCCATTCCTGCTGGGGCCAACCGACAGACCAGGAATCCTTGCAACCCTCGCAGCTGGGTATGATGAAGCTGTCGGACTTTCTGGACTCGGTGTCCGTCCCGGGAAGTTGGAAGAAGTTGGTGACCTCCCAGTTGATGCCCAGATCGCGGCTCCATCTCGATGGTCGGAAGTTGTTTCCGAACTGTGCCAGGGAGGCTGAGATGGTACCACTTCCGCAGGTCAGCCGAGTCGACGGCATACATAAAAGACGCTAGGGGTCTCGTGTCTGATGCCGCCGGCCAAGCAGCCGAACAGCTGGTCCTCTGGTAGGCCGAGAGCCTCACTCAGCGCCGGCCACGTTGCGACGTAGGGATCTCTCCAGGTGATGTCGAGGTCTTCGGGGAGCGCGGGCACGATGGGGTTATCCCGACCCTCTGCCCAGGTGCATCCGCCATCAGTCGACGTCGCGTAGCTCAGTGGCTCTGAACCGGGCGTATACGGCATCGTATAGTGGACGGGAAGGTTACTGATGGAGGTACAGATGCACGTGGAAACGCCCGAGTCGGCCTGGCCGTGCAGGTCCGTCGGCACGAAGCAGCCGGTGAAGACGCCCTGGGCGTCGTGCGGCGTGTCGCGTTCCATGACGGGGCGTCTCGGTACAGTCCACGATACCGGGTCGCGCGACGACGCTCCGCCCCAGGCTATGTCGACCCAGTCGTTGTTCTTCTCAGATGGAAAGGAGATTGAGGTCTACCATCTTCACGATTTACTCTCCTAATAATTCTTCCCCACGTCGTGAGCGAGTGACGCAACCTTGAATGATGGGAGATGCTCGGGATTTCAACTGGGGTTTCCATCGGCGTGAAGCATCTACAAGGCCCACTCTCCCGTCCCCAACCTCATCTTGCCTGCGTCTGCAAAGCTATTGTGCTGGAAGCAGGATAGACGCGTTGACATTGTAGGAGGTGGTCAAGACATATTTCCTTGGTCGCATACGCTGGAAACGTCACTCTGGCAGCCTAATGGGAGAAGCAAGCAGGCACCACAGGTTCGCAGCACCTCTCGCCGGTCATCACTTCCATCCAGCCCTGCCACACGATGTACGTCAACCTCTGAAGCGACTCGATGCGGTGCGGCGGAGGCAGATGTATCTTGCAACTCGCTATCGTCGGCGTACTCGTGGTCACAGTTGCGGGGAAGGCTGGTCCTGGTCCTGGTCCTGGTCCTGGTCCCGGGCACCGATGGCCGCACCGACGGCCACACCGGTGTGTTCAGTCTTCCGACGACGACGTCTACGAGGGAGGAATCAGTCGGCCACGACGAGGATGGAGCAAATCAATGTCCAAAGGCAGTGAGATGAAGCATAGATAGCTCGGATGCACCCTGTTCTGTGGCGTCCCGCGCCCAGACCAAGCATGCCTTAGTAGCTCGTGATCTTGCGTACATCACCACTTTTTGCGTGCAATGGACTTCAACTGCCTCCGAGCCAGATCCCACCTCATCCGTCCTGCTAAACGCCCGTGCTATCCCGACGTCCAAGGAAAACCCATGAACATCGTGCTTTTTTTTTCGGGCTACGGTGATGAAAGGCTTCGTCCCAGCGATTGTCGATTTTTGCTTTCTTATAACACAAAGATTTTTCTTTTATAACTAGATTTTCTTTTTGACAGGTACGAATATTCACTTGTCACATACTCTACTATTTACTTACTATTCAATTGTCATTCACTCATCATTCACTTGCCATTTTACTCGACATCATACTTCAATCCATTCAACTTCAATTAATCCATCAACTAAATACAGAACTTGGATCCTCTCAATCAAAAGTTCCCCCAAGGGAAAAAAAAAAGAATTATCAACAAGGAAAAAAACGCCCGTCCACGTCCCTTGACCAGTTCCGGAAAAGAAAAAGAAAAAAAAGCAGGGGGAATCACACCAGAAAACACAAAGGAGAGACAGAAAGATTTACTCTCAAGAGAGATGTGAGGAAATGGAAGAAGAGGGAAGAAATGAAAAGAAAGAACAGGGAAAGGAAGTAAGAAAAATAAAAGAAGAGAAAGGAAAACAAGATATATACACTCCAGGCATGTGTGTGTGTGTGTGTGTGTGTGTCAAGATGCAGCATATTGAGGGGAGGGAAAGAAAGAAGAAGAAAAGAATGGGAAAGAGGAAAGGAGAAGAAGAGGGAAAGAAAGGAAAAGAAGAGAAAGAAGAGGCAGAAAAGGAAATGTCCAGCATTCATCATGACCATAGATAGAATCCCATAATCATGGTCCATCAACGAGCATTATGGCATTTAGAGAGAGGGGTGCGAGAAGACATTGGAGGAGGCGTCAGGAGAGGATAGAGTCCCGGAGAATGGAGAGACAGAGCATCAGAATCCATCCTCGTCAGTCCATCCACTCGCCGAGACGATCCGACTTCCGTCCATATACTGCCGCTTCTGATGGTACCCGTAATGCTGCTGCGACTCCGGCGATGGTGGGATCCCGCGAATGCCGCACTGGACCTCTGAGCTGGCCGCGCCACCACCGCCGGCGGTATTCTCCAGTCTCCTGTTGCGCGTGGCCTTGAGCTTGGCGTAGTACGCGTCCGAGGCGTCCCGTTCGGGCTCGCTGTTGTCGTCAAACGTCTCCCAGTTCTCCGAGCCCGACGTGATGGCCGACGACACTCCCGACATGCTAGACGTGCAGCCCGCCGATGAGTGCGACGTGGCCGACATATGACGGGACGAGGGGGGTCCCGTGCGCGACGACGATGGCCGCACCGTGCCCCCGCCGCCGTACACGTCGTCCTTGTAGATGGCGTTGCGGTTGCCGTCGTACACCTCGACGCAGTTGTCCATGTCGTCCTCCAGGTCGTCCTCGTCGAGGTAGTAACTAGGGTGCTGGTGGTGCTGGTGGTGGTGGCTGCTGCTCTGATACGACAGGTCCGAGGTGGACCGGTAGTGCTGGTGCGAGACGTCGTCTTCGTACGGGTCCTCGGACTCCACGGCACGGATGATGCTGCCGTTGCCGCTGCTGCCGCCCCTCAGGCCCGCGCTATCGTACGGGTTGGCGGGCGTCTCGAGCTCGGGAACGCGCGTGAGGTCGCGCATCTTGGGGGGCGGTGCCCTCATGAGAGCACCGCTGCGGAGACCCTGTGCCTGTGCCTGAGACTGCGTCGTGTCGCCGTTGGCTGCCTTGGGCCGGTCGGACGGGTTCTGTCCGTGCTTGAGGTTCGACAGCGGCGCTCGTGCGGGGATCCTACTAGGACTGCCCCTGCCGTTCACTGCTGCTGCTGTTGTCGATCCCGTCGTGTTAGACCTTGCGGGCGTCTTCCTGCCAGTGGCGCCCGCCGCGGCTGTGGCGCCAACGCCGGCGATGGACCTCGTGCCAGCCGTGGGCGTCTTGGCACCCGCGCGTCCCGGCGGTGCCGACTTGGTGCCGTTGTCTCTCGAGGGCACAGACCTGGGCGGCTTGCTGACCGAGGTGGGTGCGTTGGCGCCAGCACCGGGCGTCTTGGATCGCTGGAGAGGCGGACCGCCGTGAGAGGTGCCGGGCCTCTTGGCTCCCGACACCGACGTCCTGCTGCCGTCCTCGGACTCCAAGTCGTCGAGGTAGCGTTCTCCGTGGACGAGGAAGGGGCGGTCGTATTCGTCTTCCCACTTCTCGAGTAGCTTGCGCAGCTCGGCTTTGACCTTGGGCAGCTCCTTGGCGATGCGCTTGCGCATCTTCTCTTCGCGAAGGAGCTTTCCCGGGTCACGCTTCTCGCCCTTTTGGCCGCGGGACATGAGGCGCGATGCGTCCTGGCTCGAGGTGGCAAGGTCGTCGCGCTCCTGGATGAGGGACATGTAGCGGCGGACAAGGTCGAGGACGGGAGCTCGCTGGTCGCGCAGCGTCTCCAGCCTGGCAACCTCGCGCTCGTGGGCCTCGAGGAGGGCGTCGCTGTAGACGTCGGAGAAGGCCGGGGTGAACTCGAGCATCTCGTCCTCGGAGAAGTAGAGGGAGTCCCAGAGCTCCTGCAGCTTGACGCGGGCGTCCTCGACGAACAGGTGCATGTTCTGGCGCTTGAGCTCGTTGAGACGGGCCAGCTCGTCCTCGAACTGGTTGATCTGGCGGAGGCCACAGCCGCGGTTGGCGTTGACAAAGGCCTTTGTCTCGGAGGCGTCGACCTCGAGCTTGGCCCACAGCGACTCGACGGCCATCCTGAGGTCCTGCAGGCGCTTCTCGCGCTTGTCCTTGTCGGCGCGCAGGCGGTCGTAGACGGACCGCAGCCGGGCAATGTCCTGCTCGTGCAGACCCAGCTGCTCGGGCTGGTCGCGGTAGTACTTGACGACGGCGCCATCCTGCTGGGCCTGGGGCACGCCCAGCTCGGCCCACAGCGAGATGATGCCCTCGGACAGCTGCTGCACAGTCAGGATGCGCCTCTCATACTCGTCGTATACGCGCGTGAATTCGGCGTCTAGCTTGTCGACGTAGCTCAGCGACAGGTCAAACGAGGGCGGGATCGACTGATTGGCTCCCGTGGGTGGTAGGGGGATCTGGACGAATGTGGCTTCCAGGTGTGATGAGTATGATTCTAGCGCGTCGACGAGTTCTGTCACACGATGCAGCACGCGTTAGCATCTTCTCGCGCCGAAAATCGAGTCATCGCCAGATGAAAGCAAAGGAAGGGGGGGAGGGAGGGAGGAACATACTCATGACCTGCTCGGATCGCTCTTTGTGAAGTCGACGGGCGTGGCTGTGCTTCTCCCTCAGGACCTGGAGGCATGCGTTGAGGGGGTATGTGATCTGTAGTTCGGGGTCGCTGTCTCTGCTGCGTCGTACCGAGTCGTCGAGCGACTGCTCCATCTGACGGATGGCGCTGATCATCTTCTTGGCCTCATCGACCATTTCCTTCTTTTCGTCTGTGACGAGTCGCACCTGACTGTTCAGGGCCTCGGCCAGAGCCTCGAAGAGCTACAGTTTTGTTTAGTGATACGTTTGACCTCTTTTTCTCTATGGTGTGTCTGAAGAAGAAGAAAGAGTATGGTGATGCCGATGCTGGTGAGAAGATGGGGGGAGAAGAAAGATAGACATACCTCTGCTTCGCGTGCTTCCCTCTCATGGTCGGGGACGCCAATCTCGTCAAACAGCCCATGAAGCTGGCCAATACTGGCGTTGACCTGCTGACCCAGATGACTGGTGTCCATGGCAGGAGACGGCCTTTTGTCTTTTCTGCTTGAATCGTTTTGATGGAGGGTTGTTGTTATATGTATGCGTGCGCGTGTGTGATGTCGTGTACTGCGAAAATAAAATCAAACGTCGCGAAATCGTAGAGAGCAACCTGTTTACGTGGAAAGCGTGATAGTGAAGAAGGCCTGGCGTGGCGTCGTGAAGCAGATTATATCATGATACTAATTCTTTCTTCTTCTCCGTCTTCTTCTTTCCTCTGTCGTAAAAGCACCTCTTGGGGAGGAGGGAGAGGAGAGAGAGAGAGCGATGGCGAGAGAGAAAGGATAGAGAGAGAATGATAACGTGGAGACAGAGAGGAGCCTGCTGCTGTGTTGGAAGCGACAGAACTACTCGTAGAGAGAAAGTCGAACAGCTCCACCGTTTAATGAAGAGGAGGGAGGCAGACCGTGAGTGTTTTGATCCGAATGATCTCTCGTCTCTCTGTTGTCCGGGCAACCGAAGCGCTGTAAGAGGGGTGTGGGTCCTCCCGAGACCAGTACAAGTCTCCCCTGTGGTCGATGGCTGTTTCACATATTCACCTATCTGTGGACAAGAGAAGGCCTTTGTTTACTTTTTAAGCTTTCTATTATTGCTTTTTTCTTTGTGTCTTGTTGAATTTTTCGTACTCAAGTTGTTTGCTGCGGTGTAGCAAGGGTGAATTTGATGGTGAGCTTGCGATACAACTTGAAGATGCTGCATCGGCGCTTCTGTAACTATTTTTATCCGGATAACGCATGCCATATGTACTTGTACTGTAAGTCTGTTGCGTACATTACGAACTGCTACTAATGTACGACATATAATGCCAGCAGATAATAATAATACGGAGCAATACTTGTGAGAACTGCAGGGTAAAATTAACCGGATAATTACCGACGATCCGATCAATATTACTAAGTGAATTCCGTTTGTGTATAAAGTACATCTGACTCCACTATTGGTTCCCCCACATTCTCCAGCACGTCACAAGACTGCGTTCGTACTATTTATTGCACTTAGTAATCCAGGGTATATATTATAGCGGCATCTTCATCATCTACGTCAGAGATCCCGTTATCTCGTGATAGCCCAACATATCAGGTGAAGGGCCGGGGTGGTATGTCAAAGAGAAAAACGAAGAAGAAAAGAGAAGAGCAAGATCATCCCCGCGATAGACTCTGCCCATTCCACCCCGTCACATTCGTCCTTGTCGCCTCGGTCCCAGATCCAGACAGAGACGTCGCATCATCCACTATACTCTGGACATCCCACGACGAAAACACCTGCAAGTCTTCGATCGTGAGTGATCCGCACGCTCCTCTCTTCGTCGGCAGCGGCGGCGTCGACTTATCGACCGGTGTGGTCTGCCCGCTCAGACCGAGGAGCTGCTCTGCCGCGCCCGTGTGATCCCAGCCTCTGTTCTCGTCGGGCGTGTGCTGTCCGTTTGTTGCTGACGACGGCAGTGCCGTCGCCGTCTTCTCCTCCACGATGGGGGTGGAACTCGGGCTGGCCAGAGGTCTGCTGGCCGCTGGCCTGTCGCTGGCTGCGTAGGCGAGTGACCGCCGACCGCTCGCCCACATGGGCGCCAGGGCGAACTCTGACACCGCGCTCACCGAGTGCCGGCTGGAGAAGGGGGAGGTCCTGAATAGTATGACTGTCAGCACTGCAGTCCTTGCACATTTCTTTTCATCTGAATGAGTGCGTCCTGTCCGTACCTCTCTGTCGTCGTCGTCGGAGCGTAGCTGCTGGCCGTTGTCGTCGCTGCATCGTCGCTCGTACCGGCCCTCACGGAGGATAGCGGCGTCATGCGGATCTTGGACAGCCACTGCTCTACCGTGATCACCTATCCGCGGCATGTCAGCATCGTCATGAGTGTGTGTGGGTGGGTGGTAATGTGGGAGCGTGGGAGGGGAAACGTACAAACGACTCTGATATCGGGAACAAGGGAATCATGTCCCTCAGCAGCCTGGCATTCTCCGACACCGCAGCAACGGCTTCGTCCACTCTATCCGCAGCATCCACCCTCGACGGCTCAATCAACATGCCAGCATAGTACAGCATGATGCGGCTGCTGTTGTACAGAAACAGGGGCAGCATACTATCCGACAGAAGACGCACGTCGTGCTCCGCAGCCTCGGCAATCAGCCTCGACACCTGTCGCGCGTGGAAATAGCAGTCGGCCTGCAGAGCCTGCAGCACCTCCTGGTGCTCCGGCGGGAAAGCGGGGCACGCACTGCCCAGATCGAACAGGACGGGCATGGAGATCTTGTAGAGCTCGAGGTAGCTGTCGTGGTAGGTGCAGTGGATGAGCATGAGCCCACCGAGCTGATTGGAGTCGAGGCGCGCGTAGATGGTGTCGGGGGAGTACTCGACGAAGTCGGGTAAGGTACGTCGCCAGTGCCTCATGTCGGCGTCTAGGGCGGAGAACTCTGAGTCCGACTGCCACGGCCCCGGGCCCGACGGGTAGTTCTTGATGTACTGGGAGATCTTCTTGCGGAGGGCTACGATGCGCACGTAGTAGGCCATTATGCCCATGTTCTCAGCCGGTCGGGCGGGGACGATGGCCGGGGGGAGGAAGCGCAGCACGTGGCCCAGCCCAAGGGTCTCGGTGACGCAGGGAATCCGGAGGCCGAAGTTACGCTCGTTGCACGGGAGCTGCACCTTGATGTCGGCCTCGCGCAGGAGCGACAGCTGCTCGCTGCCGTTAGTCGTCCACGCGTCCAGCGTATAGCAGGCCCACATAAGTCGCCGACGGCTCTCCATGAAGACGGCCGACAGGTCCGCGTTGCCGTTCCCAGCCTCGTGCTGGTGCTCGTCGGTACACAGCAGGTCGGGGGCCAGCTCGGCGTAGATCCGGAGGGCCTGCGCCAGTCGTATGATGATGCCGCTAAGTATGAGCGCTTGATTGTACCGACCCAGTCGGATGTGGAAGTCGTGGAGGAGGACGAGGGCCTATACGCATCCATCCATCATATGAGTGAATTGAATCTATTTTTTGGGGGGGGGGCGGAGGGCCTCTTCCGAGACAGCTCACCATCAACCGGGGCATGGATACCCTGCCATATTTGCCGATGAGTATCGACTCGGCCTTTGCAGCCCACTGGTTGCCTGCTGCGCGTAGGAAGCTGGGGCTTGGTTCCTGGCCGAACTGACCCAGAGCCTGGACGTGAAATCTGGAGAGCGAGGGTTAGCACCTTTGGTCTCCATCTCTGCGCACGATTCCAGTAGAGAACGTACTTTGCGCCGTGTGCGCAGATTATGTACAGGAGGGCCATGTCGTCATCTTGTGTGAAGCCGGCGTCGAGTTGGCGCATGAATGAGGGTTTGTGGACAAAGGCGAAGCAGCGGATGGGGTGTATATGTGCAAAGTACTGCTCGACCAGGGAGCGGGTATTTCGTCGCGAAGGGAGCTGATCTGCGAGGAGCCTGCGTACTTTGTTCAGTTTTTATTTTGCTCCTCTAATCAATAAGGGAAACTATCCACGCGGTGGTAGGGTTGGATGCTCACCATGCCATCGCGCCGAGCTCCAAGCTGTTTTGCGGCTGAGAGGGTGTCACGGGTGTGCTGGGAACAGCCGACGACGACTGCGGCGGGGGTATCGGGACGTCAGATCGAAGACGTAGAGGACGAGATGGAGAGCCGTTGAGGGCGGCGCCTGTGCCTACGGCAGCAGCCTTTGCGCCGTCGTTTCTGTGGTTGCTGACGTTGCCGTCGGTTCCGTCGACGGCAGCAGCACCAGGATCCTCCATGGCGTGGTCGGCATCAGCACCATCATGCCTGGTCCTGGGCTGCTCCTGAGGGGAGGATGAATTTGACGCTACGCCGGCGTTGGAGGCTCTCCTCGGGTAAGGACCCTCGATCGTGCTCGCCCACCGGGGGACGGAGCCGCCGACGTAGACGCAGTCCATGCTCCTGGCGACGCATCGCGAGCACCGCGGACGGTCGCCGTTGCACTTTGTCTTTGAGGAGCGGCAGTTTGTGCAAGAGCGGTATGTACGTATACTCCCTAGAGTTAGGGGGAGTGCGGCGGTGGTGGAGTTGTCGTCGACGCATGTGAGATGGAGGCGTTCGCAGTTGCGGCAGCCATTCGGACGGCCGTCACACTTGACCTGTCGGTTCACAGCACACACGTTTCCCGTCAGTCAATCAACCGTCCACAAGTGCGCGCGAAGGAAGGGAGACAAGAAGAGGCGCCAGACTTGTGACATAGCCCGGTTTTCCGATGACTCGTAGTTTCTCTCTTTTTTTCCCTTTTTTTTTGAGGGGGTGAGAGGGCAAGGGAGAGTACGACTCACCTTGCGTGCGCGACAGACGCGACAACCCATGTTGAGCAACAGCTCACTGAGAGAGGTAGACGACGACGACGACGACGACGACGATGGTGAGAAGAGAGACAAGCAGGAGGGGCTACAGTACAAGGCAGAAGGAGAGAGGAGGGGAGGTGTTGTTGCGGGAACCTATCTTGGGCTTCGTCCTGACCCCATATGCCATGAATGTCACACCAAGGTAGCTGAACGGGAACTGGTTCTCTCTCTTGAGTCCTTCCCGACTCTTCTGTCCTCTCTCGCTCGTGCTTTTTTTCCTTTTGCTGTCCCACTTCTCCCCTTTGGCGACAGGCCGGTCGGGATCCCATCCTTGTTGGCGATCGGCCGAGGGCCCCGCAAGACGCCAACTACCCAATCCAGAAACGGGGCAATTGCGTGCTTCCACTGCTTCAAGACGTCTTTGCCTTTTTCTTGCCCTTTCTTGGATAATAAAACCCTCTGCCATCATTTCGGACCCCGTTACACTATGAGAGGATCCTTGTGGGAGGGGATATTACTCGTAGGCTGTAATACTCGTAACGGTTTTGTGTGTCTGGGACGTGACGTGATTGTATGTATTCGATTGTCAATCCGTACTCCATATACCACTCCGTGCTCCCGTGCATGTAGTAGCGACGGCGGAGCATGGGTCAATACTACTCCCACTACTCCGTACCTACTTACATATAGTACTCCGTACGTCGTAACGGTACGGTGTGTGTGGTCCGGCCGAGGGTTTGACCAGCCACTACTCCGTCCTGTCACTGCTCGTAACGCGGCAGTACTGTCAATCGATTGAACGCGTGGACAGGCACACATGGGACGTGCGCACATGATTGCGGCCGATTTCTGAGGAAACATTCCGTCTACCCCGTGTCTGAGGGTTTCATCGCCCCCAAGGTTGGTGATGAAATTGTAAATGCACCGCAGTCCATCTCTCGACCCGACGTGGCCCGCGGCCCCAAGGAGGCAGCCGGCACTCTCTCCCGCTTCACGATCTTTCTCGGTTTCCTTGACAGATGTGTACCGGTAGTAGAATGAAGGCGGTACATATCATGATTGTGGTGGCATCATTGCTGGCATCATTGCATAACCTTGTTTGAATTGAAATCTCATATCCACGTTATCGGCAGCAAGAGATCATGCTCGTACAGTACAAGTACTAGGGGTATCGATCACGCCGACAGCCCAAACGGCTAGCAGAGTCTACCTGTGCGACTACGGAGAGATGGATGAACGAAGACGACAGAGGACCAGCAAAGAGACATATTCCGGTTGTACACGCAAGCTGGTATCCGCACTACCTTGGCTGCTCAACAGTCAATCATCTTCCGTAGTATAGTGGTCAGTATGCGAGCTTGTCACGCTCGAGACCCGGGTTCAATTCCCGGCGGGAGAGATCCGCCAGCCGATTAAATCGGTTCTTCTTTTTTTCTTGCCACATCATCCCCCGATATATATCATATTACAGTCCAAATTATAAATAAATAAATAAATAATACCTTTTTTTTCTTCTTCTTCTTCTCTTGTACTTTCTTGGTCTACGATGAGCTGTTTCTGTTTTGAAAACGATACCTCACATAGGCCACGACCCAGGCTACTTGTATCTGTGCACACGAATTGAATCCACCAAAATATCATTGAAATTCAAGCTACGAACGCCAACCTTGTACATATATAGACTTGATCATACAAGACAAGTATTCTACAAGTCCTTTTTTTAAGAAAAAAAAAAAAAGAAAAAAAAAAAACTCAACATGCAGAATAGACTCCTTCATCGACGAAATAATTCTATATGACAGTAGAAGGCGAAGACAACAAGCTCACACAACTCATTGCGTCGCAAATCATGAATGCCAGGCTAAAAAAAACACCAGTCTATGGTACAGGGTATCACAAACCACCTACCTATCTTGCTGCCTTCGCTCCAGGGCATACAAAACGCACCTTCCCAGGCCGCAAGGGATGAGAAACCTTCACCGATTCCATCACTTTTTTTTTCCCTTTCCCCATCCTTCTTCTTCTCCTAGTCCAGCTGCTCCGTACAGTGCTCATATTGTGCCGCTCCCCTTTTCGGGAGATCCATTCATCTTGACAGGTCTCTTATTGTCTGCTAGATCAACAAGTCAATTCTCACTCGTACGACGTACTCGCACTCATACAGCGGAAGATGATAGACCATCTAGACAGCTTTCTCTCGCCGGTCCTTCTCGATGCCAAGACGCCGACCTCCAATGCATCATTCTCTGCACATCTTTCGGTCGATCGCCGTCAATCAATCTAATCCCCCGATGTGCCCTACAATGCCAAGCCGGTTAGCTCATGTCTACGATTTGCCCCTGCTCCTTTCAGCCAGGGCGAGTGTGGGGTAATGCGGTCCGTATCGCCCTCCCATCACCACCTTCCCTTGCCCCTGGCCAATATCTTGTCGACAACCCACAGGGACATAGACGTCGGGGAGATGATGGGGGTCAGATCAGAGACACTGGAAATACCGACAAAACGACGGCCAGATCGAGACTCGGGATTCTGGACTGCTCCATGAAGACTATGGATGGCACAGAGGTCTCAATTGACTAGCACTCTGGGCATGGATTTCCAGCAACAGACAAGCACACGTGCAAAGGATAGACGCCAACGAGAAATCCCCGTGAATAGAAGCCGAGGGAATGCCTCTCTACCAGAAGTGTCAGGGCCAGCAGCATCCTCGGACATGCCGACTTGACGCGATATTACCTACCGCCTGGCTGCACCCCCTGGCCAAGACGGGAAGCCTTCAACAAATACCAGATGAGATACGGGTACTCGGCATTATGGGAGTAAACATTGAGCGGTGTTCGGTCTGTCTTGTGTGCTCCAGCACAAAAGTCAGACTGGGTGATTTTAAAAGTCTCACTAGTTGCTGCCAATGCTGCGTCTCCGCCAAAGGAGGGCAGAATATTGCCACGAAGTCGGCACAAGGGACGTGTCGGATTGACATCTGAGCCATCTGTGGCTCGATGGGAGGAATTCTGGACAGAACACACTCTTCTGGCGACAGCTACCGCTGCCACTATCATGTCCCAGGGTTTCCCGGCTACTTCACATGTTGCAGGTTCCGCAAAAAGTCCTTTACGTGGTGGGGGCCGGTATCTTGGATGCTGTACGTCAACAACATATACCTGCCACCCATAACTGCCCTTTATACGCGCCCTCAGCATACGAAATGAAAGACGGGATGTTTATATCGACACGCGCGAGGGGTTCATCTCGGAGGAGTGTCACCTGTTCCAGCGTTGGGCGACCCCATTCCGAACGGAAAAGCCATCGTTCCAACCAGCTGGGGGACAACATTGCAAAGGCACCCCCTTTTCTCCCGCATGGCTTAGCTTATCGCTGTCGAGCTGACGATGATGTTGTTGTTGCTGCTGTTGTTATTGTGTCGGCTACGCGTATCCACGAAACTTGGACGGCGCGTTTGAAGAAACATAAAAGGGCGAGATGGGAAGGTCGATGAGGTTCGAGGTGCTCGCAATCCCATCTTCAGCATCGCTAACCCTCCTTCTAGCAACTTATCAGCAGCTCTCATTGCTGTATACACTCCTTTTTTTTTTCCCTTTCATTCTTTCCCCCTTCACCCTCCTTCGTCATGAAGTGGGCTGCTGCTGGCATGGCCGCTGGCGCCACCCTGGCCGCTGCCTGGGCCGACGTTGAGGCTCCGGCCGTCACGTCCACCGTTCACGTTACGGAGTACGTCCCTCTTGAGCAGCACCCTTGCTCTGTCTACTTCTTCGCCGACGGCGCCCTGAACCTCCCCGCCGAGGCTTGCGGTCCCGGTTCTTGCTGCGTCGGCATCAAGGAGCCCGGCAGTGACGAGCCCTGGGGTCCTGGCCCCGGTCCTGCCCCACCCACCGTGCCTATTCCCGGCCACGAGCACCCCGTTGCCCCCGAGCCCGGCCATCCTGGACACCCCGGAAAGCCTGGCCATCCTGGACACCCCGGAAAGCCCGGCCATCCTGGACACCCCGGAAAGCCTGGCCATCCTGGACACCCCGGCCACCCGGAGCCTGGCCACGACGACGACCACTGCGGCTGCGTCACGTCGACCTACGTCACTACCAAGACCATCTCTGGCACCACCACCGTCTGTACCGAGACGACCACCATCACCACGGAGACGATCGTCATTCCTTCGACCACCACTGAGGACTGCGAGACGTCGACTGAGGCGCCGGTCGTTCCCACACACGAGCCTACTCACGGTCACCCCAAGCCCCATCACCCCAAGCCCACTCCCGGGTACCCCGAGCCTCCTCACCCCAAGCCCACTCCCGGGCACCCCAAGCCCCATCACCCCAAGCCTACTCCCGGGCACCCCAAGCCCCATCACCCCAAGCCTACTCCCGAGCACCCCAAGCCCCATCACCCCAAGCCTACTCCCGAGCACCCAGAGCCCACTCCTGGCCACCCCAAGCCTCCTCACCCCAAGCCCACTCCCGGACACCCCAAACCTCCTCACCCCAAGCCCACTCCCGAGCACCCCCACCCCGAGCCCGGCCACTGCCCCAAGCCGACCTGCCCCACTGGTCTTGCGCGCGCCCTGTTCCGCAACCCGTTCGAGCTTGACGTGAACGTTGGCTACAAGCACTTTGACATTGATTGGTTCAAGGTCCGCAAGCCCTTTGAGGTTGGCGTGGTTTCCGACGTGGAGATCTCGACTGCTGAGTGGGAGGATACGGTGGCCATCTACCACGGCTTCCTGTACGCCTGCGAGTCTGGCGAGTACACGTTCACGTCTGACAGCGCCGACGACCTCGCTCTGTTCTGGTTCGGCGAGAAGGGCTTCTGGGACTGGAACTTTGGCACGGCCGACATCATCCAGTTCTTCTTTGGCGACAACGGCTCCAAGTCGGTGACGCGCCACTACTCGGCCGGCACCTACATCCCCATCAACGTGGTGTGGGCCAACGCCGTCGGCTCCGGCCACCTCTCGCTGACCGTGACCGGCCCCGACGGAACGGTCCTCCTCGGCGATGGCGTGAGCGAGTACATCACCGTCACCGCGTGCGACAACACCTTCCCCCAGTGGCCTCCCTGGGGTGACAAGCCCGATCACAAGCCCCACCTCCCGGATGAGGAAGACGACGACGACTCATTCACGGACACCGACTCGGACGACACGGACACGGCTACTGAGGACCCCGGCCCTTCGGAGTCTGACGACGAGGACGAGGACGACTTCTAAGAGACGGTCGGTCCTCTTGTCTGAGCATTGATGGTGGGACGTCTCACCCTGTCACGGTCATGCTACCGCAGCCAGTGGCGAAGATGGAGAAGGGGGGGGTGGAAAGGCAGTATGCAATACTACTTGATATTCGAATTAGCTCCTATTTAATTGATTGCATATCACCCCCACACATGCTCTGGACTCTTTTTCACCTAGACTATTGTAGGTGGCTTGCTCGTATTCCCACGTCTACCCGACTTGAGCTTTTTCGGCCTTGAAAGCCTTAGGTAGGGAGGGGAGGGGATGGAATCGGTGTCGTCATCGCCACGTCTTTTAACCAAAACAAAAAAAAAGCGTTGGACAGGGTTGTCAGCGCCCCGAGCCGCGGGACGGAGCTTGTTTAGGCTCCGTGGTCCGTCTGCAAGCAAGTGTAAAAAGAAGTCTAAGTCTACGAGTGACCATCACGTATCGCCTCCGGTGTCTAATGTGTATCAAGTACGAGTAGTGTGTCTCACCAAGGAGGGAGGGGAGAGGGTGGTGGTAGTAGTAGTAGTAGTGTCAGAGTAGTTGTAGGTGATACATGGGGAGATGACGATACCGGCAGTGGCCCGATTTTAAGCTTGAGAGAAAAGTTTTCTTCTTTTTTTTTTTTAAAAAAAAAAAAGAAAAAGAAAAAAGAAAACACTTTAATCTCTGTGGGATGTCTGAGATTAGATGTACCAAGTTTCTTTACTGATTATTTTCAAGTCCGCCTTATCTATGTTTCCTGTGTCTCAGCTTTATTCTGTTTCTAAAAATGAGATAGAAAAGGGGAGAGGGCAAGGGAAAGGACGGAAGACCGAGGGAGTTTGTCATGGAAAAAAAGGAGAAAAGATACATACTATATATGTGAGTGATAAAAATGGGGGGAAAAAAGAATACGACGTGGGGGATTGGGGTGTCTGTGCGAGTTGGGTGAAACCGGAGAGCCCCTGACACGGAGCCGTGAATAGACGCTCGTATTCTGATATTGGTGAGCACTCGTAGACGCCCTATCGATGTTTTCATGTCGGGGGCAAAGACGGCTGCATATAGTTCTTGGAGGAGAGGACGGTATATTATATATGGAGGGTATACCATGGCAACCAGTACAGGTAGTAATCATCACATGGTTGGCGTACTCGGTACATACAGGTACAGCCAAAAGGAAGGGTATTATTATTATTATTATTATTATTATACGTGGAAAACGGAGTGATGATAATACAGATTCCTCGGGTTCGTACGAGTATGAGTTCGTACAACAGCCGTACATGCTCGTACAGTAAGTAGTAATAATACTCGTTCGTGGTAATCTGTAGAAGATGAATAGAGACCGGAAATTACTGATTGAGAGGCATTACCACAACCACTCGGATGTGAGCGCGGCAGTATCCGTACGGTAATACAGATTGTGCAGGTAAGATACGAGCAGCACTACAGATTGGATAGTCGTATATTACTCCGTACACGTACGCCGAACTCCGAACCGGTAGGCTGTGCTCCTCGGTGGCGATGATATTGAGAGGGTTTGCCGCTTGCTCGCAGCGGAATCAATGCTCACACGTCTTCGGTACCGCCAATAGGGAAGAAGCTGTACCTGCATCCCAGGGAGACTAGGGATAAAAACGGTTGCGAAACCGAGGTACGGGTCCGAAGTAAGAAGTGAGAGAATATGACAGATAACAATGCTGCATACTGCTGGCTCGTATACTGGTACGGAGTAGGCATCTGATACCGGTAGACTATTCCCAGAAAGAGAGGGGCCCGTCCCTGGCACTGTCCGTGATAACCGTCCAAACCCTGACCATGGCGGTCGTCTGACGCGGTCTGCTTACGCGGAGCCTTCGATCCTGGATGGTGTCTGAGGAGCGGATGGCACTGGATTATAGCACATGCTGTATCCGTCAGTCACTCTGTAATCAGTACGGAGTACAGATTGCAGGTACCCATGCCTCCGTCAAAAGGGGTATGATGCGCGGCGACGGTCTAGGACCGGTGTCAGGGCGGTATCAGGAGTACGAGTACGGGGTACGGATACAAGTAGATATCAAAGACCAGCAGACAGCTGTTCTAGGCAGTTGGGCGGCTGTTCCCTCCCCCCCCGTGTGTATTGTGCGTGCGTGTTGTGTGTAGTGTGTGTGTGTTGTGTGTTGTGTGTGTGTTGTGTTGTGTGTGTGCTGTGTGTGTGTGCGTGTGTAGTGTGATTGCAGTTGGCGATGGCGTGCTGGGGGTTGGCTGAGATGGGGGGGGGGGTATGAGAGGTTTCGAATTTGCTTGTTCCGCGTTCCGTGTCTTGTCCGCCCCACACCCCCCTCTCCCCTGATCTACGTAAATTGGTACAGAAGGGGTTTCTGATGAGGGGAGGGGATTCGCTTTCTCTTTTCTTTTCTTGCCATTTTTGATTCAGTTGTTCTTTCCTTTTCTTCTATGCGTGTCTTGTGCTTGAAGACAACTCCCCCCCCTTATCCCCCCCTCCCCCCAACTCAATCTGTACAGAAGTGCTGCGAATAGTGACAGGCTGTGATGGTACATGCTGCTGCTACCGCTGCTACTGCTGCTACTGCTGCTACCGCTGCTACTGCTACTAACTAACTGACTAGCTAACCGGTACTACTGATAGGGTGAAGATTTGTAGGATTCTTCATTCGCAGACCGAGTAAAGGAGAGAAGAAGGAAGGTAACTCGGTACGACAGCATACGGAGTGCGGAATTACGAGTCAATCAGCGTCGATAATACTCCGCGATGTATTACTTGTGGACTGGTGGTAACAATGGCTGCAATGACTGCAGCGATGCGGTTAGCGGAGACTACGAGTAATACTCATAGGTGCGAAGAGGGTTCTACAGCGTAACCTTACCCCAAAATTAATACTGCTTAATCGCCACTGTGCTGTATACGATACGACGGTGAACGGTCCAGGGATGTGGTTGAGGTGTGATTGGATAGGGGTAGGGATGAGGTATATGTAATGGGATCAGGGGACGTGTGAAGTGGAGTGGGAGAGAAAAAAGGAAAAAAGAAAGAGGCTTGATGGTGGATCTGTATGATGGATGCTGTGTCCGAGTCTGGTATTGCCTGGACCAATTACGGAGAGCCGGAGCTGGGGTTATCGTCACGGGACAAGTACTCGTAGGTGAGCACGCAATACGAGGTAAGGAGGTGATGGTTTTTTTTTTATTCATCTATTCTGTTTCCGTTTTTGTTCTTGGACGATGATGTCCAAGCAAGTCGACTCGTAGGAGTTTTATGTGTGGGGAGGTGCAGGAATCTGAAACATTTCAAAAAAAAAAGGTTGTCTGAATGCAGAGTTTTGTGATCTGTACGTACTACGTCGAAACAGTAGGGACAGTAATACTCTGTATGAGGCTTGAGAAAGGATGCAGGTTGCAGGTGAGGATGAGATTGAGAGAGAGAGAGAGAGAGATAGGGAGAATGGAAAAAAAAAAAGAAGAAAAAAGTTGGTGGTGTGGAGAAAATGTGAGATACTTCTACAAGGTCTACCCACTCGGTGCCTACGCGTTGCACAGGGTATGGAAGGGGGATTACACAGGGTAGTACGTGCGCTCAGAGGTAGTTGTATATGTAATCGCATGCACCTACCGAGTCACAATGTTGCTTTGGCAAGCCGATCACGTAATGGCCAGAGGAGCGAGTAGGAGGTGACATCTTTTTCGTCTCTGGGTCAGCGAGAACAGAGAAGACCGAGGGGAGATACAAAAGGTCAAGAGGACGCGCGTTCTACTTCTGAGGGTGGCACTTTTGGAGAGAAAGAGAGAGAGAGAGAGAGAGAGAGAGAGTGTGTGTGTGTGTGTGTGTGTGTGTGTGTATGTGTATGGTGTGTGTGAATGTCGTCGGGGGGGGGGGGGGGGGGGGGGGGGGGAGAGGGAGGATGACAATGATTGGAGAGGGAAAAAAAATGAGGATTACGCGTACTTGATGCTCGTACTAGAAGAAGAAAAAAAAAGGGAGCACAAATTGTGGAGAGTTGAAAAAAGGAAAGAAAAATTCAACGGCCAAGTCAGTCTATCGTTACAGATGAACAGGTTTTTTATTATTAATTAATATGCTGCAGTTGAACAGGATGCTGGTCTTGTTATACCTGCGTGGTGTGTCATGGCGGTTACATGGTTGTATGGGATAATAGTGCGGACGGTATCAAGGGTATAGGTACGGAGTACGGAGTACCCGTACACGTCTGCACAGATATAGGACATATTAGGCTGTAGGCTGTAGGCTGTGGGCTGCAGAGTACGAGCCATGCTTCGGTAAATTTTATTTATTTATTTGTTTTTTTTTTTTGTTTTTTAAAAAACACACACGGTCCCAGGAATTTCTTCTTCTTCTCTTGATGGATGAATCCGCAGGAGCGAGGCTCTTCTCAACGTGTAAAACGGGTCCAGAGAGTACCAGGGACCGGGGCGTAAGGGGGTGGGGTGCCTTATAGTGCACGGCTGTCCCGGCCGCAGGCCATCACAGCGCTGTAATAACGCTCTCGGCACGGAGAAGGGCATTCATCCTACGGCGACCTTCACTGAGCCGGCACGGTTCAGCATCGCACTCGCACCATCTCACTGGCAGGCAGGCGGGCAGGCATCCTGCTGAGAGGCCCCGCACTGGAGACTAGCGAGTAATACTACTTGCTGCCAGTACTGCCGGTCCCCGCAGCCTAATACCTGGAAAACTTCTGGCCGGATCCCCCCTCCCCCCCCCCATAATTCGCGCCGGTAAGACATGCCAGTTGCAGGTCAGGGCACTAGGGCACCGGGGGGGGGGGGGCCGCGGACAAAGTTGGGTTGGCTCGCCACGGATATCATCACTCGCCTGCCTTACCGTACGATACTTCTGACCGTGGATGGGACAGATAGGATAGGTAGGCAGGCAGGGAAGCAGACAGGCAGGCAGGGAGGCAGACGGGACGGACGGACGGTCGGACGGACGGGCAGAACAACGTGAGGGTACGAGGAGAGATGTATTGATCGGTATTAATAGTTTTTTTTTTTTTTTTGGTGGTGGTAATAATTACTCGTACCTGCTATCCGGTAATAGATTCCGCCGGGGAGTCGGCGCGTACCACTCTCCATTGCGATACATGTCTGTACAGTGGATATTACGAGTACAGTGTTGACGAGAGATGAGGGTATTACGTGTATGATATCTGCGTACCACCCGCAGTACATGTACAAGTAAAGTAGCTTGTGTCACCACCACCAGAACATTGTCCAGGCCATTCTAAACCCCGAGATACCGTGTCGCTCTCTGCTCTCCCATACGTCTCTGGTGCTGTCGCTGCACATATCCGCTGCCTGTACGGATTACGTGTAGTCGACGCCTGCGATGATCTGCGGAAACACGCTCAACTCGAGCCCGTGCGGAAATAGTGCGCCTATCTCCGCATCGTCATGCCGTGGGAAGAATCCAGGGGAATAACCCACGGAAAGGGGAGGCAATGCAAATGTTATTTCCTGCTAGCCCGGAACCGCTTACGAGCATGAAGTGGTACTCGTGCGAAGCAATCTGCATAGTAATCAGGTCCTGCCATACGGCTATATTACACGTACAGATATTACTGGCAGTCTCATGACGAACCACGGGGTACTCGTAGTATCTATATATCAACCGCTAGAGTCCAGAGGTCGGAGAGGGTAATATCATTCTCAGCTCGCACCGCAGAGTACGGGTAGCGAGTACCAACCCTCCCGAGCTGATCTGTAGAGTGACACGAGCTCTGCTTCTCGGTGCCGAGATGTTAGGTACCCAAACGTACGAGTAGAGCAGACCAAGCGCCAATAAGCCCTTCCTTTTATTTTCCCTCTTCTTGTGACCCCCTGACCACCATTCCCCTGATCCCCTGATCTCCACAAAAAAAAAAAGCACATACGTACGCTTTTCTGACGTCGTACTGTGTGTGTGTATGACTCCGTACTGAACTGAATACGTCATGGGTACCAGAGCATTCTTGCCAGACCGAGATACTCCTGGTCCGTAGTCCCGCGTTCGGAGTCGACACTCCCTCCCACGCGCCCACGAGTAATACACCGGGTTGATACCTGTACCGATCTGCTAGTAGTAGATATGGAAGATTGCCTCTCTAGGTACGACGTAATCATCGTACTATTCAGACTTCAGACCGACCACTACGTGTAAAAAAAAAAAAAAAAAAGAGTACACGACCAAACGCAACTTGCTTGAGCAGTCAAGTCAGCTATTAGCGCTGCCTACAACCAACCCCCCCCCCCCTGCATGGGCTGTTCTTTCCGTTTTGTTGAAGGTTCCTTCTCTTCCCCTGCCCGTCCCCTTCTCCTACTTCTCTATCCGTACAGATTACATGTATTGTGCTCTGATACGACGGTGTCCCTTTTCAAACACTTTTTCCTTTTCACTTTCCGTTTTCGTACTCTCTCTCTCTCTCTCTCCTCTCTCTCTGTTCTCTGTCCTCTCTGTGCCCTGTGCCATTACACTTACACCCCCCCCCCCTCTTTCTTTATTTCCTTCCTTCTTTGAATAGTATCACCTTTTTTTTCTCTTTTCATATCTCTTCTCCCCCTGTCTGTCTGTCTGTCAGGGTTCCTTCTGCGCTTCTGACTTTTTATTACCTTTCCTTTTTTTTTTCTTTTGCCTCCCCCCTTGCCCCTCCTCCTCTTCTTCTACCGTAATTGTGTGGGGAGTCTTTGTCTACAGACACACCACACCACACACCACACACCACACACCACACACCATCTTCTGGTGTCAGTGTCTCTCAACTTTCTCTCTCTCTCTTCTCCTCTTCCCCTTTCTTCATCAACCCAAATACGGAGTGCTCGACGGCCATTTTCCTTCCCTTCCCCCAAACCCACTAGCTTGGTTGGGAACTCGCAGACCTACCTACAGGTACTTACTTGTACGGGTATTACTCTGCTCCTCCGGTCGGTCCTTGGATCCGTCTCTACACTGAGTGTGTGTTCGCTCGTGGCTTTTTGTGGACCAAAAGACAGCCTTGCCATTGTCAACTTCCTCTTCTTCTCTTCTCTTCCCATTCTTTTCTTCTTTATTTTATTTTATTTTTCTTTCCTTTTCCCCTTTTTTTTCCCTTCCCTTCCCTTCCTTTCCCATATACCACCGCGCGCGCACACACACACACACACACACACACACACACACACACGCTATCACACCTTGACACATAACACACCATCATACGCCTTGATCTTGTAAATCATCATCATGGCGATTGGTGAC